ATGGTGTATGTATATCAATTCTCTGTTCATCGGCACTTAGGTTGCTTCCATATCTTGGCAATTGTAGATAATGCTGCAATGAACATAGATGTGCATATATTCTTTTGAATTCGTGTTTTGGGTTTCTTTGGATAAATACCCCAAAGTGGAATCACTTGGTCATGAAGCAGTCCCTTTTTAAATTTTTTGAAGACCCTCCATACTGTGTTCCACAGTGGCTGCACCTTGTATGTGTCTGCATTCCCACCAACAGTGCATGAGATTACCCACATCCTCACCAGCACTTGTTTTTTGAAAAAAAAAAAATTCTTTTAAGATTTTACTTATTCATCCCCAGAGGGGAAGGGAAGGAGAGAGGGAGAGAAATATTAATGTATGGTTGCCTCTCGTGCATCCCCTGCTGGGAACCTGCCCACAACCCAGGCATGTGCCCTGACTGGGAATCGAACCACAATCCTTTGGTTCTCAGGCCCACGCTCAATCCACTGAGCCACGCCAGCCAGGGCTGAAAAAAAAATATTTTATTTGAGCAAAGATATGTTTTCTTAGGCTCTATCCAAAAAGATTTAATTATACTTTGATCAAAGCATTCTTATAATGAAATCAGGAACAAACATTTTCATTTACAGATTTTATTTCTTTTTAGAGAGAGGGAAAGAGAGGGAGAGAAACATTGATGTGAGAGAGAAATATCGATCAGCTGCTTCTTCCTTGCTCCCAACTGGAGACTGGGACACAACCCAGGCCTGTGCTCTGGTCAGGAATCAAACCCATGAGCTTTCACTTCATGGAACGACACCCAACCCACTGAGCCATACCAGTTAGGGCAGAAACAAACATTTTTAAAAATCACCAAATATTTCTTCTTTTTTATTAAAGATTTTATTTACTTATTTTTAGAGGATGGGGAAGGGAGGGAGAAAGGGAAACACCAATGTGTGGTTGCCTCTTGCACGCCCCCGACTGGGGACCTGGCCAGCAACTCAGGCATGTGCCCTAAGGGAAATCAAACCAGGACCCTTTGGTTCACAGGCCTGGGCTCAATCCACTGAGCTCCACCAGCCAGGGCCCAAATATTTCTATGAATAATCCTCTACACTTCGGTTTTGGGGGTTGGGAAGTGGGTGAGCGCCCAATTTTACAAAAGCTTGCCCTGATTGCTTCCTACCAGAGAGCTTTCTAGTGCCAGCTGCGAGTGCTGCAGCTCACTTTGAGGAGCATAAAAAACCAGGCCTGCTCCCCGCCCTTCGGAGAGTCCGTGCTCCAGGCCCTCCATTGCTGAGTCACATCCCTGTGTGATGACCTAGGCATTACCCACATCTTTGTAGCAATGTTAATCACACCCTGAACCCCACTGGGCATTTTTTATTTGAAAGATACATTTATTGATTTTAGAGAGGGGCAGGGAGAGAGGAGTTTTGCTGTAAGAGGGAAACATCGACCAGCTCTTCCCATATACACTCCAAACAGGGCTTGAACCTGTTACCTAAGTATATGCTGTGACCAGGAATCAAACCCAAAACCTTTTGGTGTATGACATGACATCCAACCAACTGAGCTACACCAGCCAGGTTAAGTATTGATGTACATCATGATGGTGTATGAGTAAAACGAGATGGTGACCATATCCACCACCCCCAGAGGTTTTTTTACCCCATTGTCATCCCTCTGCATTCCTTGCCCCCTTTACTCCCAACCATGCATCTGCTTTCTGTTTTTTTTTTTTTTAAAGATTTTATTTATTTATCTTTAGAGGGGAAAGGAAGGAGAGAGGGAGAGAACTGGCCTGCAACCCAGGCATGTGCCCTGACTGGGAATCGAACCGTGGTTGCTTGGTTCCCAGGCCCGCGCTCAATCCACTGAGCTACACCAGCCAGGGCTGCTTTCTGTTTTTATATGGGTCCCCGTTGTGTGGTTGGTAAGGTATGTGAATGTCATACACGGGATGCACAGCAATTTGAATTTGAACATTTCAGGTAAAATGTCATAATCTGGGCTTCAGTGTGATATTGTTAAGTTGCGGAATGACATGCTTATGATTTTGTAATAAAAAATTATGTAATAAAAAAAAGGGGTGTTATTTGTGCCAGACCCTGTATATTACCTTCCTGGAATTTTATTTATTTGTAGAATTTTATATAAATGTAATCATTTAGTAGTACTTTTTTGGCTTGTCCTTTTTCACCTATCATAATTAGTTTGAGATTTAGCCATGTTATAACATGTCTGAATGGTTCATTTCTTCTTATTGATCAGTAGTATTCCATTATATGGATATACCACAGTTTATCCATTCATCTGCTGATGGACATTTGAGTTATTTCTATTTTTCTTTTTTAGCCATTACAAATAAAGCTGCTGTTGAGTATTTACTTATATGTATTTGAAAGGATATGTACTTTCATTTGTCTTGGGTAAATACCAAGGGGTAGAACAGCTGGGTCACATGGTTGGTATATGTTTAACACGTTATTTTTCAAATTTTTCCGAAAACATTTAACTTACTTATTTTCAGAGAGAGGAGAAGCAAGGAAGTAAGAGAGGGAGAAAAAATAGTAATGGGTGGTTGCCTGTCATGCGCCCCCTACTGGGGCCCTGGCCTGAAACCTAGGTATGTGCTCTGACTAGGAATTGAACTCGTGACCCTGTAGGTTCGCAGGACAAGTACTCAGTCCACTGAGCCACACCAGCCAGGGCAAGTTCTACGATTTTTCTTCAGATAAACCAAGCACAGCATTCTTTACAATCATCTGCCTCCTAGAGGCATCTGATGGGATTTTAATTACTTGCCAACCCATGTCAAAATGAATGGTTTAAAACAACAATCATTTGTTGTTTTAATGTCAGTGCATCAGCAGTGCAGTTTGGTGGACCTCAACCAAGTTGGTTCATTCTCAGGGCTCAGCAACTCTCGTCTCTGATCACTCTATGGTTCAGCTAGGTGGCTTGGCAAGTTGCTCTGCTTCACGTGATCTTCTCCTGCAGCAAACTAGCCCAGGCTTCTTGGCATCATGATTTTGGTGGGAAGCCACCACATTTTCTTGGCCAAAGAGTCTCAAGACTAAGGCGGATGGAGTGGAGCTCAAAATCACTCTACTAAATATGTGTATGGTACAACCTCGAGGGTGGGCAGGTTAGTGCGCGATTCCAGCAGCAGGAGGAAAACGTGCACAGCCACAGCGGTGGGGGATGTCTGATTTGCCTTTATTCTGGGTGGGGTGATACGCACGCACCAGCGGGAACTCCAGCTAGGTATCAACCTCGGGCAGCAATGATTATAGAACATAGCTTGATTCTGCGCATGTGGCCCCTTACTCGAGATTATATGAACCCCGCTGAGCCCGGACACCCGGGTGAGGGAGCCTGACTGACTCCATTGTCCCTACTGTGTGGATGGGTAGATAATCAGAGCCGTTTTTCGTCAATGAGACTCACTTACCCTTTTCAAATATTCATTCTAATTCCTTATTTTGACATGCCAGCCAGCTAGAATTTGCCTGAAACCAAAGTCGTAGGCAAAAAAGGTCCTCTTGTTATAGGAAAATGAATCGACCAGACACCAAGGGATTCTGGAGTACGAGGTTTATTATTTAACGTGCACGGGCATTTAACATGCACGAGTCAGTCTCCAAATTCTGAGCCCCGAACAAAGGATTCTTGGGGGGTTATATAGCTTAGGGGTCTTCCTGTCTACGTGACAAACGTGGGATACAGAAGCAGAATGTGATAATTGTTCTATCAGCGGGGGCGCTAGTTGCAGTCCTACTGACTATCTGGCCACCTGCCCTCCCAGACGGCACCATCATTCTCCCTAGGGCGCCTGGGGCCTGAGCAAATAAAGGTTAAACAGAGGTTTTTCAAAGTTTCCCACATCACTCTGAGCCAGTTCTAAAATGAAGTTGTCTGGCTGTCAAGCTCACAAGGCAAACACTTTTAAATCAAAAGCTACTTAGCTACCTACACTAAATCCAGAGTGGTAGGAGCTGTGCAGACTATAATAAAAACAGTCCAGTGGAGTTACAGTCTGAAAAGAGCAAATTAGATTTGGCATTTTTTGGTTAAGTATATAATTCCTTTTAAGGAAGATTCCCACCCCAAATGAAATTATTTAAATTTCGAATAATAGCGTTCTGTATCTAGTCAAAAACCAGAACCACCATCCCAAAGGGTCTTTGCACAGGTAACCCAGGTATAACTGGTTTGGACTAGCCGAGGCTGGATAGCCGAACAGTGGGTTTCCAATGTACTTCAAAAAAAATTAGTCTCCGCTCCAAGGGTCTCGAAAGGCGCTTTTCCCACACCACAAATTTCTATAGAACGCAATTCTGGGATTCGATCAAAATTAAAGGGCTCTACTTTGAGCCGGGCCGGGCCCAAGAACCTGATCCCGGCCAAAGAACCTGGTCCCTTCCCCCAGTATTCCCCTAGGTACCCCCGCTTCCGGGTCTCGCTCCAGTCCCGCCCCTAGTACGTGGCCCCGCCCCCGTGCTGTCGGACACTCCGCGGCTTCCGGGCCTCGGGCCACGCCCCTTGCTCTCCGGGAGACTGCTAGCCTAGGGGGATCACTAGACCGTCGCTCAAAGTAGCTTTCCACACACAGATTGCGGGTTGGAGTTCGCATTTTAAGCGGCACACGGTACTCTGACTTTGTCACTTGGTAGGCGAATGCTACCTTGCAACTCGTCGCCTCCAATACATCTCCCCTCGGGCTCCGACGCTGTCCACAGTGCCCACGCTACCCAGGGCCTGGTAAAGAAACCGGAACTCGCCCAGACAGCGCGCTTGGGTCGGGGCTTCTGCCGCTCCGCCGGGCGCCTGCGCGCGTCGCCTCTTGCGTCACTCGACCGCGCCCACGTTCTCGCGGCGGTGCTGCTCACCGGTAGCGGCTTGGGCTGGAGGTTGTTCAGGGCAAGTTGCCCTCAGGGCTCCCCCATGGAGGAGACGGCGTTTGCGGTTGCAGCCCCGGATGCTTGCACCTCCCACTGGACGGCGACGAAGGCGCTGGCCGCGCGATCGCAGGAGAGATCGGCCCACACGGCCTGTGGGAAAGTGTGAGCAGAGGTGAGCGGAGCCGGGTAACGGAGAGGAAGTCGCGCGGTCGCCTGCCCACTTGGGTGAGGTAGCCACTCCATTCCCCTTTCGGACAGCGCCAAGGCGCTAACGGTGGGCGAGCCTTATCCTCTGGGGCTGGGGAGGGCTCTGTGTGGCGCCTTTCTTTGCCCCAGGACACTGAGCCAGGCACGTTCTGAGATGGAGGCGGTTTTCTTCATAACCTGCGTCGAGGAATCCCGCCGTGGATCGGGTGCCGTGAACCGCCACAGGAACCTGGCTCGGTCCTGTAGGGCGCGTGTTAAGTCCATTAAAACAGTTCCCTTTTGTCGTGGTGAGTTTTGGGAGATTGTTTTAGATCCTGCAGAGATGCTGACAGTTGGACAAGCCTTAGAAGGCGGCGGAGACCTGAGCAAGAGTGTTTTAATCTCCCTACTTTTATTGCGTCACCTAATCCTCTTTCCCTCTCCGAACAACTGAACAAAACCTATTCGTTTATAGCTTTGTGTCTCTTCAATCTCTTAGGTAGCTTTCAATTCACTTGATAGAAGACGACGCCTTAGTTTTGTTTCTAGAAATTCACTGTATAGTATGGGCTTAGTATTTTATTTATTTATATTTATATAAATATATATGGATATATATATGGAAATATGAGAGAATATAGATCTTTATTTCATGGAGGCTAGTAACCAAATTTTAAAAGGTAGTAACTATTTAGTCGTCTACCTCTGTATTTCCTACTTTCCATGCCAGAGCTGCTGCCAAGGCTTATAAATTTAAATGGCAATAACAGATATTTACGAGGAAATGAATCATCTCTACTTCCTCCAGTCATTTTTTCCCATAAGAGAGAACACATTAAACTTACATGTAAGTGAGAATTTTAATTTATGACTTAATGTTGCTAAATTAGGGTTGTTGGAGATGCAGGTTAGATTATGTAGCATTTACAAGGATGGCTTTTAAGAATAATTAGCCAAGTGAGAGGTTGGAAAAAAAAATAAAGCTTGTGGAAACCAAGCAGAATTAGTACAGATGAAGAACTCTGAAGTTTTACTATCATATGGGCAAGAGTCGAGTCCCATCGACACTGAGGTCCCATTTTAGGCTGTGTCACTTTCCTTGGGGTCCTCTGCATGGGACTTAACCTCTGGGAGGTGGGGGTAAAGGTATTTTCTTCTCATTATTGAATGGGTTAGAAATAATTTATATCAATCATGTGGACCAGTGCCCCTGCTGGTGTTCACTGAGTGGTAGCTATTTCGGTTAGGGAGCCGGAATAATAAAAAAGAATTACATGAATTTTTAGGCCGGCTGTATTGTATAAAAGTACCCTGTTGTGGTACCCCACCTCCCCTTGTGCATCCCATGTCAGCCTGTCAGCCTCAATGGCCTTTCTTTTCTGAGAAGCTGGGTATTGCTCATCTGTGACTTTCCACTTGCTTCTTCCTCTGCTTTGCTCTTTTCCCATCCCTTTCAAGCCTTCTTTGGATGTTACCTTCTCTGCTAGGCCTCCTAACCAACCCCACTCCCCCCACTCCCCCGATGCTATTAATATGTTTGACTTTCCACCATAGCATTTACCACCTTATGATATAATTAATTTTAGGGAGTGGGAAGGGAGGAAGAGAGAGAGAGAGAAACATTAATGTGTAGTTGCCCTACTGAGGGTTTGGCCCATAACCCAGGCACGTGCCTTGACTGGGAACTGAACCAGCGACCCTTTGGTTTGCAAGCCAGTGCTCAATCCACTGAGCTATAGTAGTCACAGCTACTATAACATTCTCAAGTATTCTTATTGTCTTGCCCTAGCTCTAACAAAGTAAACTCCATGAGGGCCTGGTTTTGGCCTGTGTTATTTACCACCGTATTCCTGCTTCTAGAAGGTAATTTGTATTCATGTAAATATTTGTTGATTGAGTAAGTGACCTGAGTGTGCCATCTGTGTGCAGGGAGCCACCACAAAGCACACGTGATTCTTCTACGTAAGTAACCGGAGTGTTGTCTAGCACTAGCGTCCAAAGGCAGGTTAGGTTCAAGGCTAGGAAATTCAGGAAAGGATGATTGCTCCGGCCAACGGAATGTAAGCAGGGCTTTCTTGCAGAGGTGCTTTCCAAAGTGGGTTCTGGAATGAGAGGGAGAAAGTTTCCAAGGTGTGGAGCAGGGGAAGGGGCCTGTCGGACTGTCAGCCCACTGCCGACTTCGGGCAGAACATGGCGTATCCTAACTGCAGTGTTGGAAAAGCGGTTTGAAAAGGCAGGTTTGGACCGAATGGTGAAAGACTTAGTTACTGGATTACAACATCTGTGCTCCCTTCTGCAGAGACAGAAGCCATTCCGGGTTGTGAACAGGAGACTGAGGTAGCAGAGGCATGTTCTCTGGGGCAGCGTGGGGGCGGCCTGTGTTTACGCTGGGTTAGCTGGGTTAGGGTCGGGGGAGACATGCAGGGGCCAGGCCGAGTTTAAGGAAAGTGGAACCGGTCTGGCACCCTGGCCCCTGTATCCAGCTTGGGTGATGAGAACAGAGAGGGTGACCTGCGCTGGAGCTGGTTCCAGCGCCATGTGCTCACCTTCTGCCTGACTGAACTGGACTGGGTGGGAGGGCATCTGGCTCCGAATGAAACCAGGGGCCTGGGCCTGGTCCCGCTGCCCTCTGTGCCCCGCTGCCCACTGTGCCCCGCACCCAAGAAGCTGCCTAATTAGCATTTCTGTGCCTGTTTTCTCATCAGAGGCCCTGACCTCAGATCTTCTCTAGCTTTTGTGGAAGTGAAATGTTGCAGTTGGTTTAAAGCTGTAAATCGACTGAAGATGGCATCACTTCTAAAACTCACTGACTTTGGTGATGTTGCCTACTGTTATTCTTTTCTTTTTTGAAAGATTTTATTTATTTTTAGGGAGGGAGAAAGAGGGAGAGAAACATCGATGTGAGAGAGTTGGAATTCACACGCTTTGGACTGGGGACCCAACCTACAACCCAGGCATGTGCAGTGACTGGGAATCGAACCGGCGACCTTTCGCTTCTCAGGGTGATGTCCAACCCCCCTGAGCCTCCCCCGTCAGGGCTATTGGTCATTTTGTAAAGCAGATTTATTTGAGGCTTTCCTCATGGATGTTGGCAAGGTAGTCCATTTTTCCCTATTTCTTAAATTACCAGTTTCACAATTTTATTTTCTTCGAAATGTATTTATTTCATTTTCAACACTAGCATTCAATAAACGTTAATAGTAAATATTTGTAAATATTAGTGAACACAGTTGTGAAAGTTGTGTTAAAATTTACAAAGAACAAGCTGGGAACTCAAAGTTCTTTGAAAGCGTGTTTAAAACTTGAATAGGTTATTTTCAGAATTTTCAGTTCTCGCAGCTGTGGCATGCTTGCTGTTGGGGACTTTTGATCACTTTTATAACTCCAGTGCCTGTGATGAAGTAGCTGTTCAGGTGACCACATACAACTAACGGGAGCAGCCCAGGGTGGCTGTGCTGGGGAGGGCGGTTATCCACCCCAGTACCTCTGGGAGGTCAGGTGGCCAAGCAACCAACCACCTGGGGCTCCTCTTCTCTGATTTAGGAACCTCGTTGAAGGTTCCTAAGAATAGGAAGAATCCTTAAGAATAAAAAAAAAACAAAAACCTCACCTTCCTCTGTCTGGTGTGGCTTGGTGCCTTGAGCGGCCTGTGAACCAAAGGGTTGCTGGTTGGAGTCCCAGTTGGGGCACATACCTGGGTTGCAGGCCAGGTCCCCAGTAGGGGGTGCACGAGAGGCAACCACACATTGATGTTTCCCTCTCTTTCTGCCTCCCTTATCCTCTTCCTAAATAAGTGAATAGAATCTTTTAAAAAAACTTAAAAAAAAATTCTGTTTCAGGGCCTCCCAGCTGTGACTGACTTGCAGTCAGAGAGAGGGGAGCAGGGCTTTACCAGGTCGGTGAACAGCCAAGGAGCTCACTCCTCTCAGGACGAGCAAAGTGGGCAGCTTGGCACTTTTATGTCGATTGCCATCTCGCCCCTCCCCCACCTTCCTTCTTGCACACAGATAGTCCCAGAAGTGAAGAAACAAAACTTGAATTCCAGAAAGACTGATGACTCTAACTTGCCAGTGTGAGTCCCTTTTGTGGGAAACCAGCACAAAGAACCAAAGTTGTTGCCTTTAAGGAACTTAGCGAGTTTATCTTCAAAAGTGGAACATTAACAGAATATTAAATTTTATGGGGCTGACTATGGACGGAAGTGCCAAGGAGAGGACAGTGCCTGTGGGTTGGAGCCATTTAAGTGTCTGTAGCTCAGCTGGAAGTGTGACCCAGCCTGGCGTGGAGACCAGGCCACCGGCAGTGGTAGGAGGGTGGGGTGGGTGGGCGGGGTGGGTGTCCAGACCCAGGGACTCAGACCCAGACCCTGTGGCTCATGGGAGCCACAGCCCTGTGCTGGGGCCGGAAGTGGGCGGCAGGAAGGCCACTCTCCAAAGCCACGCAGAGTACCCACCCAGTCACAGACGCCTCCTCTGTACCTCTGTGCGTTTGGCATTTCCCTAAAAATCAAAGAAAGAGAGAAACATAATTGTCCTCATCCTCTTTCGCCCCCAATCCACTGAGCTACACCAGTCAGGGCCCGTGATAAATACATTTAAAACAGCCTTCTGAAACTTTATACACATAAGTGGAGGAAATTCATGTGTAGACCTAGAAGAGTTAGGAATGCTGACCTTTCAGTGACCTTAGGATAAAATGTGTAAGATTCTGTTACAATATGTTGTTTTAATGGCCTCTTCCTCAGCTCCTTAGTAGGGGTGGGATTTTCTCCTGTGGCACCTGACACTGGGCTACACTGGCCACCACACAGGGCCACGTGGGGCCGTGGTGGGAAGAACCAGGGGCTCTGGGAGGTGGGCTTTGTAGTGAGGGTGTGTCCCACCAGCTCTGGTGGAAGGATGTGACCCGCTTGCTTTCACAGCTGTACCTGGGGGGGGGCAGGGAAGCAGGAACGGAAACTGTGGGGTGGGAGAAGGAGGGCTATTGATTGGCTTTGGGCAGCAGAGAGAGGAGGGCAGTGTGTGGTCAGGTGGTTTTACCAGGTGCCAAGGCAGCACACAGAGCGGGTCTTAGTTTTAGACCTCACACCGCCTGTAGGGGGCTTGCATTTAGTGACAGTGAGTAGTAAGCCTTAGTAAGTACTAGTAACTCACCACTGGGTGTTCGAAAGTCAGGTTTATGTGTGCAGAGTGTGAATTTGGATTTGGGAGGCTGTCCTTTGGCATTGGAATTGTAGATAAAGCTGTTGATTGTAGATAAGCTTGTTTCTGGTTATGGTCTCACAGATAACAAAGTGCCATTTCATTGATTCCAGAATGTTCAGATCTTCAAAATGGAGATTTATGAACCAGGAACTTGAGTCACTTCCTCACTAGTGCTCCCACGATGATTAAGAACATAGTTCAGGATGGCAGTGTTGTAAAGGATGGGGAAGCGTGTATGGGAAGGGACGCCCTTATCAAAGCGAGGCGACCCTTGCTCGTTGGAAGGGCACACCTGCCGCCGCACTGCTGTAGGATGCTGATCTAAATGACGCGGTGGTGCCCTGGCTGGTGTGGCTCAGTGGTTGAGCACTGGTCTGTGAATCAGAGTCACTGGTTCAATTCCCAGTCAGGGCATATGCCTGGGTTGCAGGCCAGGTCCCCATTAGGGGGTGTGGGAGAGGCAACTACACATTGATGTTTCTCTCCCTCTTTCTCCCTTCCCCTCTCTAAAAAGAAATAAAATCTTAAAAAAAAATGATGTGGTGGTTTTGTGTCTAACAACCACTCAAGAACAGGTGACTTTATTTTTTTAGTCACCTGTTTCTATGTGACCCCATCCATCCGGACTTATCCCCAAGGTATATGTATTAAGAAGTATTTGAGACTTCCAAATACCTGGGTGCCCAGGATGGAAGAGCTGCTGGCAGGCCAGTGAGGGGGAGCGGGCGTCAGCACGGACAGACGGGGCGTGCAGTGCTCGGGGCCACGCTGCAGGCGCACGGCTTACAGACGGTAAATTCACCAGAGTGCGCAGAGGTGGTGCTCTCCCCTCGCCATGTGCCTCCCAGGCCCCCACCGCCCCACCCCCGTGGCAAATGCTTACGTCTCTTTGCAAACTGACTGTCCCGAGCAGCGGGGCTCCCCAGTTCTCAGGGATCCCACAGGCAGGCTGAAGTGAGTTCCCATAGGCTGGGTGTTCCCATAATTTGGCTCGTAAAATGGGCAATGGCTTACTCATGTCAGAATCCTCAGGGACCTTATAGGTGGTTTAACTTCTTTCTTCCGTGTGTCTTCAGGTCATGGCGCATTCGCAGTGACGCCCCCATCTAGAGGCAGGCCCGAGCGTCCACTGCCCAGCTGAGGAGTTTTCCCAGTGCGTCATCTTGCCTGTGGAGTGCAGTAGGGGGACTGGAGGGGTTTCTTACAGACACGTAACCTCATCCATAGTGCCTGTGACTGACACTTACAAAGACTCTGCCCTGGGTTGTGGGCTGCGTCCCCAGTAGGGGGCACATGAGAGGCACCACCCAGTGATGTTTCTTTCCCTCTCTTCCGCTCTCTCTAAAAGTGAACAAATAAAATCTTTAAAAAAATCAGGAAGTACCGGAAAATTGGGTGGTAGTTATAACCAATCGTGAACCTTGTTGCTGAGTAACGTTTTTTTCCCTCCACTTTCTATGCTTTGTTTTCATTCATTTGTCAACAGTTCATGACTTGGTCGTTGGGACTTGTGGCTTGAGCCGTCCAGTGCCCGTGGCCTTCATGCTCTCTGACAAGGCCACCAGCAGCACGTCTGCAGCCTGGCACACACACGTGTCTGCTGGGGTACCACATTCTGCTGACAAAATTAGGGCAATCCGCCTTCTCCCCACGCACCCCCCGATGGGCTAAATGAGCAGTGAATCACCATATGCTTATATCCACGTAGCTTTCTAAGAAGATGTGTGGGTGAGAAATTTTGAGTTTCTTTATATAGGTTATTTCAAAGGACACATTTGTGAAGTTAGTAGGTGTGTTTATAAGCTAGATATGTATATTTATGCCTCATTTTCATTGTGTAGAATGTTTTTCCTTTTTCTTTATTAACAAATATTTATTTACTTTTAGACAGAGGAGAGGAAGAGAGGGAAAAGGGAAAACATCAATGTGTGGTTGCCTCTTGTGCACCCCCTACTGGGGACCTGGCCTGCAACCCAGGCATGTGCCCTGACTGGGAATCGAACCTGCGATCCTTTGGTTTGCAGGCTGGGCACTTAATCCACTGAGCCACATCAACCAAGGCTGTTTTTTTCTTATAAGCAAAGTTTTGTCCCTGTGGACTGTCAATTAAGACTGGAAACATTTTTATTTTTTTAAGTTTTTATTTATTTATCCTTAGAGGGGAAGAGAAAGAGAGAGGGAGAGAAATATCAATGTGTGGTTGCCTGTGTCCCCTGCTGGGAACTGCCTGTGCCCCCAGCAGGGTCGTGTGTCCCCTGCTGGGAAGTGGACTGGAAACATTTTTAAAATATGAAACCAGAGTTTATAAAATCAATGTCGACGTGGTTCTGAGTTAACCTTGACCTGTAATATCGTATCTGTTTACTTAGTGCACAGCATAATAATTGACTACCATACTGGAATGATTACCATAGTAATTGACACCCATCGCTTCCATATACATGTTTTCTTGTTTTGAGAACTTTGAAGATCTGCTCTCTTAGCCACTTTCAAATATCTGGTATTGTTAACTGTGGTACCATGCTGTACATGACGTCCCCAGGACTGATGTATCTTGTAACTGGGAATTTGTACCTTCTGACCCCCTCCTCCCAGCCCCCACCAGTGGTGACCACCACTTTGTCCTCTGGTCCTGTGAGTTTGGGTTTTCAGTACAGCTTTATGTCGAGATACCATCTTTTGCCGCAATCAGATAAGCACTAAATATAAACACTACATACATTGCTTTTCGGTATCAGTAACAAGGAAAGTATTATTGCTGTATGTGGAGAGAAATGAAGCACAATGTTGGATCGCACGGTGCTGTCCTGATCGCTCCCTGAAGATCTCCTTTCGTTTTGTCTCCTGTAGGTCTGCAGCCTGCCTCGTCTTGGCTCCTGCACCGTCACGTCCCTGTCTCACCGTGATCAATGTGAGTGACAGGGACTTCTTGAGTCACGAACGAAATGAGCCAGGGGCGTGGAAAATATGACTTCTATATCGGTCTGGGCTTGGCTATGAGCTCCAGCGTTTTCATTGGAGGGAGTTTCATTTTGAAAAAAAAAGGCCTTCTGCGACTTGCCAGGAAAGGCTCCATGCGAGCAGGTAGGTGGTGCTGCGGGGACTGTGACGTCAGTGTGCGTGCTGACGTCCTCGGGGGCTTTGACAGTAGACGCGGCCCCTTTTTGGTTCCTAGTGAGTGTATTCATAGCTTCAAACCACGAGGGTTGTAAATGTGGGTAGAGAATGCAACATCAGTTTTGTAATGAGAAAAACGGGAAGTGAGACGATGTCCAAATAAGCTACCCACTCGGCCCTGCAGTTATAATACCTGGGACCTGGGGCCTGGGGCCGGTGCCGATGAGCACCCAGCCATTTACATTCTGATGAGTCTGCTGAGAAAGGAGGTCGGGGTCTGCAGAGGATCAGAACCTCACTCAGGACGGGGCTGTTTTGTCTGGGACAGGATTTTTACCTTAGGCATATTTTTCCTAGAAGAGAGAGAGGGCTTTCCCAAGGTGAAAAGTCCTCAGTCCAGTGAACTTCTGCAGGGTGGGTGTAGGCTGTTTTCCCAGAGACTACTCACAGGTCAGGGGGCTCCGGGGCACACCTGACGTGCTGGCCCCCCCTCCGGCCCCCTCTGATTTCATCTGCTGCACTTACGACAGCGCCCAGCATTGCCTTGCATCCTGCTCGAGTTCTGTCAGTTCAGCCTCTGCGCCAGTTCTACACCTGGTTCCCACCTCCTAGGAAGACCTGCTTTGACAGTAAAAAATGCTACCTCCCTATTGGCTGTGCCATCTCTGTGGCCGAACCTCATCACCCAGACTGCGAAGTTTAGCTTCTTTTTTTTGTTTTTTGTTTTTTTTATTTTTAAAAAAATTTTTTTATTGATTATGCTGTTACAGTTGTTCTATTCCCCCCTTCATTCCCCTCCACCCTACCCCCCCATCCCCACCATTACCCCCGCTTTAGTTTATGACCATGTGTCTCAAGTCCTTTAGATTCTATATTTCCCATACTATTCTTGCCCCCCCCATCTATTTTCTATCTACTGTCTATGCTACTTGTTTTCTGTACCTTCTCCCCCCGTCTCCTCCTCCCACTCCCCCTGTTGCTAACCCTCCTTGAGATCTTCATTTCTATGTTTCCACTCCTGATCTAGCTGTCCTTTTAGTTTGCTTTCATTTTAGGTGTGGTTGTTAGTAACTGTGAGTTTGCTGTCCTTTCACTGTTCATGTTTCTTTAACTTCTTTTTCTTAGATAAGTCCCTTTAACATTTCATATAATAAGGGCTTGGTGATGATGAACTCCTTGAATTTGATCTTATCTGAGAAGCACCTTATCTGTCCTTCCATTCTAAATGAAAGTTTTGCTGGATAGAACAATCTTGGTTGTAGGTCTTTGGTTTTCATGACTTGGAATACCTCTTTCCAGCCCCTTCTTGCCTGTAAGGTCTCTTTTGAGAAATCAGCTGACAGTCTGATGGGAACTCCTTTGTAGGTGACTGTCCCCTTAGCTCTTGCTACTTCTAGGATTCTCTCCTTCATTTTAATCTTGGCTAATGTAATTATGATGTGCCTTGGTGTGTTCCTTCTTGGGTCCAACTTCTTTGGGATTCTCTGAGCTTCCTGGATTTCCTGGAAGTCTATTTCCTTTGCCAGATTGGGGAAATTCTCCTTTATTATTTGTTCAAATAAGTTTTCCACTGGTGGCTGTGCCTTTCCCCCTTCTGGTACCCCTATAATTCGGATGTTGGAGCGTTTAAGATGTCCTGGAGGTTCCTAAGACTCTCCTCATTTCTTTGAATTCTTGCTTCCTGACTTTTTTCTGTTTGGCCATTATTTGCTTTCTTCTGGTCCACTCCATTGATTTGAGTCCCAGTTTCCTTTTCATTGCTATTGGTGTCCTGTGTAATTCCATTCATTTCAATTAGTTTCGCCTTCATATGTTTCTCTAATTTGTGGGTATAATCAACCAGTTCTGTGAGGATCCTGATGACCAGTGTTTTAAACTGTGCGTCTGAGAGTTTTGCTATTTCTTCATCGCTTAGATCTATGGGCTCTGGGGCTTTGAGATCTTGCGACATTTTTGGTCTGTTCTGGCGCTTTAAGTGTGAGAAGCGGTGCCCTAGACTCCCAGGTCGCTGGGTTGTGACGCTGTATGTGGGGGCGTGGTCAGAGCGGGGAAATGGCGGCGCCCTCTACTGCCGCTTGCTGCGGGGGACCCACCGGGCCCTGGTCCAACCGCCCACTCCCTCGCCTGTCCGCTCGCGCACAAATGGGCGACCACAGTCAACACGCAGCACCGCTTTCCCGCTGTCTCCTCCGCAGTCGCTCACTAGGTCCAACCCTGCGCCTGGATTCCACGCGTCTGGATTCTGCGCCTGAGTCCGTCTGACCAAGTCCTCCTGTGCAACCCCTCACCAGCCGCTGGTTTCGCCCCTTACCGGTCAGGCTGAAGAATTTGTTGTTAACGGACTTCCGAAAAGTTCAATTTTTCGTGTTCTGGCTGTGTTTTCTGTTGCTAATATTTAGTTGTCTCTAAACTTGGTTGTGTGAGAAGGCACCGCACATCCACCTATGCCTCCATCTTGGCGGAAGTCCCCCGAAGTTTAGCTTCTGTTGGGGTTTTATGGACAGAGGGGAGCCCCTTAAACAAGTACATTCCTACTTCTTGGCCAGTCCTGTGGTGTGTACTCTTTTTTGCCCGTGATGGACGTACTTTTCAGAGGCTCTCCTTGCATCGACTTTTTCTTTTGGACACTGTTAAGGACCGACTGCTTGACTTGATCACTTTGTTGGGGGTCAAGGTAGAGTGAAAAAGCAGGAGGAGCTTCCGGTCAGCTCCAGACTTTGAGCACGGCTCTGTCGGTTTACACCTGGTCAGCATGGGCTCCTCTGTCACAAGTCACAACCTCATAGGGCCTGACCCACCCCTGTAAGGCTTGTCGGCTCTCAGGCTAATTCCTCCGAGAGTGGACCGCTTTTGATTGGTTTATTTTCTTTACTCCACTTATTACAAAAGCTGACTTCACAAAAGACTGTTAAGGGTTGATTTTATTCCTTCACTCAGTATGATGGTAAAACCTAAACATTTTCAGTATTCCGTGACCCTCTCATCCCCTTTTGTTATGTGATCATAAAAATATTATCTAAGAAATCCCTTTATACAGGCCAGAACCTGTAGTCAAAGTAGCAATGAGCAACAAATGAGATCTTTTAAAATCTGGCATTGCTAATAGTCGTCATAATTTTGTAGGGGCCTGATGATCTTTCCAAGAAGTGAACTGTGTTTTCATCCACAGGTCAAGGCGGCCACGCGTACCTCAAGGAATGGCTGTGGTGGGCTGGGCTGCTCTCCAGTAAGTACAGAGACTATTTTCAGGAAACGTTACAGTTGTATACTATTTACAGATACTGTTACAGCTTCATGTTACTAGAAGTTTTTTCAAAGTTTAAATAAGTCCTTTTACTAATGAACAAAACTCAAAATATTTAAAATTGGCCCTGGCTGCTGTGGCTCACTGGATCGATTGCAAGATGTGAATTGAAGGGTCGCTGGTTTGATTCCCAGTTAGGGCACTTGCCTGAGTTGCAGGCCAGGTTCCCAGTAGGGGGCACACAAGAGGCAACCACACATTGATGTTTCTCTTCCTCTTCTCCCTCCCTCCCTTCCCCTCTCTCTAAAAATAGATAATAAAATCTGAAAAATAAAATTTAAAATGGAAGCCTGTAGAGGTCATGTAGCAGTTTAATAGCTTCTGTAATTTAAGCGGGGGTCTTTTTTTACCTGTCCGATGAAAACCCGCCTGACTGTGCTTGTGTTTTCATAACTCTGCTCCGACTGAGAAGGTGCTTTTGAAAGGGAAAGGGCACAGGAAACACCCTGTTTTAATTCCCTCCCCTGGGCTCCCCCTTCCCAGCTGGGAAGCAGTGCAATGGACAGGACATTCCATAGAAAGGGACAGAGGAGGCCCGGAAACCCTGAACCTTCCAAGTCTTAGTTAAATCATGTGAATGTTCTTTCTAAGCCTGAGGGCAGCTGAAATAGCACTGTGCCTGATTTGACTATTTATTCAACAAGTTCTGTTTTTGTACACCTGGTATTGTTCCGGGTGCTGGAGATGCAGTAGTCAAAGAAAGAGAAAGATCCTTCCCCAGGGAGAGTGAAGACAACAGTAAACAGGATCATAAGGTGCAGTGTGTTAGGGATAAATGCCAACTGTGGTTAGGACTAAAGAGGGAAGGGATGTAAAGTGAAGGATTGAGAGCTTTTACCTTTTAGAGGCGGGGTCGGGGCAGGTCTCACATTGGAGGGATATTTGGAGGAAGAGCATTTTAATTATTTTTTTTTAAAGATTTTATCCAGCCCTGGCTGGTGTGGCTCAGTGGATTGAGCGCCAGCCTGCAAACCAGAGGGTCACCAGTTCGATTCCCAGCTGGGGCACATGCCTGGGTTGTGGGCCAGGTCCCCAGTAGGGGGCACACGAGAGGCAACCACACATTGATGTTTCTCTCCCTTTCTCCCTTCCCTTCTCTAAAAATAAATAAATATTTTTTTAAAAAGATTTTACCCATTTTTAGAGAGAGGGGAAAGAAAGAAGAGAGGGAGAGGAACATCAATGTGTGCTTGTCTCTCGTGTGCCCCCAAATGGGGACCTGGCCGGCAACCCAGGCACGTGCCCTGACTGGGAATTGAACCAGTGACCTTTCGGTTCACAGCCTGTGCTCAATCCACTGAGCCACACCAGCCAGGGTGTTATTTCCGTTTTGAGTGGATATGTTCCTATCTGAGAGTTTTCTTTTGTTGTTTCTCCCAGTGGGAGCCGGTGAGGTGGCCAACTTCGCTGCCTATGCCTTTGCGCCTGCCACCCTGGTGACTCCGCTGGGTGCCCTCAGCGTCCTTGTAAGGTAAGGGCGCAGGGCTCTGTGCGTGCGACAGCTGGCAGCGCTGCAGACCGGAAGTGGTTGGGGCCGGCTCGTGACACAGGCTCAGCGCGATTCACATTTAAACACCCCGGAGACTGCTTTGAATGCCGTGTCGTAATTTGCCTTTAAAGCTCATCTTCTGCACCCAGAACAGCCGGCAGTTTATGGGAGAAAAGGCTTTTGTGCTTTACCTTGTTTGTGTTCAGAGCCAACACTAGTTTTACTTTATTTCAGTTTTTTAAAACTCAAAGCAGTGCCCTTGTCACAGTATTTATCATATGACACGTGCACCTGGTGTGGGGGTGGCTGGTGATGAACAGATTTCTACCTATTTCAACCACCAAAAATCACTGCCCGGGGCAGGTTAGGTGCCTCTAAAGACCAGCCCTGGGTGCTTGTTTGCAGAGAACCATCCAAGATTTGTGTGATTTCCACTACTTCAATTATTTGCTCAAATGCTAAGCCCATAAAAAAGGCTGGCTTTTGGTTTCTGTCCCCAAAGTTAATTCATAGGTATTTTTATCTTTTTTTCCCCCAAAATTGTGTGTGTGACCTCCAAATACTCGGCATTTATTTATAAAAATTGTGTATTTATTCCCACATGTTTCAATTCAGTCACCTTCAAAGTACTCTCCACTTGATGTAATACACCTATCGAGACTTTTTCCACTGATCAAAACAGTTTTTGAACTCAACCAATTTTGATGCCTTTACATGCTTCTGTCATTTTTATGTTTCTCCTCTTCCACATTGCAGAACGTGTTTCTTGGAAGACTTTTTTTATCTGGAGAAACCAAAAAAGTCGCTCGGGGAAGATGGAGCCCAAAGGGTCATGCTCTTTTTGGTTAAAAACTGCTGAACACTCAGTGCACCTGCTCTCATAAATCACCCGTCATGAAATGGGCAAATGCATAGAAAGAGTACTAAAAAAAAACAAAAACAAAACAAACCTCACTGAAGCTGAACGCAACCTCTCACAACACCACCAGCTGATGCACTGATACTGATGGGTTCCTAGAACACTAACCTAGTGGGGGAAGCCTGGACTACAAGGGGCCTGCCCTCCAGAAGATAGTTCCGGGGTTTTTTTGGGGGGTCCCCCAAACATTACACATAAATGACATTATTTTTCAAGATAGCATGTATTATCTATAAAGATATCTTACAGTATAGTCTTTAATCCCTATTTTTCTGTATATTATACTAGTACATTTATAGATTTATCCTGTATTTTGTAATATTTGGATAAAATTAGCTATAAAGCATTGAAACTTGATAATTAATAGGCAAATTATGTAGAATTAAATGAACACATAAGAAGGATGCATCAACCAATGAGAATCAATTGAAGTTGAGCAAATTTTAAGCACTGGTTTGCATAGATTCTTAATTAAGATACAAATTTGTATGTAGCTCCACTTATTGTACATTTCATGCTGATTTCCCACAGTAGAAGGATGGTAACTCTACTGGTTTAGTGTGCGGCGAAGCAGGTGATTCCCAGGGGCCTTCATTTTGTGATCAAAGACATTTTCTGCCCCTTGGCCGGAAGCTGGAATCTATATAAGCCCCCAGTGTTTTAGTTCAAGTTCAACTAGCTAATGTCTGAATTGTGTTGATAATTAGAAATGAGAAAAGTAGCCGAACATTTTAATCTTATCCACCTCCTCCTTCCCGTTTTAGTGCCATTCTTTCTTCATACTTTCTAAATGAGAGGCTTAACCTTCATGGGAAAATCGGGTGTTTGCTAAGCATTCTGGGATCCACGGTGATGGTCATCCACGCTCCGAAGGAAGAGGAGATCGAGACGCTCGACGAAATGTCGCACAAGCTCGGGGACCCAGGTGAGGGAAAGAAAGGCTGCATTAGGCTCACTGTAGTGTTGCTTTTCAGTTTAGTGGGTGTTTTAGTTTGTCTGAACGATTTTATTTTTTATTTTTTAAGATTTTATTTATTTTATTTTTAGACAGAGGGGAGGAGAGGGAGAGAGGGAGGGAGAGAGACATCACTGTGTGGTTGCCTCTCGCGTGCCCCCTACTGGGAACCTGTCCCAAAACCCCGCCACGTGCCCTGACAGGGAACTGAACCAGTGACCCTTTGGTTTGCAGGTCGGTGCGCAATCCACTGAGCCGCACCAGCCAGGGCTCACGCGCGCGTGTGTGTGTGTGTGTGTGTGTGTGTGTGAGAGAGAGAGAGAGAGAGAGAGAGAGAGATTGGTCATTTGACTTCGGGAGCTTTTAGGATGTCCTCTTTGCCCTCACTGTCCAAAATTCCTCACTCACTGCCTGGATGTGGGTCAGTTTTATTCTCTATTCTGGGTTCTGGTTTGTTTTTTAACTTCATTTTATTTTTTGAGAGAGAGAGAAAGGGAGGGAGAAAGGGAGAGAAACGTTGATTGGTTGCCTCCAAATGCGCCCCACCAGGGACTGAACCTGCAACCCAGGCATGTGCCCAACCAGCAGTCAAACCCGTGAGCGCTCAGTTTGTAGGATGTGCTGGGTTCCGGATAGATTTGTTTCATTTTCACTTTTTTGTAGCACACAAAACAATACTTTGCAAGAATTATACCAACAAAAAGGTAAACGTGGCTTATGAGTGAGGGAAAAGGAAGCAGGCTCTGGTGCTAAAAAGGAATACATAACTAGGTAACTCCGTATCAAAGTAACAATTTCAATGAGACCTCAATAACAGAGTAGGAAGAGGGGAACAGGAAGCCTTCTAGCAGGCCAGGGGCCAGGCGTGTGCAAGCAGTGGGGTAGAGGAAGGGCCGATTGGAGTGGAGTGGGAAGTCAGGCTGGGGAGAGGACTGGGTGAGATTTCAAGGGCCTGGAGAGCCCAGTGAGGAACTGAACTAGGGCTACAGGAGGTCAGGGGGCCCTGAGGGGGCTGAGTGCGGAGGGATGCAGGGAAGTGCTGGCCGGGCCGGTGGGGCCTGGGGCCTGGGGCCTGGGGCCAGCTGCGTGGGCGGAGGTGGATGCTCTGGGGAAGTTTGCATGCTGGGCGCCCTTGGCCTGGTGGTCTGGGCAGGAAGAGACGTTGGGGTAGGATCCTGGCTGCCTCTGGACACAGACAAGGTCAAGTTCGAGTTCTCTGAAGACTGAAACAAGGAAGTTAGGGCAGAAAGTCAGGTTGAGGAGTAACTGATTTCTCACCCTGGCGGCCCTGTTTCCCAGTCAGTGACTGACTCACTAGTCTTGATCAAGCACCTTAAGCATCTCATCGGCACGCCTGCATCAGAGGTAGCAGAAACCTTTGTTTTCCACGTGACAGGTGAGAGAACCAGAGAGTTTCGGTTAATTTTCCCAAGTCACCGAAGTAACTAGAGAAGGGCCGGGCTGGGACTAGGCCTCTTCACTTCTAGCCTTCAGGGGAACTTGCCCGAACCTGGTTGGGTGTGTCGGGCTTGAAAATCAAGGCCACTCACATTTGGGTGTCTCAGTTGGCGTGGCCATCAGCTATCAGTTTTCACAGCGGGATTTACCTGTCCACCGCCCCACCCCCACCAGCTCAGCTTCCTGTGCACGTGACTGGCTGGCTGGTCGGGCTTCTACCCAGAAACTGTGTGCGTTACTGACCCTTTACTGACCCTTCTGTGCCTGCCTGACAGGCGAGGATGCGCTGGCTGCGGGGGCCTTGTCGGGCAGCCTTGTCATCCTCCTCCCCGGGCAAAGCACACAAGTGACTCTGAAAAGGATGAGCTCTCAGGCCCGGGCCGGGTAGCTCAGTTGGTTACAGCATCATCCCCATATGCCAAGGTTGCGGGTTTGATCCTTAGGACATAAACAAGAATCAACCAATGAATGTATAAATGAGTGTAACAACAAATGGATGTGTCCATTTCTCTCTCCCTCTCTTAAAAGGGAAAAAGGGGAAAAAGAGCTTAGAGTTGAAAAGATCTTCACCTCCCTCCCAAACTGAAGCCCCTCCGACAGCACCTGGACAGGTGGTCACCCTGTGGCCGGGGTGTCCGTCCCTTTGTCAGGACAGCTGTGAGGACCAGAAGGCTCGGAGTCTGGGCCTAGGGACTCGGCTGTGTGACTTTGTAAACAAAGTAGCACAGGCCTGGGCGCCAGGCGACTTCCGCCAGAGTTCTGCCCGCGTCATTTGCCACGTGGCTGGAGTAAGTTATTTATCTTCTGCGAGTTGCCTGTGCTTCATCTGGGGACCTGGGGGAGGACGCCCGTTTTACAGTGACTGTGCGTGTGAGAGATGACGGAAGGAAAACGCCCAGTTACGGAGTCTGGCACAGAGGGCTGGTTAAAGGTTCAGCTCTCAGCGTCATCTTCCCCGTTGTCCGCCTGCAGGTCCTACGGGCCTGCGGTGGATGACTGGCTTCGGGGGCCATGCAGTTCCTAACCCCGAGCCTCCACCACGTCTTCCTCTTTTGGTCGTCCTGCCTGCGGCTGTGCCAGTCCCGGGTAGTGCGCCCCCTGATGGCACCCCCAGGGAGGCCTGAGGGCTCCGGAGCAGGGGTCGCCCAGGAGCCTCCCCGCACCTCACCTGGGCCCCCTTGCGCTTGTCGGGCAGCCTGGCGCACACGACCTTAGTCCTGTGAAGCCTGCGGGCGTGTTCTCGTGAACGAGGTTCAAGCCTGCCCCGCTGTGCTCTTTGTAGGGGTTTGGTTCTGTTGTTTTTAGTTCAAGAGCAAACTTTTGTTAACCGAGGGCCCGTCGTGTTTTGGGTACTGTGCCATGTTCTGTGGGCACAGGCTGCGGGGATGAAGTGTCCGAGTAGCAGGCACGTCTGTCCTCCATGACCTGTCCCCACTTCTCGGCATGAAGTCTCCGTGTGGCTCTGAGTTTACTGTGGTTGAATGAGCGAAGGACTAAAATCGTCAGTGGGAATTTTTTTCAAAAGTGAAAAGATATTTCCCCGATTCACTTCTTTTGTGAATTAAGGGATTTTGTGCAAGCCCAGGGCTCCTAGCCCAGCCCTCGTGTGTCCCCATCTGGGGTGAAGCCCAGTTTCCAAAATAAACCTGTGCTGTTCCGTTCAAGGCCAGAATCAGTGCACATGGGCTGTATTTGCTGGGTGGCCCTCACACCCTGGCACGGAAGGCCTCTGGTGTGCCCCCATCAGGCAGTGACACAGGCTGATGTCCCAGGGCCACCAGGAGCAGGCTCCAGTGGCTGCAAGGTCATGGGAGGGCATCTCCCAGCCGCGGCTTCAGAGGAGCCGGAAATTCTGCCTTAGTGCTGCGCGGGGCCGCAGGCCCAGTGCCTCTGGGTCAAAATCTATCTCTAAATGTCAGATATGTGAAAGTTGTGGTGTTCAGCTCTTCAAACCCACAGTCAGGAAGGTTCTGGGAACTCTGGGGCGCTCTCTGTTTGTCCACTTACTTGTTCCTCAGGTGAGTGCTGTTTGTGGGTTTGTTGCTGTCAAATGCTAGTCCTTACTCGGTTACCATGGAGACACCCCCGCTGGCCCCGGCCCCCATGCCAGAGGCTGTAGACTGGGCTCTGCAGGCCCACGTTCTCCATGGAGGTGGAGTTGTCTACGTCCTCCTGGTCGCCCCGCCTCCCGCTTTGCGGTGGGAGACGGGGCTCGCGCATGCGCATGTGCACTCGAGACCCTCCGGGAGTCCAGTCCAAACTTCAGTACTCTGGGAGTTTGGGGTTTGAATTATTCCTTGGATTTCTAATCTGTTTTCTCTTTGAAAGTTTTTTCTCCCGTTGATTGGACCTCCTGAATTAGACCACTGTTTTTCTTAATATTTTTTCCTAATTTTGCCCTTTGTTCTGTCTACTGGGAGAGATCCTCAGTTTTATCTTCTAGCCTTCCTTTGAATTTTTATATCTGCTATAATTTTTTAAAGGTTTTATTCTATTCATTTCTACACAGAGGGGAAGGGAGGGAGAAATAGAAGGAGAGAAACATCAATGTGTGGTTGCCTCTCATGTTCCCCCTACTGGGGACCTGGCCCACAACCCAGGCATGTTTCCTGACTGGGAATTGAACCTGTGACCCTTTGGTTCTCAGGCCAGAGCTCAGTCCACTGAGCCACACTAGCCAGGGCTGCCATTCTATTCTTAGTTTCCAAGGGCTTGCTTTTTGTTTTTGGATTCTTATTTTTTATTGTGACAGAACAGAAACCCACATAACAAAAGACTCACTCCTGGTGTATTCCAGAGTCCCGTCCAGTCCCCATAGGTGCACGCACGGTGATGTGGAGCGGGTTCCCTGAGGGCCTTTGTCATTCAGCCTCAGGGTCATTCAGGGGCCTGTTCCTATGATGTTTAGTCTTTAGTTTTTCCTTTGTCTTTAGTTGTTTAGTCTGACTTTCCACAGCCCGGGTTGATACCAGCCGTGGTGTGTGGACAGATAGGCAGGTCAGAGGACAATGATCACCTTCCACCTGAAGTGCTGTTTCCGCTGTGTTGGAGCCGGTTTCTTTCCATTTCCCCTTATTCTTGCTGCTAGACCCTCTGGCTATGAACCCATAGCCTGTGGTGTGGACTCGGACGCCCCCTTCCCCCGACGCTTGCACTGCGGTGTCTCTGCAGCCTCCTCCCCAGGCCGCTCTGCCTCTTCCTCTGGCCTCCGTGTGTGCAGCCGCTGGGCCCGCAGCGCCCTCGGGAACCGCGCGCAGGCAGTGGACTGACTGCCTGTCTTCCCTCCTTTCTGGAGTCCCGGCCCAGCATGTCTCCTCACTTCAACTTCCTTTGTCGACCCAGCCCACTGAACTCCCGCCGGCCCCGGTGGCCCTTCCTGCTGGCCTCCTGGCCCTGGAACTGGCAGTCGCTTATGGGACTAGTCCGTGGGCGTTGCCCTGACCCCTGGGGCTCCCGTTTCTCCAGGTGGGGCTCCTGGCCGCCCCGACTGCTGAGGAGACAGTGGCAGTTTTTATTGTTTCTGTGCGACGGAAGGCCCTCTGTTTGGAGGTGGTCCTGTCCCCACGGAGCAGAGGCGTCGCTGTCTTTGGGACATGGCAGCGCCGCTCCTGGCGGTCCTTCGCCTCCTTCTGGGGTTGGGCTGCTCAGATCCCCAGCGGCGCCTCCTGTTACCTGTTCTTGGCTTTGTGTTTGCTCCTCTGAATGTCCTGTGGCTACTTGTGTTATTAGCAGCATGTGAGGTGTGAACAGTGGCTGCTGTGCCTGTTCTTCGTCTGGGAATGCAGCGTTGTACCCCCCTGCCCCCCCCTGTCCCTATACAGAGCACGCGGCACACGGGGCCGAGGGGAGCTTGGGGCGCTGGTGGGCTGCTGCCGCTCCACGGCTCCTGTTCTGCCAGAATCGGCAGCCGTTCCCATCTGTTTTCTAACTGATTTGCTCTTCCCCCCAGTGGTCGTCCCTAAATGTGTAAAAATGTACTCCACCTACAGCAAACGTGACGTGAAATTCCCGTCCTCTTTGAGCCCAAGGTCACCCTGTGATTCTCTCCACCAGGTTCCAAGGAACTCTGTCCACGAGAGAGCCCTCCCGGGGAGGGCCAGAGAGAGCTGTTTCCAGAGCAGATGGCTGGGCATCGACCTGATGCCATTTTCTTTGCTATAATTATCAGGATGCCCGAGATGCTTCCATAAAAATGTTTGTTGTGAGCCCTGGATGGTGTAGCTCAGTGGACTGAGTGCCAGACTGCAAACCAAAGGGTGTCCCCTGGTTCGATTCCCAGTCAGGGCACATGCCTGGGTTGCAGGCCAGGTCCCCAGTAGGGGCTGCATGAGAGGCAACCACGCACTGATATTTCTCTTCCTGTCTCTAAAAATAAATAAGTAAAATCTTTTTAAGAAAAATGTTAGTGGTGTGAGTTTGCGAATAGAAGCCTAATTTACTCTTCCAGTGCGTGTGTCTGACTGAAGTTTGTTGAGTGTGTTGTGGCTGGGGCAGCAGACAGAGCTGACTTATTTCAGGGCCGCACCGGTCCTCCTTCCTGTCGACTTGACTTAGTCTTGTCTAGGATTCCCGGTTTTCTGTAAGTGTGTAAACATCTCACTAACAAGAGCCTGTCTTCGCCTCCTCCAGGTTTTATGGTCTTCGCAACGCTCGTGGTCATCGTGTCCTTGATCCTAATCTTCGTGGTGGGGCCTCGCCACGGACAGACGAACATCCTGGTGTACATCACCATCTGCTCCGTGATCGGGGCGTTCTCGGTGTCCTGCGTGAAGGGCCTGGGCATCGCCATCAAGGAGCTGGTGGCGGGCAGGCCCGTGCTGCAGCACCCGCTGGCCTGGGCCCTGCTGCTCAGCCTCGTCGTGTGCGTGAGCACGCAGATCAACTACCTGAACCGGGCCCTGGACATCTTCAACACGTCCCTCGTGACGCCCATCTACTACGTCTTCTTCACCACGTCGGTCCTGACTTGTTCGGCCATCCTGTTCAAAGAGTGGCAGGACATGCCCGCGGACGATGTCATCGGCACGCTGAGTGGCTTCTGCACCATCATCGTGGGCATCTTCCTGCTACACGCCTTCAAGGACGTCAGCTTCAGCCTGGCCAGCCTCCCCGTGTCTCTCCGGAGAGATGAGAAAGCCGCGAACGGCGGCCTCGCGACTATGTACGAAGTTCTGAGCAGCAACGAGGAGGGTTTAACCTGTGGGATCGAACAGCACCCAGGGGAGAACGTCTCCCGGAGAAACGGGAGCCTGATGGCCTTTTGAGAAAGATGTGATCACAAGGTCGGTCCACCATGGAGTGATGGTGAAACGAATCGGAGCATCAAGATGTGTCCGGGAAAGGGTTCTCCTCAAATAATGTTCTCTAGAGACAATCTTTTTTAAGGTTTGACTAATTTGGACCAAGGAATTACTTTTCTTATATTTAAATGATGGTAGCTCACTAAAATGACCTCAGTCCCCTACCGATTCTTGTTAACGTTGTTATTGTAGCAGTATCTCAGATCTTTTTTTCACCAAACCCTGAGTGCACTAATGACAATTCCAAGTCTATAAACGCTTCTTCAGTGTGATGACTGTCTGCACCCTTGTGGCCTCCATTCGCATCCCTACTTTAAGGCTTTTTGATTGAATAATAAAAGATTATCTCTATCCTGTGATTTAGCTTACCTACAAAAATGACTCCCATCCGATGAGTTATTTTAACGTGTGAGAGAAAAAACTAAGTAGGGTGACTGGTTCACAAAACAAAGGGCAGGAAGCCACCGTACAGAACGCCTCTCCCTGTGACTGGGCCGCACATGTCACATGCCCTTCCCGGGTGGCCTTACACCAGCGCGTCCTGCGGCTGGTGCGCGGTTTTGACCTTCAGTGACTTGTCCCTTGAGCCCCGAACCTCAACTCCCGTTTTCACATCTTCTACTGGGCAGTGTATTTTCACAGTGAGTTACGCTGTCGTTTAGGTCTTGTAACAACTCTGGGAAAGGAAGGCAATTTTAAAAATTTAGTTTATGTTACAAATGGAAACAAAGCTCTGTTTGAGTCTGAATGCTTAGACCTTGTCTGTAAAATCAGGGTTTCTTTCCAAGTATTGTATGAGTTCATTTATATTTAGAAATATAAATGAATAAGGTTCATGGGAAACTTCAACTGTGTACAGAAAAGGTAGAAGAGAATAATGAACTCTATCCAGCTTCAGATCTGTGGCCATAGCAATTCACTGTAAAAAACTGACAGTGAATGTCCCTTGGGGCGTGGGGAGCTCTCGGGCAGTGTCCACTCTGCTGCCGGCGCCCCAGGTCACGCAGCTAGGCTTCCCCGTGTGACCACCCGCACCTCGCTCACGCCTTCACAGGCCTCCATGAGCATTACCAGGGAGGAGCTGACAGGCTCAGAGTGTCATGAAATAATTTCATGAAATTTATTAGACACCCTCTGGGGAGCCTTTTTAGACCTTTTCCCCAACCGCCTCCCCGTGGGATTCTGTGCCACAGCTGTATGCTGGTGGATGGGCTGTGCCCGCCTCTGAGCGTCATATGTAATAGAGCAAGAGCAGTATCTCTCTTGGTGTGGTGCTGCCCTCAGCCAGAATGCAGCGTGTAAGCCCTGGCTGGTGTGGCTCAGTGGATTGAGCACAGGCCTGCGAACCAAAGGATCGTGGTTTGGTTCCCAGTCAGGGCACGTGCCTGGGTTGCAGGCCAGTTCCCAGCAGGGGACGCACGAGAGGCAACCATACACTGATGTTTCCCTGTCTCCTTCCCTTCCCCTCTACAGATAAATAAAAACTTTTAAAAAAGAATGCAGAGCTTAAGAAGAGTAAATTCTTCATGATTTAACACTTAAAGCACTTATCTTTCATATGAGTGCTTAGGACATTTCTTTTATAATTTTTGTTTGTTTTCTCATTGTATTTTTCCCATTACCATTTGTCACCCCCCCCCACCCCGTGGCTTATAATTCTTACAAAATTCAGTAATAGGAATAGTTTAAAATTTAGTCATTACAACAAATTTTCATTCTATTCTACACTCAGTGTGGGATGAGAACAGATACTCCCTCACTCAGACTGCTGGTCCCAGGTTTATCAGTTCACGTTAAAAAACAATAGCTTGCCCTGGCCCAGGTGGCTCAGCAGATTGAGTGCCAGCCTGTGAACCAAAAGGTCACGGGTTCGATTCCCAGTCAGTACACGCCTGGGTTGTGGAGCAGGTCCCCAGTTGTGGCTGTGAGCGAGATGACTGGATTCTCTCCCTCCTTTCCTCTTTCTCTTAAAATGAATAAAATCTTGAAAACAAAAAGTTATCAGTGATTTGGTTAAGAATAGTTTTATTTCCCTTCATCTAACGTCAACCAGCACAATGGAAGAGTCCGCAACATTTTTAAAAAAGATTTTACTTATTTTTAGAGAGAAGGGAGGGAGGAAGAGGTAGAGAAACATCAGCGTGTGGTTGCCTCTGAATCACCCCTACTGGGGACCTGGCCTAGAAACCAGGCATGTGCCCTGACTGGTTTGGTAAATGGGAATCGAATCGTTGACCCTTTGGTTCACAGGCCTAGGGTCAATCCACTGAGCCACACCATCCGGGGATCCACACCATTTCCAGTCGTGTGTGTGCTGCTCCTGGCCGTCAGTGCTTCTCCGGGGCCACTGGGGCTGAGACCCAGACGTGCGCCCAGTCTGCGCACACGGGGAAGGGGAGCCAGCACCCGCCCGAGCCAGAGCACACAGAAGCACCGTAAATGAATGACCACAAATAGGTTTTGTTAGTTTTATTTCTGTAAGCTTTAAATCATCCCTCACAAATTAGATTTTGTTACAGCTGGATTTAATAGAAACAGGAATGTCAAGGTCACTATATTCTGAAACGTGACAGAAAAGGGAAGGGAACAATGACTGTGATTCATAAAAGACCATTAGAAAAATCCCTAAACAAAAGCTAAATAATCATTAACTTTAATTCTAAGCAGTAAGTTTTATTGTGATTTGCTGGTATTAAGTTTCTCTTGCTTCAGGTCATAAATCTCGAAATACCACTGATGCTTGGCTAAGGGAGAACCGGATGAACAGCAGCACTTACTTTATGACAGTCCACAGAAAAATGGAAAATAACTGTGTGTAAGGGCAATGATGGCGACAATCAGCAGCCAAAAGTCGCAGACTTCCTAATTACTGAAAGCATATACAATTTTAGTCTAGAAAAATAAGTTGATTTTATAAAATTAAGCTTTCAGGTCGAAAAGCACCCCCTCGAACAGATACAAAGATACTGACAAATAGTCCCTAAATATCTCACTTTTTGATGCAAAACATGCCCTACTGAGTGCGGTCAGGACTGGGACTCTTCAAAACCAGGTGACACGCACGTCCTCAGCTGCTGGCCAGGGACTGGTGGATGGGCGGCTGGAAGCAGCGGACGTGCTCCACGGGCGTGCTCTCCCCGTCCCCCGACTTCAGGTACTTGTCCAAGATGGCAACGATCTCGTCGTTCAGAATCTGGAACTTGCGAATTCTCTCCACCATCTTCTTCAAAGGCTGCAACAGACAAAATGAGCGGTTTTACTTTAAAGCATACATTTATTCTCACCCTGACTGCTGTGGCTCAGTACTGTGCATCATCTCACAAACCAAAAGGACGTTGGTTTGATTCCCAGTCAGGGCCCGTGCCTGGGTTGAGGGTTTGGTCCCCGGTTGCGGGCGTGCAGGAGGCAACCACACATGGATGTTTCTCCCCCTTTCTTTCTCCTTCCCTTCTCTCTCTCTCAAAATTAAAAATTGAAAAAAAACCCCTCATAGGTAAAGTTAAAGGTGTTCATCATTACCAAACCCTTATTATATGAAATGTTAAAGGGGACTTATGTAAGAAAAAAGATCAAAACTACAAACAGTAAAATGAAAACAAACACAACTATCAACAACTGCACCTAAAAGAAAAACAAAACCTAAGCAAACACTTAGAACAGGAACAGAATCACAGAAAGGGAGATCACACGGAGGGTTATCAGCAGAGAGGGGGAGGGGGGAGAATGGAGGAAAAGGTACAGGGAACAGGAGGCATAAATAATAGATACAAAATAGAGAAAGGTTAAGAACAGTACAGGAAATGAAGAAGCAAAAGAACGTATATGTACGACCCATGGACATGAACTAGGGGGGATGCCATTGGCAGAGGAGAATAAAGGGGAGAAAAAAAATCAGAACTGTAGTAACAATCAATAAAATTACTTTAAAAAACCTTACTGTTAAAATCCCAGTAGGGGGCGCACAAGAGGAACACACAGTAATGCTTCTCTCTCTCCCTTCTTCCTTACCCTCTCTCTAAATAAAATCTTAAAAAAAAAAAAATGCCCAAGAACTAACCCGGAATACACATAATAGAAAGCATGCTTTTCTGTGAAACATCCCTGGAGGCCACAACCCTTCCACCTACCACGTTTTTGATAATCTCGTCTTTGCCGTCGTGTTTCTGCACTTTGAGCAGGTGGTAGCAGAAATCCAGCACCGCGAAGCGCCGCTGCTGCCCAAGAAGCACGATGATCATGCAGCCCGCCCAGTGCAGCCCGTCGCCGAAGCACTGCCTGCGAACGAGAGGCCAGGGCGCAGCGGGCGCTCAGCGTCCATCCCTGTGCTGGTCCGCCTCCCCACGTCAGGGATGCGGGAACCGGCCACAAGGGAGCACCAGGCAGCTGGGATGTGTCCTTGTTTTTGGTGAGCACCTTTTAGCTTCCTGTTGCACCCCCGTTTCCTGTTTTTAGATCATAGACCCTGCACGAAGGAGTCTGTGAGGCTGTGGACGCAGTTAGAGAAATGAACATCGAGGGGTCCGTTTGTGGGGTGGCGCCGGGAAACCAAGCCTGGAGTGGTGTCCTGCACATCTAGTGAGGACCTGGACGTTCTAGTGAGTAGCTTTAGTTTAAGTTCTGGTAAATTCCAGTTAGTTCTAGCAAAAACCTACACGTTCTAAGTAGCTTTAGTTCTAGTTCTAGTAAAGTTCTAGTAAGAACCTGCACATTCTAGCAAGTAGCTTTAGTTTAGTAAGTTCTAGTGAGAACCTGCACCTGAAGCAGCTGTAAAGCAGGCCGGCGAGTGTCCACACCGTTTTCCACAGAGCGTGGCCTTGTGTGTTAACCCCATGCCAGCACCCGCTTCCCCATCTCCTGGGCACGCACTTACTCGACCGTGAACTCGTGGGTGCCCACGGGGATGCAGTACACGAACTGCATGGCGCTCCACAGGCGGTGGAACTCGACGCACTCGTCCACGTGCATGACGCCGTTGCTGGGCAGAGGCCCGCGCCAGATGGGGTCGTCCAGGAAGGTCCGGATCCGCGTCAGGATGACCTCGAACATGGACAGGCCACAGCAGAGGCGCTCCTTGGTCAGCAAGTCGCCCTCTCTCGCAATGGCGATTTGCTGCAGGAAGGTCGGTGTATGTCACAGGGCCAGGACGGGGAGGGGGGGGCGGGGCGGCGGGTGCTGAAACCTGACACCCCCAGGTCTGCTTCTGACTCACCGGGAAAGGATCTGAGCTTGCAGAGGAGGGTTTTCAGAAGCATCAACAAAATAAATATGTTGGCTACTGCCTTATATGTCTTCTAAGCCTAAATACAACTCACGGTCAAGGACAACTGTCAAGTTCACAAAAAATTTATGGAGAGATATATTAAGTAGTAGTTTTATATGCTTCAAGGCTATAAAATGTAAACAATCACTCTTTCTTTTGGTTAGTTTTTTTCTTTACCCCCATTTAAACTGTGAATAATTTAATATTAGGCTTCCCGAATTTTAAGTTCAGAAAGTCCCTAATCCACATTTGACAAGAGCTTTGGAATTGTTTAACCCAGTTTCCGGCCTCAATGTTTCCAAGCATAGGTTTTCTTTTTAAAATGGGGAAGATTACCTTCTTGTACTAAATGGTTTTCACAATCTAAAAAAAACGGCTGTTCTTAACCGGAGTGATTTCCATTCCAGGGGACACTGGGCAATGTGTGTGGGCGTGGCTGGCTGTCGCAGCTTGCAGTGGGTCTAGTGGCAGAGGCTGGCCCACAATTCATAGGAAAGCCCCACAGCGGAGTTATCTGCTGAGATAATGGAGGGGTCCCCCCCCCTCCCCAAAACCCCCCCCCCCACTCCCCACATGGTCTGACGGGGGCGCCCGCCCGCCCCCCAGTCTGGGCCGAGGCCCCGCCGGTGGCCTGACTCGGCCAGCGCGCATTACCTGAGGGGTCCCCAGTCTCTCAATCAGAGGGACGAGGTGCAGGGGGGCGTACTTGGATTCCAGCCTTTTCATTTTGGCATCGAGTCTCTCTCCCTCTGCAGTGGAAAAAAACATTTTACACTCTGTCTCTGGTATGGAAAACAGTAATAAAAGTTATGTTTTATATTTTAAAAAAAGAAAGATTGTTAAGGTAACATGTTATTTGTAGATTCTCTCTGAAAATTCATTTATAGAACTGGCTCATTTGGTGTTTTAACTCAGAGCGACAGAACTAATTTTCTGGCCCATATTCACTTTTGAAAACTCACTGGCTTTGGGGGACAGACACACAAGGCAATAAAGAGATCACACAGCACAGAATTGTACCCTTGAAACCTGCATGACCACATTAACACAGGTCACCTCAATAAGTGTAATTAAAAAAAAACCCGAAAGACATTTACTGAAAATTCTAAACGTAATGGAAAGACGAGAGCCGTACCGTGAATCCTCTGCATTTCTGGACTGCGGCCTCCCTGGGGTCCTACCCAGCACCCCTGCCCATCCGTTCGGACACATATCGTCACGTCAGCCCTGAATGTTTCGGTTTTCCATTTTTATTTAGCTCTGTTACAACACCAATCACCCCTGCTTATGGCAGAACAGGCCCAGTCTCAAACGAAACTGGCTTTATTCACAGTGACACATGCCCGGCACAGAGAGCAGACTCACCTTTCACATGTACCCTCGGCAGAATGTTCTGGAAGGGGGCCGCGTGCAGCAGGTCACACACTTCTTCTAAAGACTGGGACGGGGGAAGAGAAGGCCGCGTTAGGAAGTCAGGAAGTCACCTCACGACATGGATGAACAGAGCCACCTGGGGCTGGCAGCCAGGCCCTGCTGACCCTGGCACAAGACCGGAGATGAGACCCGAGTTCAGGGTCACTGCCGTGGATGGGGATCCTTGTGTGAGGAGGGATCACTGTAGTTACCTGTGGATTTCCTACTGCGCGCAGAACCGCCCGCTGTGCTCCTTAGTGAGAAATAAAGCAGGACGGTGCACAGAACGCCCCGGGTGACAGAATGGTCTGTTTGTCCGCCGGGGCTACTGTCAGCCACGGGGACTTGGAATGCGGACCAGCGCCCCTGAGGAACTGAATTTGTTTAATCCTCACCCAAGAATATGTTTACTGACTTTAGAAAGAGGGGAGGGAAGGGGGAGAGAGAGACACATCCACTGGCTGCTTCCCCGCACAGCCCGAGCAGGAATTGAACCCACAGTCTTTCAGTGTGTGCGATGACACTCCAACCAACTGAGCCACACTGGCCAGGACGGATCATTAACTCCTTCAAAAAGGCCTAAAAACCCCATGTAGAGAAAATTTACCTCCAATGTCCCAGGGGTTTTGGTGGAACTCCTAAACACCTGCCATGAACCCCAACACAGGCAGGTCCGCTGGTGAATCACCCATCATGAAATGGGGGAACACCTTGAAAGAGTTTTCAAAAAGACCTCACGGAAGCCGAACGCAGCCTCTCACAAGAAAGCCCGCTGGTGCGCTGACACAGATGGGTTCCCAGACACTCCCCTGGCCAGGGAGGCCTGCACTACGTGGGGCCTGCCATCCCGAAGATAATTCTATAATGTCAGCCACACTAACATATGTGACCTATGGGGTCCCTCCTCACATGTCACATATGTTAGTGTGGCTGTAGCCAACACTACATAATAAAAATGTTTTTTTTACAATGCTCATACAGTAAAACATTCTTGAAGGAACTACATGAAGAGAAATGGCGTTTTCCTGCCCTCCCTGACATTAAACAGCCCTAACGGATCAAGCCTCGTAACAGGGGCCTCCTGGCCCTGACTGCTGTAGCTCAATGCATTGAGCACCAGCCTGCGAACTAAAAAGTCGCTGGTTTGATTCCCAGTCAGAGCACACACCTGGCTTGCAAGGCAGGTCCCTGGTAGGAGGCGCAGGAGAGGCAACCACACGTGGATGTTTCTCTCCTTCTCTTTCTCCCTCCCTTCCCCTCCCTGTAAAAATCTTTAAAAAAAAAGAAAAAAACCTTTACAAAAAGGGGGAGTCTTCTGTTTCCACCCACAGGGCTGGCCCACAGGCGCGGGGCCAGGCTGCGCGCGCACTCACCAGGCTCTGCTCAATGAGCAGGCAGAACAGGACGGCGTTGCCCACCTCGCGCAGGTTCTGGAAGCACACGGTCTTCAGCTCCGCGTACTCCACGATGTCCTTCAGCTGGTGGTGGAAGAACTCCAGGATGCCTGTGGTGACAGAGTAAGCGGCAGGGGCGGCCACCACGCCTGCCACGGAAATGGCCACAGGTCCCCAGACACCAACACCCTCCCTGTGATGGCAGTTTGTGCAGCCCTGGGCCCGGCCCTCAGCTCCATCAACCTGCGTCTTCTGAGGAGGCGGCAACCAGGAGGATAAATGAGAAAGACCACACCATCACCTCCCGCAGAGACAGAAAAGGTATCCTGTCAAACTCCGCATCCCTCCCGGACAGACAGGAAGGCCCTTAATCTGGTAAAGGACATTGGCAAAAAAGAGCCTGCAGGTGGCGCCAGGCTCAGGGGTGAGACTTGCACACTTCTCTCCACTGAGCTCCAAGGCAAGACATTGTGTCTGCACGGTACGTAGTCCTGGGGGCCTGGGACTTTACAATAAGGCATGAAAAAAAAAAAGGCATGGAAACTGGAAAGAAAGTCACTACTCCTTAAGCTGACCACAAATCCCTAAGCTGACTCCAGAACTTATAAGATCACAAAGAAGACCTGCAACAGCCCGAACACCCCTAAGAAGAGCAAAGGTGAAGATTTAGGAGGTTTCAAATCCTTCATCCCAACAGGTCAGGTCCGACTGCCGTTCTGCAAGGACCTGGTGACCGGCTGGCTTGAGGCTGTGCCCCCCCCCCCCCCCCCAGTGCAGGCCTCCTCTCCTGCTCCACTCGCCTCGCACGCCCCCAGCTGTCAGCATCATCCCGGTGAAAACGGATTCTCAGCGGAGGGCACACTCCCTGATGACGTCATCCCCCGACAAGCACCCGTGAGCGGTACAGCGACGTGACTTTCCCCAATGGCAGCGCCCAGGGCCCAGGGCACATCGGCCCTCGCTGGCACGACAGCTGGGTGGCAGTTGTGACGAGCAGCCCCCCACCCACAGCTGTGAATGTGGCCTAAACGGCTTCATTTTCAACATTTACGCGTTTCCTAGCTAGCCAGGGCATGCGCACTGGCTTTAGGATGCCAACGTGCCTCAGCCCCTTTCCCACAGTGAGCTGAAGACAGACGCCCCTAAGCGAGGCCCCTCCGGGGTCACTTCCCTTCACAGTGGCCGCGTGGTCCCCTCGCCACCTCGCCAACACCCACCACAGCCGTCCCAGCTGGCTGCCCGTCGGAACAGGCCTCACCAGTGACTGAGTGTGGGCCCAAGTCCCCCTTCCAAGAAAGTATCATCCGGGAAGAGACAAGGGCATGTTTGCCCTGAGAAAAGTTTCCTTCGGGATCGCGACAGCCCCAAATCGGCCTGTCAACCAACAGCGCCGGGCTCTCCCAGGGCAACCCTAGTGGACCCAGCACTCAAACTCGCTGCCTCTCCTTAGTTGCAGATGTTTTTTTTTTTTTAAGTCTTCACCCGAGGACTTACTGATTTTGGACATAGAGGAAGGAAAAGAGAAACACTGATAGGTTGCTTCCCACATGTGCCCTAACTGGGGATCGAACCCGTAGCCTTCTGGTGCACTGGAAGACATTCCCACTAACTGAGCCACCTGGCGGGGGGGCCCCGGTCGCTAATCTTTAAGGTCCCGGTGTTGTAGGGGACCCGAGGGATTCAGGGTTCAGAGCCCTGTCACCCAGCAAGACTAACGGATGCCACCCCGCCTGGCTTCCTCACCCCTCCAGCGCGCAGTTTGTTCTGCTGGAGACTGTGAGTGCTGGTCGTGCCCCTCCCCCACCCGGGAAAAGCAGCTGGATTCCGAGGGACACTGCGCAGGACCTCCCTCTTTGTGGTGGCGCTGTCCGCCCCCCCGTCCCCGCACTCACTCACCCGGGGAGCCGTACTCGTGCCGGGGCAGGCGGCAGATCTTGGGCATCACCTCCATCAGCGTCTTCACGTACTGCAGGATCGTGCCTTGCAGCTGCGGGGACACAGGCTGCGTCAGCCGCCGGAGCCCCTGTCGGGGAGGCACCGGCCGACCACGGGACTTTGTGAAAAGGGGTCTCTCTGTTCATAAGCGCAGGGTACAGAACAAGACCGAGGCTCCTCGGGCTGGGAAAGGAACCCCAACCCCCACCAGGGCGACCCTGGCACCACCAGGTGCCCATTGAGACACGCCCCCTGCAGAGAGGGGCGTGGCCAGAGGGGGCCGGAGGGGGCGGGGCTCTGCGGAAGGGACGTCCTGGCAAAGCGGGTTCTGGACTCCGCTGGATGGGGAGTCGCTGCAACACCAGCTGGTCACCTAGTGCACCCGCCACCTTCCACGGGGCCACAGATTTAGGGCAGAGGCTCCCGCCGGGGTCCTGGCAGGGCCCCGGTCGGTCACGGGGTCATGCCTGTGTCAAATAACCCAACTCCTCTGCATGCTAATGGGTTTTTGGTCCTGACCGATATGGTTGTAGATTTTGTCATTTTTGTATAGAATTCTGTCAGCTTCTGCGTTACCGATCACACAGACTCCCTGCTGGGTCGCTACTTTAATTATATGGCCAGAAATTCAGCTTCAAGCTTTCTCTCGACTAAGCTTGTGAATTATAGAAAGACATAAAAATCTATATTTGGCAAAAAGAAAAAACTTTTAAGAAAAAGGGCTCAGGCAAAGAAAGACATTTAAAATAATGAAAAATATTCAAGATTGAGATTTTATATAGCTCTCTCAGTTAAACAACAGAAGTAAATTACGTTAACCAAATCCATGACAGCCAATAAATATCTTTCTCATGTTCTTCCCCTGAATTAATGTGGGTCTATTCTTCGAATTAACAAAGATGGGGGAGAAAGCAAACTATATATGGTCAGAAGTATTTAGAGCAGAATGGAACAGTTCAGACACCCTGGGCTTGTCCCACCCTAGTGAATCCAAGGCCACGTGAGACACTGTGATTTATAAGAAGAAACAGAGTCCTGGCAGGTAGCTCAGAGGGTGGGAGTGTTACCCTGATACAACAAGGTCGTGGGTTTGATCCCCGTTCGGGACACATTCAAGAATCTACCAATGAATGCATGAATGAGTGGGACAACAAATCGATGTTTCTCTTTCCTTTCCTCTCTATCTAAAATCAATACATGGAAAAGAAAAAAAAAAGAAGTTGCCTGAAGAAACATATATTTGATTCTTTTTTTCTTTTTTTTTTAAAGATTTTATTGATGTATTTTTTCCTCTCACACACCCCTAACTGGGGCCCTGGTGCGAAACCAGGTATGTGCCCTAACTGGGAATAGAACCAGCAACCCTTTGGTTCACAAGTTGGAGCTCAATCCCCTGAGCCACACCAGCCCAGGGCATGTTTGATTCTTTTTTTTTTTTTTTTTTTAAGATTTAATTTACTTATTTTTAGAAAGAGGAAGGGAGGGAGAAAGAGGGAGAGAAATATCAACGTGTGGTTTCCTAACGACCTGGCCACAACCCAGGCCTGATTGGGAATCGAACAGGTGACCCTTTGGTTCGCAGCCTGCGCTCAATCCACTGAGCTACACCAGCCAAGGTCATGTGTGATTCTTACCCTGTTTCTGGCACAGAGATCAAACCCCCCACATTTCCTAAGTTAAGAGAGCCTCCAAGGGGCCTGTTATGTTCTGAGCCAGCTTTGGAAGGCATCCAGGTGGTACTGAGGTTGCCAGGATTGAGGTCAGAGGGTTCTAGAACCCTCAGTCCTGCCCTAGACCTCTGGGGAGGATGAGCCAGTCACCAGTGGCCAATGACGTAAGCAACCATAACTACACAACGCAGCCAGGAGCTTTCGGCTGGGGGCTGAGACCCTGACCTGTGCCACCGTGACGGTCTCCAAACCGCACGGGGACAGGAACTCCTCATGGAAGACAGTGTCCTGGGCATCTCTTTAAACAAAAAAATTGTAGACAGAGGGGAAGGAAGGGAGAAGACAGGGAGAGAAACATCAATGTGTGGTTGCCTCCTGTGCACCCCAACTGGGGACCTGGCCTGCAACCCAGACATGTGCCCTGACTGGGAATCAAACCAGCAACCTTTCAGTTTGCGAGATGATGCTCAATCCACTGAGCTACACCAGCCAGGGCCTTTAATATCCTTTAATGCACTGGTCATCTAGAGAGGGAACTAGTCTCTTGAAGTGTGTTAGCTGCTCGAGCAAATGAATCCAACCTGAGGAGGGGATCGTGGGAGCCTCCGATTTATAGCCCATTGGCCAGGAGCACAGGGGACAACCCTGACTTACAGCTGGCGTCCGGGGGGCCCAGGAGGAGAGCAGACACTTGGGGGATCTGATGGCATCAGAGAGACAGTGTCAGAACTGAGCTGAATCCCAGGAGCCCAGCTGGCCTCCCAGAGCTGCTCAAAAAAAGGGGAGGCACACCCCTCCCCGCACCGGAGCTGGGTGCGTGGAACCCACTGCCAAGCGGAGGAAGTACACCCACGGGAGACGTACCAGGCTCTTGACGACCTTCAGCAGCTCCTCCATGACCACGGCGATGCCCTGGTAGCCGAGCAGCCTACAGATGACTTGGAAGTGCGGTGGCCCCACGAAGTTCCGGTAGCTGCCATAAATGCTCGAGTAGGCCAGGTTCAGTGCCTGGGGGACAGAGCACACACTGGCTTGATGGACTCTTGAGTTTACAAGGTGGCCCTATGCAAGGTGCATGCAACCCACAGCACCCTTGGGTGGGGAAAGGGGTGTTGCCCACAGAATCTGTTAGGCTGCCCTAACTAGCATCGTCTTACAAGCTGAAGACATGAAAACCAATCTTGCTAAGAGAGAAAAAATAAAATTGGTTTTCCATTACTGAACGACCTCTTCTACAGATGCCACTTGGAGGTCCTGGAATGATAAGTGGATACATCTTAGTGCCTTGCTGCTGGGGACACACACAAGGACACACCCGTGGCAAGATTTCCTTGTCAGGGTTATAGGGAGCTAAGAACGCAGCCTCACAGGGTAGGCAGGTGGGAGAGGTGGTGAGAGTGGCTTTCTGTAGGAGGGGACCTCTGAAACATCTATGGACACAGCGCAAACACAGCAGTAAGCATCCATGCTATGCACTGCCCTCAGAGCACAGCTTTAGCTGCATCCCACAGATGTTTGATATATTAGCATTTCATCAGTTCAGTGTCTTAAAATTTTCCCTGGAGACTTTCTCTTGACCCCCAAGATCATTCGGATTCCTGTTCATTTTCAAGTGTCTAGAGATTTTTCTGGTCATCTTTTTGTTATAGATTTATAATTTGGGTTCACTCGGTGGTCAGAGAACACATTCTGTGTAGTTAATAGTCTTTTGATTTTGTCGAGCTCTGTCTGACGGCCAAGAACACGGTTTATCTTGCGGAACATGCTCATGGAGGCTTGAAAGTGACGTGTGGTCTGCCGCTGCCGGTGGAGGGTTCCATGCAAGTCAGTGGTTGATGGTTTTCAGGTCTTCTTGTCGCCGATTTTCTATCTACTTATTCTACTGATGACTAAGGGAGAAGAATGTTGAGTTCCCCAATTTTAACTGTGGAGCTTGTTCATTTCTTTCTTCGGTTGTGTTAGTTTTCACTTCGGGTGTTTTGAAGCTCAATCATTTGGTCATTTGGTGCGTGAACATTTTATTTATTTATTTATTTAATTTTTTTTTTTTTTTTTTAGATTTTATTTATTTATCTTTAGAGGGGAAGGGAAGGAGAGAGGGAGAGAAACATCAATGTATGGTTGCCTTTCGTGCGTCCCCTGCTGGGAACTGGCCTGCAGGGAACCTGCCTGCAACCCCGGCATGTGCCCTGACTAGGAATCGAACCGCGATTGTCTGGTTCGCAGGCCCGCACTCAATCCACTGAGCTACACCAGCCAGGGCTTATTTTTATTTTTATTTTTATTTTTTTATTTATTTAAACTTTTGGCCCGTTTTTAAAAAAGATTTTATTTACTTATCTTCAGGGGAAAGGGAAGGAGAGAAAAAGAGAAATATCAATGTGTGGTTGCCTCTTGTGTGTCCCCCACTGGGAACTGGTCCGCAACCCAGGCATGTGCCCTGACTGGGAATCAAACTGTGATCCTTTGGTTCGCAGGCCTGTGCTCAATCCACTGAGCTACACCAGCCAGGGAAGCATGAACATTTTAGATTGCTACATTTGCCTCGTGTCTTCACCAATTTTATAATTAGGTAATGTCCCTGGTAATATTCTTTACTCTGCAATCTACTTTATTTCATATTAATACAATCACTCCTGCTTTCTTCTGATTGATGTGTGCATGGTGTCCTTCTACTTTCGAACCGCCTCTTATCATTAATTTGAAGTGAGTTTCCTACATGATCTTTTTCAATTTTCTATGCCAATCTCTGTCCTTTAACTGTATTTATACCATTTATACTTAATATATTTACACATAATATAATGATATTTATTTTAAAAATATTTTATTTATTTACCTGGCTGGTGTAGCTCAGTGGATTGAGCACAGGCCTGCAAACCAAAAGATCAAGGTTTGATTCCCAGTCAGGGCACATGCCTAGGTTGCAGGCCAGTTCCCAGCAGGGGGCGCACAAGAGGCAACCATACATTGATGTTTCTCTCCCTCTCTCCTTACCTTCCCCTCTAAAGATAAATAAATAAAATCTTTAATAAAAAAATATTTTATTTATTTAGTTTTAGAGAGAGGGGGAAGGAGGGAGAAAGAGAGGAAAACAATGATGTGTGAGATACATTGACCAGTTGCCTCTCACGCACCCCCAACTGGGGACTTGGCCAGCAACCATACATGCACCCTGACTGGGACTCGAACTAGCGACCTTTCCACACTCAATCCACTGGGCCACAACAGTCAGAGCTAATGAGTGATATTTAAATGGACTCTTAAGCAGGCTTTCTTTCCATTCTTCCTGTCTTTCTGTGAGTCACTTAACCACATTTGAGGATTCCACTGTGATTTACCCATAGTATTTTTGAGAAAATCTCTTCATACAGATCTTTCAATGGTCGCTCTTGGTTTACCATCATACATTACGTGATTACACAAGTTATCACAATCTACTGTTACCAGCATTTCCTCACTGCAGGCAAAGTGTACCAAGCTCGCCCCCATCCGGGTCTGTGACTTGAGGGCAGGCAGCCCTGGGGACGGGCGGGGGACACGGGCCCCAGGGACATGGGCCCCTTCCCTTTAGCCTATTTCTACCCTGTTACTTCATGACACAGCCCGTCCATTCACCAACTGCCAGAAACACAAGAAATATCGCTGGCCTTCCCTTTCCCTCACCTTCCACATCCAGGTAACCAGCAAGTCCTAACCAAGTCACCTCCAAAATAGACCTGAAATCATCTACATCTGTCTGTCAGTGTCCTTGGGTCTGAGCCACCATCTCCTGGGAACATCCTTGCACTGGCCGTCACTCTCTGTTCGCTCCCGGAGCCCTGGCCCAGGGGTCTGGACACCCCACCCTGCCTGCCACCGCTGCCCCCAGGCTCGGCCCCAGGCCCCTCTGCAGGGCTGGCTCCTTCTCAGCATCCAGATCTTCCCAGAGTCAGGCTGCCCCCAAAAGCCAGTCAAGGCTCTATGACAGTGTCCCCTCCCAGTGTCCCCAGCAGCGCACTTCTCACAGGGACGCTGCACCCCAGACACCACACAGAGCTCACGCACTGGCCCCCAAGGGTGACAAACACAGCGTCACTTTCAGCCTCAGATCCCACACCGCCTGGAAAACAGGCTGCTTCGGTTTCCACCAACACTGGTTTGCCATCCGCCCCAAACGCCGCCTCCTCCTCCTCCTCCGCTTCTTAACACCCTGGCGGGTCACGCTGGCACCTGTCGTTTTTTCCGCAGCTGACCAGCTGAAGACTCAAAGTGGCCACAATCACCTCACAGTGCCGTGGCGCTGCAGCGAGTCCAGTGGGTGACAACGGCGTGAGCCAGGCAGCGAGGGAGCGAGGCAGGGCACTGAGCCACGGCGTGGAGGGAGGCCCTTTCACATTACGTGACCTGCACCTTTGAGCAGACGTCCTGCCCAAACCTCGTCCTGCCCAGACCTCAGCCGAGCTTGGGATCCCTGAGCTGAGGGCAAGACCTTGGGAGGCTGTGGGCAGAGGGCCCGGTCCCCTTCCCTGCATCAAAGGGAAAATGAACACCCACCGACCACAGTGCAGACACTCCATGCCTGGAGCTCAGAGGAGGAAGCCTTCTGTCCGAGGGAGCTGCTGTTTAACTTCCCCGGGCTCTTTGCTATGGGTGTGTCTTTCTGGAGTCTGATTTATTTTAACTCAATAAAATACAGCCAAAATAAAAATAAAAATGAACACAGGAGCACAGGCCTGTGAACCAAAGGATCAAAGTTCGATTCCCAGTCAGGGCACATGCCTGGGTTGCAGGCCAGTTCCCAGCAGGGGATGCACGAGAGGCAACCATACACTGATGTTTCTCTTTTTCTCTCCTTCCCTTCCCCTCTAAAGATAAATAAAATCTTTTAAATAAATAAATAAATATCACAAACACGGGCTGGTGCCCCAGGACCCCACGGCAGCACCACGCAGGGGGTCTCGCTCCCCACATTGTCCATCTGATCTGATGGGCAAAGCCGTCCTGGCCGCTGCCGCCCCCTCCGTCCAGCAGGTGCTGAGGCTGCAGAGCTGCTTTTACCACATTTGGGGGAAACGGCCCTTCACTGTATGCGTTTTCTTTTTATCACTGAATGTCTGTATTTTTATTAACCTGTATGAGGGCTTTAAATATAGAGTAAGGGAGAAGTAGGTTTACAGCTGTGAGTATATAAAACAGAGCTTCTTCTTTTTTCAACCTTCAACCTAAAGCATGTTTTTTATTGATTTGAGACGGGGAGGGAAGGAGGGAGGGAGGGAAGGAGGGAGGGAGGGAGGGAGAGAGAAACACCCATTGCCTCCCACATGTGCCCCGACCAGGAATTGAACCTGCAATCTTTTCTGGTGCACAGGACGATGCTCCGGCCAACTGAGCCACGCGGCCAGGGCGAGAGGGGATTCTTGTGTTATTATTTATTAATTATTGTATTGTTTCCCATACAAACAGCTGCAAACCTACTTGTGCACCACCCTGTAGAACAACACTGACCCTTAATAACCCAGCCACCCTCGGCTGGACTCACACCTTATGTTACCAGAGGCGGTGCCGTGTGGTTTCTCGCTGGTGTTGTGGGGTTTCTCAGGGGTGTCCTGTGGTTTCTCGGCGGCACTGTGCCGTCTCTCCTGGCTCCCCTGCAGTTTCTGCACGTCACTCTTGCCCGCCTGCTCCTCCCTTCACGTGGCACCTGGGGAGGGCAGGCCACCCTGGCCCTCCCTCACACACGCGCCCCGCAACCTCTCTGCATACACTCTGTTGGCTCCATACGTTTTAGCCTCAAAATCTGTCAATGATGTGCCTCATGTCAGTGCCGGGAGGGAGGCGAGGCCCAGCCCAACCCTGCCCCGCCGTCCCCTGGCCACAGTGCCGTCTAAACAGTGCATTACTTTTCAGAAAACAGTGACGTGTTATACACGGCATGACACACCGATGTCCTAATTAAACCAAATAAAGCTAAACTTTGAAATATGCTTACTTGTGAACGTAGGTATCGTAACAGAAACACAAACAAGCCCACCTTGGATCCATGCAAATACTGCGGCTGCGCATTAGGCTGCTTGTCTCTCTGAAATTCTTGAGAAAATGGTAACACTGTCCGAACAAACCTAAATAAGAAAGGGAAAAAAACCCAAAAATGTAATGGTTCTTTACAATTCAGAACTCCTCCATTACCCAACAATTAAATCTTCCAGTAAACTGAAATAACCATCACACAGAAAAACTCAAGGAAACGCACAATCAGAATATAGATGAGATGCGAACACTCTGCAGTCTGATAAATGCAGCTGAAGTTCAGGAAGGAAGTTCCTTCCAACTTCAACCCCTGTGTGCTGGGGTTCAGGGAACCCCGAAACACAGCCTGCAAACCCAGGGAGGGGGTCCAGTCCATCAGCAGCAGGACGGTCTCCAACCTAATTCAATCCCTTGAAAGTGGAAGTGACCGAGCACTTGGCCTTGACGGGCCTCTGACACGACCAGGAGGCGGGGACGGTTTGATAACGGATGAAGAGCCACTGAAAACCAAATGCTTGGATTTTAAAGCAGAAATGTCAAACTCGGCCAACCCTTTCATATCGGAAGTGTTGTGGTAAACATACAACTTTTGTAAAGGAGCATAATACAGAAAAATTTTAAAAAAGGAGCATAATAAAGAGAAAGAAAAAGAATACACAATAGTGACTCGCTAATTTTTTAATTCCAAGAACTTGATTAACACATATTGTACTTCAAATGAAAAAAAATGATTTAATCTTTACCCGATGACATAGTTATTGCTTTTAATTGTTTAAAAAGATTTTATTTATTTTTAGAGGGGAAGGTAAGGAGAAAGAGGGAGAGAAACCTCAACGTGTGGTTGGCTCTCATGCACCCACTACTGGGGACCTGACCTGCAACCCAGGCATGTGCCCTGACTGGGAATCGAACCCACAGTCTTTTGGTGTAGAGGACGATGCTCCAAACAACTGAGCCACCTGGCCAGGACGGCACATACATACTGCATTTTAATAAATAAACAAAGGGTGCAGCTGCCAAAATACCTCCAGTGCGGGAAACAAACGTGAATGTTGAGGGGAGGCCAGTGGCCTGCAGCACCGAGGGCCTCTAACATAAATATGTTGCTGAGTGCCAGGACTTTAGTGTTCTCCCATTAAAGGTGAGTTTTGCCCTGGCCAGTATGGCTCAGCTGCTTGCAATGTTGTCCCATAAACAAAGAGTTGCGAGTTCGATTCCCTGTCAGGGCACATACCCAGGTTGCAGGTTCAATCCCTGGTGTGGGCACCAATGGTCCGAGGTCCGGGTGTGTTCGGGAGGCAACCAGTCGATGTTTCTCTTTCTCCCTTCCCCTCTCTTTAAAAGCAATGAACAAATGTCTTGGGGTGATTATAAAGAAGAATAATAATAATAAGTTAAAGACTGCTGAGTTTTGGGGGGCAGGCTCTTAAACTATTTGCAAGTCAGCTGGACCCTTTCCTGATTTGTTCGGGTGGTAGAAGTCGCTACCCCAGGCTGGTACCAAGGTAGGCCCCTGTGGCCAATCCATTGAACGCCTGGGTATTTGACCAGGTTTCTGCAAACCTGTGGGCGGAGCCTAAACGAACCCCCAACTCTGGGGGTCAGCCTCCGGCTCGCTGGTAGGAAGCTTCCTCTGCCCGGAGTCCCACCAACAGGGGCAGTTCGATATTCAAGTAAAGACGAGGGACCCAGGATGGACGCAGGGCCGCTTCTCTGCACGACTCCCTGTCCTTTCACGCTCCACCCTGAGGGCTCCAGCTGCCTCAGTTTCCAGCCTCGGCTCCTGCACCCAGCAATACTTCCAAGCTGCCCATGGGGTGCGCCCTCCACAGGGCTCCCCGTCTCCCTGTATCCTTCCCCTCAGGCGATGGCCAATGACTGAAGACAATGGTTTCATTAATTTTGTCTGTTTTCCACTTGTCGAAGATGAAAAACTAAACCCCAACCCTGGGACACCACTATCCCCAATAACTTTGAAAAACCCTATTTCGACTCTATATTCTCAATGGAAAGACAAAAAAGCGTTGGAAAAAATACTGAATTCAAGTTAGCAGACTTGTTTCATATGCGCTCCAACTGGGGATTGAACCCACAACCTAGCATATTAGACGATACTCCAGCGGACGGAGCCACGCTGGCTGGGGCAAGCAGGCTTGTTTCGTCGTGGGAAGGATGAGTAATTCTGAAACACCCTGCATCTTCTACAACTGAGCAAATGAGTAAATGTACTCATAATGAAACAAGACTCTCAGTGTAAAAGGAAGCTACGAAAAGGGAAGGAGGAAGAGTGGAACGAAGCCAGCGCTGCTGAACCGGAGCTGAAGACGTCGGCGAGTTCCAGGTTTTATATAGAGACAGCGGTGGCGCGGAGTTGCAGGCACGCGCACGTTACGAGTCTGCGTCCCCTGAAGGGACCGTGTGACCCGGACAGACACCTCTCCCAGGAAGGCATACAAGTGGCCAACAGGTACATGAAAAAATGCTCAACTTCAGGAGCTAGTAGGGACATGCAAATCAAAAGCACAAGGAGATGGCGCCTCCCGCCCGTCAGCACATCCGGTTCTAACAAGGGCTGGACAGGGTGTGGAGAGGCACGAACCCTCGTCACTGCTGGTGGGAATGTAAACGGGGGCGGTCACCACAAAACAGTCTGCAGTTCCTCAAATACGGAATAGAGTCACCGAATGACCAGCGATCCCTCCCCTGGGGATCTACTGAAAAACTCGCAAATGTGTTCTCGAAGATACATGCACGCAGCGTTTTTCACGGTGACCAGGACACGGAGACAGCCGAAGTGTCCTCCGTTAGAGGCCTGGATGAAGCAGATGTGGTCCACACTACACGCAATGGGACACTACCCACCACGAGAAAAGACAAAACGCGGCCATTTGCAACAACGTGGATGGGATCCTGAGAATATCACGCTAAGTGAAACAAGTCAGAAGAGGCTAAGAAATGTATGATTTCACTCCTACGTGAGATATAGAACTGAAACTCATGGACACAGACAGCCAAGTGGTGGTTACCACAGGGAAGGGGGTGGGGGTGGGGAGTAGACAGGTGGGGGTGGAGGGGACACAAGGGTCCGTCCCTCCATATGGTGACGGAAGATGGTGTGACTTTGGGTGGTGGGCGCACAGTGCAATATACAGATCTAGTATTGCAGAAATGTACACTTGAAATCCACATGATCCTATTAACCAATGTCATCCAATAGTTTAATTTAAATGGGGGGTGGGGGCGGAACAACCCAGGAGAGCCCTAGCTGGTGTGGCTGCGTGGATTGAGTTCCAGACTGCAAAGTAAAGGGTCACTGGTTCCAACCCCAGTCAGGGCATGTGCCTGGGTTGCAGGTTCAATCCCCAGTTGCAGCCCATACAAGAGACAACCAATCGATGTCTCTCTCTCTCTTTTCTTCTCTCTCTAAAATTAATAAAGCATATCAGGTGAGGATTTTTAAAAAAATGACAGGGACAGGCCCTGAATGTGTAACTCAGTTGGTTAGAGCATTGTCCCAATAGGCAAGGTTGCAGGTTCGATCCCCAGCACAAGGAATGTATGACTAAGTAGAAAAACAAACTGGTATTTCTCTTTCTTGCTAAAAATCAATAAATAAAATTTAAAAATAAAAACACTAAAAAGACATGAAAACAAGGCTGAGGGACCCTGCTACTCAAAACAGGGCCGGACTTGACCCACAATAATCAAGTCGGCATATTAATAGATCATTCCCTTGACTTAGAATCTGTGAGTCCTTAATGATAAGAAACAATTTTTTTAAATGCTAAAATGTATCGCAGGATAACAACTAATATATGTAGATGGCACGAGGGGGTTTGGAAACACCACTGTCCCATCGGCTTGGTGATAACTGATCTGGGTAAGAACCAGGCACTAAAATTACTGAATCAAATTTTAATAAGCAACAGTTTACTCACAGAGTCTCAAGTGACGTCTCCCTGTAAATGGCTGGTAAGTTTCAATCAGAGACTCGCTAACAGGCCAGTGGAGAAAGTGGCAGCCGCCAGCCTAACCAGGGCGGAAGTGAACATGGCCGGCGACGGGACCGCGGGACGCCCTTCGCATCCTGGTCCAGGGCGCTGAGGACACACCTCCCTCTTGGTGTTCGTGTCAGAGGCCTCAATCGGAGCCCAACCGCTAGTCTGTCTCTAGGGCTGTCACCGTGAGGAGCTGCACCGGGTTCATTTAGGTCACTGAGGACCCGAGGCCACCTCCCAGAGTCCCAGGCAAAATCATTCATTAGAAATACGCAGGCAAAATAAGGGGAAATGCTCCACAGCAAATGAGGTTCTGCTGCACCAGGCACCTCTCAGAAAATGCTCCGGTGTGGGTTTAACACACTGGGTGGTGCCCTGGCCCGTGTGGCCCAGTTGATTGGATATCAACCAGTAACTGGAAAGGTAGAGTGTTCGAGTCCCCATCAGGGAACATGCCCGGGTTGCAGGTTCGGTCCCTGGCCAGGGCACATGTGAAAGGCAACAGCTGGATGTTACTCTCTAACGTAATGTTTCTCTCCCTCTTTCTCCCTCCCTTCCCCTTCTCTGAAAATAAATAAATAAAATCTTTAAAATTGTTTTTTTTTTCAAAATCAGCTTTCCTTCAGAAAAAAATAAAACTGGCTAGCACCATTGAGAGTTTGCTTCTGGGTCTGTCCTTAGTTTGACTTAAATAAACTCTTATAAAGTGAAAAAAAAGGAAAAGAAAAAGAAAAAGAAAACCTTGCCCTGCCTGGTGTGGCTCAGTGGATTCAGCACCAGCCTGTGAACCAAAGGGTTGTGGGTTCAATTCCCAGTCAGGATGTGTGCCTGATTTGCAGACCAGTTACCCAGTACAGAGTGTGCAAAAGGCAACCACACATTGATGTTTCTGTCCCTCTCTTTCTCTCTCCCTTCCTCTCTCTCTAAAAATATATAAAATCTTAAAAAAAAACCCAAAAAACCCAAACCCCGAAACCACCGGTTCTGTCTTCTTAGCTTTCCACACATAACCTAGACATACAAAACGCTATTTTAAAATGTCCTTCCCAAATAATACAGTTTTAATAATTCCACTGCCGACCTGTTACAATTAGGTTTTCCCCAACACTTATGGAAGGTGGGGGTCCTGAGTAAGGCAGATGTCCCCTGGCCAGGGCGTGTCCCATGACAGGCCCGGCTCTGAATTACGCCCTGGTTCCTGGGCCCAAGGGGGCTGCCTGCCCACAAATGTGTCCATAGCTGTGGCCCAACCCCTGACACACGTGGAACAGGGTCCAGATGCCACCCCACAGGTGCTCCACAGTAAGCAGCTGCCAAAGGTGACTTGTGGGCAGCAGCCCCCTGGGGCTCTGTGCTTGCTGTGCAAACTGAAAGGATGGTTGCCTCTCGTGCACGTTGCAACTGGGCACTTAGCAGCACAGGCGTGTGCCCTGACTGGGGATCGAACTCGCAGTGTGGCACAATGTTCACAGCCTGGCAGGCGGGGGGGGGAATACATGGGAACAGGCGGCGGCGCCAGCGCTGTTCCCTCGTCATGGACATTCGACTGTGTTGTGTAGATTCGGGGAACAGAAGGCCAGGCTGCCACGTGGCGCCTCTCATCAGTCACGCCCTTCAGGGCCCCACAGGCGACTCTGGCCTGAGACTTTCATCTTCACCAGGTCGCATTGGTGACCCAATGCCAACGTCCTGATCTGGCAACTTTGTCTTCGAAAACAAGACCCCTGCTGGCAGGCCAGGTGGCAGGTGGCCTTGGACAGCCGGATGTGCTCCATCCTCAGTGACTGGGGGTGAGGGTGCCCCCCCCACGGCCGCCTCTGTGGGCGGGGCCTCAGACCCGAACCTGCATCCCCAACTGCCCGCGCAGCTTTCCTTCATGGGCGTGGCGCGCCTTTCAGGAAACAGCAGTACACCAGAAGGGCGGAGCTTGCACCATCCATCTCAGACCCTGACCTTTCGACCTTCACCTGAGGTCCTCCCTCACCGCGGAGGCCCCGCCCCTGCAACGTCAAGGACCCTGGGGCTCCCAAAGGAGCGCGGGCCGCTCAGTGGACAGCTTCCGTCGTTCCCTTTGAGAAATCTCTGGGAAATGCCATAAAAAACAATGAAACGCTAGATAATCAGGCCCTGGCTAAGCAGCACAGTTGGTTAGAACATCATCCAGATACATCAAAGTTGCAGGTTCGATCCTCAGTCAGGGCACATACAATAAGCAATCAACAACTGCATCAATAAGTGGAACAACAAATCAGTGTTTAAAAAATAAGAAGTAATTTTTAAAAACTTAAAAAATACAAAATCACAATTTCCTACGTGGCCCCAGTTGGACCCCAGCCCTTTCCTCAGCCTGCTGACCAGGTTCTCCTGCAGTCTAGCTTTGCAGATGCCAGTTCCAAACACAAGGCAAAACGATTTAAGGAAAAGTCACAGAAATTCATTTCAAAGGTTCCGAATGGGCCTGCGACCTGGGGGATGCGGTGGTGGCCCCGAGGCCACCCTGTCACACACCCTGGGGCCCGGCACCGGAACTGCGGCGCGCTCACCGGTTGGTGGAGCCGTTGTAGCAGTAGTTGGGCAGGAAGTCGTAGTTGAGCTCCCAGAAGACGTGCAGCGTGATCCTCCCGTAGGGCGCAGACACGTTGTGGTTGGCCTCCCGGAACATGGCGTCGAAGCTGTCCAGCGTCAGGTACCGGCTCAGCAGCTTGTGGGTCATGCGGTTGATTTCCAAGAGGCCGTCCAGCTCCTGCGGGGCCACGGGGACAGAAATGAGGGTGGACCTGGGCCCGGGCAGTGGCCGCCATTCCCCTCAGGTGCAGCAGCACTCGGGGGTCGGGGGTGGGGGGAGAGCGCCGGGCACACCGAGGAGGGGTCCGCGCGCCAGGCCTAGACCGCACGCGGCAGGAGCCAGGGTGGGGACAGGAGCGTTCCTTTCACGCCTAAACCTCTCACGCCCCGTCTGCTTCCTTTCGATGCCCCTCCACACCATGGTTGCTCCCTCAGGGCCATCGCCTTTCTGCTCTGTGATCACTTCTGCACTGCCACCACTGGCCTCCGGCTGCCCACAGCACAGAGGCCATTTGGATGTGTGCCCTGCACACCAGGCCTCAGCCTGAGTCGTTTTCCCTAACGCACCCAGACCTGCTCAAAGGCACAACGTTTGGCAGAGTCAGCAGGGACAGTCACAGTCAGCTCAGGAAACCTGCCGAGCTCTGCTCTGTCCCCTGCACCACGTGGCAAGGAGACCCTGGCTGGTCCGAACTCAGGTGCGCTTGGTGTATGACACACGCCAAGTTTTAAAAACCAGGCGTGAGACAAAGGATGTAAAACATCCATGTCAATATTTTTATAATAGGTACATGTTAGGTTGTGAATTATTTATTACATTGGGTTAAATAAAACTGATTATTAATTTCACCCACTTTTTTCCTTTTCTAATGTAACTACAGGTAAATTTAAAATGACCTATGGGGCGTGTACGATACACATATTTTTAATGGCTTTTAATTTTAAAGATTTATTTATTTTTAGAGAAAGGGGAAGGTAAGGAGAAAGAGAGAAACATCAATGTGTGGTCAGAGGTACAAGGACTGGTCACCTCTCTACTGCCCCCTACTGGGGACCTGGCCTGCAACCTAGGCATGTGCCCTGATTGGGAATCAAACCAGCAACCCTTTGGTTTGCCGGCTGGCAGTCAATGCACTGAGCCACACCAACCAGAGATGTTTTCCGTTTTTTAAAGTCATACCCACAAAAACACTTCTGAGACCAATGCCCAAAAGCTTAGTGCCCATGTTCTCTGCTATGCTTTTTATTGTTTCGGGTCTTACATTCAAGTCTCTACCCCATCATGAGTTAAGTTTTGTGTGTGGTGTAAGACAGTAGTCTAGCTTCACATGGTGGCCCAGTTTGTCCAACACCATTTACTGAAGAGACTTTCCTTTCTCCGCTGTATATTCCAGATTCCTTTGTCCTAAATCAATTGCCCAAACTTGTACAGGTGCATTATGTGGGGCGATGTTGTCTGTCTGTTTTACTGGGATAACCACACTGTTTTAATTCCTATATCTTTTAATACAATTTGAAACCAGAAATGCGATCCCTCCACCCTTGTTATTTTTTTCTCAGAAACGCTTTGGCAATTGAGGTTCTCCTGTGGTCCCATATAAATTGGAGAAATTTTAAATCAGTTTTTTGGGAAAATGTCATTGGGTTTTGGATAGCGACTGTATTGAATCTGTAGATTGCTTCAGATAATGTGGGCATTTTAACAATGTTAATTCCCCAAATCCATGAACATGGAATATAATTCCATTTCTTGTGTCGTCTTCAATTTCTTTCTAAAATGTCTTACAGTTTTCAGTGTACAAGTCTCTCACCATCTTTAAGTTTTATAGTGATTGCAAATGAAATTGTTTCCTTCACTTCTACTTCGGGTAGTTCATTGTTAGCATATAAAAATGCAACAAATTTTGGTGTATTAATTTTGTCTACTGCAACTTTTATCTGTTTATTTCTAATAGCTTTGTAATGGAGTCTTTAGGATTTTCTATGTATAAAAATCATGTCAACTCCAAATAGTGAATTTTACTACTTTCTTTCCAACATGAACGCCTTTTATTTCTTTTTCTTGCCAAATTGCTATGGCTAGGACTTCCAGTACTATATTAAATTATAAGGGTGAGGCTAGGTTTTCTTGTCTTGTTCCTAATCTTAAAGGAAAAGCTTTCAGGTTTTTCACCAATGAGCATATTGCTAGCTGTGGTTTTGTCATATGTGGCAAAGATACTTTCCTTTGATACCCATTTTATTGAGTGTTTTTTAATCATAAGTGGACTTTGTATCTTGTCAAACATTTTTACTGGTCTCGACAGATACAGTATCTTTGCTTGTGTTAATATGGTGCATTACACAGACTGACTTGTGGATGCTGACTCATCCCTGCATCCCTGAAATGAATCCCTCTTAATCGTGGTGGATGATCATTTTAATGTATCATCGCATTCTTTGATAGTATTTTGTTGTGGATTTTTGCATCAATGTTCATCAGAGAAACTGGCCTGTAATTTTCTTCTGTTATCCCTGCCAGGTCTTGGTATCAGGGCAATTTTGGCCTCAAAACAAGTTACAAAGCACGCCCTCCTCACAAGTTTTTTCAAAGAGTTTGAGAAGGACAGTTATTAAATCTTTTAATGTTTTGTAGAACTCAGCAGTTAAGTCACATGGTCTTGGATTTTGTTTTATGGGGAGGTTTTTGGTGGGCGTTTCAACTTCCTTGCTAGTTATCAGTCTAGTCAGGTTTGCTAATTCTTCATGGTTCTGTCTAGGAAGGTTGTACGCTTCTAAGGATTTCTCCACTTCTTTTAGGTTGTCTAATTTGGTGGTGTATAGCTTTTCCTAGTATTCTCTTATGGCCGTGTTTCTGTGTATCCACTTTGTCTTTCATTTCTAATTTTATTTGAGTCTTCTTCTTAGTAAGTAGCTAAAGTTTTGTCAATTTTATCTTCTCAAAAAACCAGCTCTTTGTTTCATCCATTTTTTTCCTATTTTTAATCACGATTTCATTTACTTTCATTTCCTTCCTTCTGCTCACTTTGGGCTTTGCTTGTTCTTGTTTTTCTAGATCCTTAAAGCGTATTGTTAGATTGTTTGAAAATTTTCTTGCTTCTTGAGGTAGGTCTGTACCGATATAAACTTTTCTTAGTATAACTTTTGCTGCACCCCACAGATTTGAGTATGTTAGTTTCATTTTCACTTGTCTCTATGCATCTTTTGATATCTTCTTTTATCTCCTCATTCACCCAATAATCGTTTTGTGGCATCCTACATATTTGTTTAATCTCTATATATTTGTGATTTTTTCCAGCTCTCCTCTTGTAGTTGATTACCAGTTTCATATTGCTGTGGTCAGAAAAGGTGCTTGATATGATGTGAATCTTCTTAAATTTATTGACTTGTTTTGTGTATAAACATGTGGTCTATCCTAGAGAATGTTCCTGGTCTCCTGTGTCACTCAAGGCTATTGTTTCCTTGTTGACTTTGTCTGGATGATCTACCCATTGATGAAAGTGGGGTGTTCAAGTTCTCCACTATTATGGCATATGGTCAATTCCTCTTTTGATCTGTTAATAATGGCTTTGTATATTCTGGTGCTCCAGGTGGAGTACATATATATTAATAAATGTTATGTCCTCTTGGTGGATTGTCCCCTTTATAATTTTTAAATGTCCATCTTTGTCTCACGACCTTTTTTTGTCTTGAACTCTTTCATCAGCTGTAAGTGTGGCTATACCATTTTCTCTAGATACCATTTGGTTGAAGCATCATATTTAACCCCTCACTTTGAGCTTCTGTTTGTCTTGAGAGCTAAAAAGAGTCTCCTGAAGGTGAAACATAGTTGGGTCTTTTCTTTAAAAAAAAGATTTTATCTACTTATTTTTAGAGAAAGGGAAAGGGAGGGAGAAAGAGAGGGAAAGAAACGTCATTGTGTGGTTGCCTCTCACACACCCCCTACTGGGGACCTGGCCACAACCCAGGCATGTATCCTGACTGGGAATTGAACCAGCAACCTTTCCGTTCCCAGGCTGGAGCTCACCACTGAGCCACACCAGCCAGGGCTGTTCTTTTTCATCCATCCAGCTACTCTTTTCCTTTTGATGCTGAGTTCTGTCATTCACATCTAGAGAGATTACTAATGTATACAAGGATGTACTATAGCCAATTTATGCTTTGTTCTCTGGTTGGTCTGTACCTCCATTGTTCCTTCTCCTTTGTGTTCCTGTCTGCTACTCGAGTTTGATTGTTTTCTAGAATGATTTTCTCTGCTTTTTCTTTTTTTATGTTCCATGTCTCTGATCTGGATTTTTGTTTTGTGGTGACCAGGTCTGCATGAAATATCTCACAGTTAAGATAGTCTTTTTTCATCTAATTGCATCTTATCTTTGTTCACCTGTACAAGTTCAGTCCTCTTCCTCCTCCCCTTTACGTTTTTGTTGTCACAAATTAGCTCTTTTTATGGTGTGTGTTCACTGCCAAACTGTAGTACCTATAGTTATGTTTAATGCTTTTCCCCCATAACCTTTAAAATTGTTTAACATGCTATTCATTTTTTTTTTTTAGGATTTTATTTATTTATTTTAGACAGAGGGGAAGGGAGGGAGAAAGGGAGAGAAACATCAGTGTGTGGTTGCCTCTTATACACTCCCTACTGGGGACCTGGTCTGCAACTCAGGGATGTGCTGACTGGGAATCGAACCAGTGACCCTTCAGTTAACAAGCTGGCACTCAATCCACTGAGCCACACAAGCCAGGGCTCTGCTTCATACCTTAAAGATAATGATGCTGGATAAAGTATTCTTGGGTGGTGATTGCATTCTTTCAATATTTTGAATACATTTTTCCTCTTCTCAATACTGTATGGTTTCTACTGAGACATATGATAATCTGATTATTTCTTTTGTAGGTGACTGTGTTTTCTTCCCAGATACCATGAGAATTCTTATCATTAACTTTTGATAGTTTTAATACGTGTCTTGGAGAAGGTCTTTTGTTAGTGAGATAATTAAGTCATTGTATCGGGTTGGCTAAAAAGTTCATTTGTTTTGTTCCATATGATGGCTCCAGTAGTGCTTAGTTGTCTTTAATGTCATTTGAAACAGTTTTGTTAGACTGTATTGTGACAGCTGTCATATCAGCGTGCACTTAAAACAGAGCTTATCGAAATTGTTGAATTTTTGTGCAGTCATTTTAATATTGAAGATGGAAGAAGATACACATTTTCGGCATATATGTTTACTTATTAAAAGAAAGGTAAAAATGCCACTGAAATGCAAAGGTTTGTGCAGTGGATGGAGAAAGTGCTGTGACTGATCGACCATTTCAAAAGGGGTTTGTGGTACTATTGGCATTCTGGCCAAATAATTCTTTGCTAGAGTCTATCTTACACATTGGAGGATGTTGAGCGGCACCCCTGGCCTCTGCCCACTAGAAGCCAGTAGCGGAGAGAGCGATGTACTGAAAATAGCCCAATCAACGAAGTTACTGGTGACGATAGAAAATGTGTCTTGTATTTCATGGAAAAAACTAAACAACCATTTTGGCCAGCTCGGTACTTGCATGTCCTCTTCCTACCCCAGGCTTGGAAAATTCTTGTCCCTCATTTCTTCGAATAGGCTCTGTGTTCCCTTTGGTTTCTCTTCTCCTGGGCCACCCACTGTCCCTATGCTGCTCCTTCTAATGGAGGCAGATGGTTCTCAGAGGGTCTTAGTTCTCTTCTTAGACCCGAATCCTTTCAGTTTCACTCTTTGAGCTGGCTAGTTCATTTTTCCATCTGGACCACTATTTCCTAGTATTCTTCATCACATTTATTGAGTTCTTCAGCTCCATAATTTGTTTCGTTCTTTTTTTTTTTTCTCAGAGAGAAATGAAGGGAGAGAGGAAGCGAGAGAAACATCGATGTGAGAAAGAAGCATCGGTTGATTGCCTCCCCTACATGCCTGGACCAGGGATCGAACCTGCAACTTTTTGGTTATGGGACAATGCTCCAACTGAGCCACACCATCCAGGGCTCATTCTTTCTTATAGTTTCAATCTTTTTGGTAAAGTATGCTTTTCTTCATTAATTCTATTCCTGGGCTCAGTCAATGGCCTGTCTCAAGTTTTCCTCATGATTGCCATTTTGAACTCTCTGTCATTCAAATTACAGACTTCCCTGACTTTGGGTCCAGTTTCTGGAGACTTGTCACTTTCTCTAGTACCACACTGCTTTGGTTGTTCACAGTACTCCAGACTATCCATCTGCCAAGGTGTCTTAGGTAGTTTAGTTTTTCATCTTGACAATACTTCAGGTTGATAAATAGGTCTTTCTTTGGTTTTCCAGTAGATGGCGCTGTAGTGCAAGTTTTTACGTGTATTTTCTCGTACATGTTCTTCCTGCAGCTCCAGGGTTGTGTGTGTGTACGGTGGGTGGGTGGGGCATTGCTGTGGCTGTGGGACTCAGTGCCTGGAGGACTCGGTGGAGGTGTTCCTGCTGTGTCCAGGTTGCCTTGGCATCAGGACACAGCCGCTGTGGCAGGGGGAGGGGGTGTGGCAGGTAGTGGGGAGTTGGGTTCATGAGCGAGCCTACAGCGCTACTTCCTTATTCCTCATGAGCACAGAGCTGTGGACATATTTCCTCTGCTGCTACTGGCTTCTGCCGCCAAGGTGGGAGAGGAGGCCAGATTATCAGGCATCAACACCACCCTCCACCGTGGAGCAGTGTGTGGGCCACACCTTCATTCCTCCACCACTGTCTGTGGCCAAGGAAACACACCTGCAGACCATGTCTGACACCCCCCCCAGCCTGCCTCCCCTACCACTCCGATATACCACCTTCAGACGCACCGATGTATCTGCCCCTCAGTGTGTCTGTGTGCTGAGCAGAGAAACCTTGGCTGGATAACAGTTGCCCAATCTGTTGCAACTTCAAGGGCAGATACAAGGGAGGGCACGTAGGCACGAACCTGACATTACTGTCCAACACACAACTTTTAATGTTCACTCCATCCTGTGCCCTGGTTTCCTTCTTCAGGGACCCTATGGTATGTATGTTGGACCTTCATTGACCATGTATGATATAACGTTCTCTCAAATCCTCTTTGTCTTCATTCCTTTTTGATTTTCAAAACTTTTTTCCTTTCATGCTTTTGCCATGATGAGAGGTGTGACTGATTCAAGTCAGGGATTATTGATTCTTCAAAGTCAACTTACAAATGTAAATAGCAAGAGCAGATGCTAAAAACAAGATACCCAGGATAGGCAAAGCTTAATGGATCTCTATGCAAAAACTGAGCATATCCTTGGCTCACTTTATCAATAAGAACAGAAGTCAAATCAGTCAGCATCCTTGTGATTCGTCTCCAGCAAATCCACTCAGCCTGAGGAAGGAAAGAGCACTTACGACGATTGAGGTCAGGTCCTCACTTTCAAACCGTCCAATTGCTAGTTCCAGAGACTTGTACATGGCCACCGAAACGCGCTGGGTAATCAGGCGATTGAGGTCGATGGACCTGCCCAGGAGCTGGGGTGCAGGGAGAGAAAAGTGTCAGCAACAGAAACAAGCACGGATATGTACGTATCTCCGCCCTAGTGGCTGCTTCTAAAAGATAAGACAAATAATGCACACAATTTAAAAACAAAAGCCCTGGCTGGTGTGGCTCAGTGGATTAAGCACTGGCCTGGGAGCCAAAGAGTGGCCAGTTCAATTCCCAGTCAGGGCACACGCCTGGGTTGCAGGCCAGGTCCCCAGTAGGGGGTGTGTAAGAGGCAACCACACACTGATGTTTCTCTCCCTCTCTTTCTCTCTCCTTTTCCCTCTCTCTAAAAATAAATAAAAAATAAAATTTTAAAAAAAAAGAAAGAGAAGATGAACAGTGTGGTTTTATCCTCTGCACTAGCCAGGAGAAAGCTCCTCTCTGACACCTCTGACCTGACGGGCATTTCTCATTTCTCAGAACTTCTTTTTAAAAAAATCCTCACCTGAAGGTACGTTTGTTGATTTTCAGAGAGCGAGGAAGGGAGAAAGAGAGAGAGAAACATCAATATGAGAGAGAAACATGGATTGGTTTCCTCTTGTACTTGCCCTGACCAGGGATGGAACCTACATCCTAGGCATGCGCCCTCAGTGGGAACAGAACCTGCAACCTTTCGGTGTGCGGGACAATGCTCCAGCCAGCTGAGCCACCAGCCAGGGCTCGGAGCTTCTTCTCAAGTTCTGGCATCTGGGCTCCCAGACAGGAGCCAAGGCCTCTGGCCCCATACCTGCCCCGGGAGCGGGGAGCAGAGCCGGAGCACAGCGCTGGAAGCTTTCCCTTTAGTTTCAGGTTATCTAAGAGAAAGCTCTTGTTTTTAAAATCTTTTTTAAAGATTTTATTTATTTACTTTTAGACAGCAGATAAGGGAGAGAGAAAGGGAAGGAGAGAAACAATGTGGGAAAGATACATCATCAGTTTCCTCTCACGCACCTCCTACTGGGGACCTGGCCCGCAACCCTGGCACGTGCCCTGATAGGGAACTGAACCTGTGACCTTTCAGTTTGCAGCCTGGCACTTACTCCACTGAGCCACAGCAGCCAGAGGTATCTTTAAAATCTTAAAGATTTAATAAGATGTTCCCACGGTCATATAACATACTGCCATCTATTAAAAGCCAGTGAACTCTATGAGTTCACTTCAAAAGTTACCTGCAGGTCACCATGCCAGGAAGGGCTTTGCTTACCTGCACGTGCCTCTGTTTGAGGAGTGTCTCGTAGCGGTTGGAGGGCGGGAGGTGGATCGCTGCCCCTTGGTTCTTGCATTCGGATCGTAACCGTTTATCAAGAAGCAAACTAGAAGGGAAGGCAGAGGGGACGTTTCTCACTTGCTCTTAGTTTCAATGCATATATCAGATCAACCTACCCAAGGCTTCCTAGGCAAACCACAAACCACATACTCACCTTCCGGCCATAACCTTATAATATGCAAATATCTGATCTGCCAACTTGTAAACAAACTGGTCAAAGCACAGATTCACCTAAAAAACAAAATAAGCGGACATTCCACTGTGATTCCCTGAATCAAAATCAAATAACACACTTAAAAAATATCTTTTGCCCTGGCTGGTGTGGCTCAGTTGGATTGAGCATGGGCCTGTGAGCCAGGGGGTTGCAGTTGGATCCCCAGTCAGGGCGCATGCCTGAGTTGTGGGCCAGGTCCCCAGTAGAGGGCGTGGGAGAGGCAACCACACACTGATGTTTCTCTCTTTCTCCTTCCCTTCTCCTGTGTTTGAAAGTAAATAAATAAAACCCTTAAAAAAAAAGAAAAGAAAAGATCTGCAACCCCGTGGCCACTGCAGCACTATTCCCAACAGCCAAGATGCAGAAGCAGCTTGTCTGTTCACATATCACCAGACACTTGGGTGTGGGCTGTCCAGTGTAAAAGCGCCTCACCCAACAGCTTATACTGTTTGTTGTTTGTCTCACACACATCGATGTGAGAAAGAAACATCCATTGGTTGCCTCCACAAGCGGTGACCAGGGATCGAGCCTGCAACCTTTTGGCTATGAGACGCAGCTGCAACCTACTGACCCACCCGGCCAGGGCACAGATTACTGTACTTTGCCGTGCATAATGCACACCCACGTTTTTGTGCGCATTATACACAGGATTATATCATTATTATACCTGCGGTATGTAATCATTATAATAAGCACCCTTATTTTTCCCTAAAAAATTTGGGCAAAAAGGTGTGCATTATACACAGCAAAATACAGTATATTGTAAGACTAACTGACACGTGAATAAATGCACAGAGAAAAGTGCAGACAGAGGATTAGCCCCAATTATCAATTCCAAAAGCTCATTCTACTGTTCAAACCTCACTGTGTTAGAAAGTTTGCTTCCTTGATGCTCAGAACCAGAAAATTACAAGAAAGCTTGTTTAAGGCTTTCCTGGGCTCTCACCTCCGCCTCGATTTCGTCGTAGAGAAACTGCTTGTTGAACTTGGTGAGGGCGTAGTGGGCACTGTCATTGTACAAGTCCAGCGAGTAGAGGACATACCTGCGGAGGGCAGGCGGTCAGCCGGCCTTGCTCACGGAGCCTCCCCCGCCCCCGCCCAGAACCACCACTGCTCTGCTCTCATGGGTTGTGGGAGGAGAGTCAGTCACGTGGCTGAGACGCTCTCAGCCACGGCAGCTCCTGCAGGGCCCCGCCCATGCACCACGCACACCAGCCGCCCTGAGCCGGACTCGGGGACACAGGCCGCTCCGACAGGCCGAGGCCCCAAGCTCCGGCACCTCCTGCCTTACCCTGTTTCAAAGAGTTTTACCACAAGAGGGAGTATTTTTTATAACCACAAAAACTAGTGATTTTCTTAGTTTTAAAAGTGAATTATTCCTAATAAACATCGTGTACAATGTTTAAAACATCAGCGTTTGCATCAAAACAAGACCCAGTTTATTTTCTGTGTGCTCTAAATTAAGCAAAAATGCTGTCATAAAAACAAAACGAAAGGAACAATAACAGTAATACAATAATAATAGTAATGATAAAAAGAGTGAACTGCCCAACTTAAAAAGAAAAACACAGGCCCTATCTCCCATGGATGACCACAAGCGCCCACAGCGTGGTGGAAAGACCCACGTCTGCACAAAAGGCGGCGACCAGAAATTTCCAGAAGGCCCCTTGGAGGGTGTGAGGCTGCCCGTGTAGCAGGGGGAGGGCCGTGTGAGCAGCAGAGCCGAGCCAACCCCAGCAGGGCAACCCCAAGGCACAGCGCACGCCAAGGCGCCTGCATCCGCCCACCCAGGTCCCTACAAGACAAGACTGCCCCGTTTTCTACTAGTTTCTCTTCACGGATTTCCTAATTCGAATGTCTCTGACCCCTGCCCAGGCCCTGAGTTCTGACCTCAAAACAAAGCTGTGCAGTCAACCCTTCCTCTCCCCAACTCACCTGGTTGGAGGTTGTGCCCGGCGCAAGGCCAGGCCACATCTCCTGTCCCCCATTCCCAGCTGAGTCCCCAGCCTCACCGGCCTAGACCCAGTGGCAAGTGCTCCCACGTGAGCTCAACTTTCCTCAAAACCCACGAAACCCATGACCTGTATTAACCTCTGAAATCTCAGCCAAGAATGACGCCGCCGAATGAAGTGCCGAACACAGGCCCCTCCCCTGCCTTCCGCCCCCAAAGGCCACCAAAGACCCAGGTCCCCGCGGACACTCACTCCATCATGGACGCCTCCTTGGTCTCCAGGATGTGGTCCGTCAGGATCCAGGGCATGGACATCTCGATGGGGAACTGCATCCTCCGGCCCATCGTCAGCTCCAGGAAGAACTCACGGAACCACAGCTGGGACAGGTCGCAGCACTGCTGCAGAGTTTCTTGGAGGACACAGACAGCAGCGTGTCCGTCTGTGCCACGCCCCACAGGCTCGGCAGACAAGAGACGGACAGGACGGGGCCCGTGCCGGGCGTGGCGCCTGCGCAGTCAGCCCCGAGCCATGCAGGAGAGGGTGTGAGCAGACGGGGTCCCGGGGTGCCTCACGCTAGGGACGGGCCACCCTGGGCAAAGCCACCCTGGACTGTGCTCGCTCGCCCAGGGAAAGAACAGAGTCGGTGTCCAGCCACCATGGGCCCAGCAGAACACCTGTGCCCACAAATGGACCTAAGTTACCCCTGTGAACCCCTGGGGAGACTGGGAGAAAAAAACGGTCCTTTTGAAAAGGAAAAATAAACCAGAATTACTTTATTTTACTTAGGATTAAAACATAGCATTACTCAATGCAGGTTTATCTTATGCAACATGGAGATGTTTATTCTTCTAAGTCTCTGTCCTGTGCCCTGGCTAGGTCTGGTCGCTCAACTGGTTGGAGCATCGTCCTTGTGACTGAAGGTCACGGGTTCGATTTCCAGCCAGGGCACATACTCAGGGTGTGGGTTCAGTCTCTGGTTGGGGCACATGAGAGGCAACCAGTTGATGTTTCTCTCCCTCTCTCCCTCCCTCTCAAATTAATACTCATATTAGGATGAGGATTAAAAAACAAACCTGTCTTATGATGGAGTGAAAAACAAAAAGCTGCTATTAACTGCAAACCTGCAGCACCCCAACCAAGCCAAGAGACCCGCTCTGAGCGTCGGCCATGACACAGGGGCAAACGTGGACAACTCACGGTGACAGAGGGCACCTGCCTGGCACCCTGGTCAAGGTGCCCAGCGTCACCCCGGGCCGGCGGCCTGAGTCTGGTCACCACCACGTCGCACACCTCACTGCCCGAGGGGTCTATTTCTGTGATCCGCCCCTGTCTTGGTCCTGAACCAGGTGACAGATTCTTTTTGCCTGGTTTTGGTCCCTGGGTGGTTACTAGGACTTTGTGGTCAGGTAGAAGGGCAGCTACGGCCCCCCGGCCCCCACGCTCCTGAAGCCACCCCGCTCAGGGGGAGCCCCTGGCCGGCCATGCGTTTACAGTGACAGGTGAGGGGATGCCACGAGGGTCACGACACGCGTCGCCACCGGGGTGTGAGGGGGCCACAGCAGGGGACGGTCAGGCAGGCGGAAGCGTTCTCGACGGTGTTAGCGGTGTTAGAACATGCTGGGCCGGGTGCGGGGCCGCAGCCTCTCTTACCACTGAAATTTATCAAGTGAGTGTAGAAGAAGGACTCTCGATGGAATTTTTCTATGTCCAAAATCGTGGGCCCTTCAAGGCTACTTCTCAAAGTTTTCTTGGAACCACTTTTGTCCGCAATGAGGGACTCTAGCATGGTTCTCACCATGTAAAGCTGCGTTATCCAAGGGAACATTCGCGGGGGAGAAAATACACACGGTACATTAGTTGCGCCGACCTGCCATCGCCCAACGCAGCGCTGTTCCTGATCCGGGCCGGGCCGGGCGCCCGCGCCTCTACGGGGGGCTGGGCGCCCACCTACGTGGCCGCGCGGCTGCTGCCTGGGAGGAAGGACCTGCGCGGAGCCATCGCTTCCGTGCGCGGAGATGGACAAGATAAACGAACGATGTCTTACCACCGAAGGTTAAAAGAGGCGGATAGGTGTAGGACTGCCTCAGAAACGCGTTAACCACATGCAACAGCCTTTCCATGCCCAGAGACTTGAGCTGCCGCAGCAGCTCAGCAGAGCTCAAGGACTCCGCCATGGTGCGCACCAGGTACAGCTAGACGTGGACAGACACGGGGGAGAGGCGGGAGAGAGGCGTTAGTCACATGACACGCGGAGCGGGGACACGCACACGGGACGGACATGGACGGGCCTTCCTCCCAGACCCTGCGCATTTCGCTGGCGGCCAGCACCACGCTTCGCTGGTAATTCTCGGAGTTTCTGGCAGAAGAGACCATTAAAGTCCCAACAGAGAGGTGACAAGAAGGGCCAAGCCCCCAAAGAGGAGGAGTAAAGCAGAAGGGCGTACAGTCAGGTGTGAGTCAGAAAAAGCTGCCGCACTTGGGGGGGTGGGGAGCGGGGACCCGCGCAGGGGCAACAGAGAACAGCAGCAGTGACTAAGTCTGGGGACACACAAAAGTAACATTTAAAAACTTTGCCAAGTTTGATATTTAAGAAGGATCTTTCCTGGCCCAGTGTAACATTATAACCATGCACAGAAATACCCCCCTGGATACAACCCCCCAGAAACGGCGTCGATGCAGACAGGCTGTCACCCGCACTTTGGACACGGGAGTCAAGACAGCCAAAGAAGTTCAGCATGCAAATGACTGAACCCGACAGCCCCAGGGGCACCCTGGCCAATGTCCCAGGCTCACAGGGGCCAGGAACAGAGTGTCAGACAGGACACGGGCAGTACTCGATCTGCCCGGGCAGGCGCAGGTGGCAGCACTGCACTCCCAGCCTCGCTGCCCGACTGCCCGGCTCAGGGCTGGCCCACGCGGAGGGAGGGGGAGGGGACAGGCAGAAGCAGAGGGGAGCAGGGGGACAAGAACCTGCGTGCTGGAGGGTCCCACGGCGCGCCGGGGCACTTTAATGTCGAAGCCGCTTTTGGGGTCTTTCTCGCCCCGGAGGGCCGGGTCGTTGAAGGGCTCATGGCCTGTCTCCCAGTCGCACACGGTCTTCCTGATGGCCTGCAGGACGCTAGAGAATGGGGTGCACGGCGCTGACATCGTCGGGACAACGATGGTCACGGCCTCTCCCCACCTGACACACAGCTCTCACACAGTAATGCCCCTGGGGGGGGGGGGAGCCAGGGGGAATGAGGTGCTGGACCAATTCCCCCGGAAATTTAAAAAATAGGTTGTTCCGCCCTGGCTGGTGTGGCTCAGTGAGTTGAGCACCAGCCTGCGAACCGGAAGGTCCCAGGTTCAATTCCCCGTTAGGGCACAGGCCTGGGTTTGTGGGCCAGTTCCCAGCAGGGGGTGCACAAGGGGCAACCACGCATTGATGTTTCCGTCCCTCTCTTTCTCCCTCCTTTCCCCTCTCTCTAAAAATAAATAAAACCTTAAAAAAAAAAAAAACAGGTCGTCCCGTTGGGGACACCACTAGGCCCAGAAGATCTGACGGGGTTGTAATTTGCATCCATTAGCCCGGAAGTGAAGTTTTGTTTTCTGAACAGTGAGTCATGTTTAGTGCGGCAGGACCACAGCTCACAAACACCCATTGTAGGAGCTGACACGTGACCTCCCAGCAGCTGGACGCCGTTTCCTAACAGGAACGTGAACTCACCTACACAACCGGGGTAGCGGGGCCTGTGTCCCTAACTCACGCAGCACGTGTGCCCCGCCCCCTGGCTCCGCAGGCGCTGCACCCACGGCAGACGCACCAACGCACCTGTCCTGATCAGCTCACAGGGAAGGTGCCAGGTGACAATGGAGCTATTCAAGTTACCCAGACCACCCTGCACTTTGCCACGTCATGAGCATCCCACTGTGGAACACACGAGCACTTCATTAACGTTAAACCCCACACCACGCCAGGGGACTAATACACCAACTATGAAGCAACGCAATGAAATCAATGCACTTGAGAACCCTGTGAGCTCCATTTGACAAAGGTGTCTCTAAAAGACAACTTTAGCCCAGGGCAGGGGCGTGGTGTGGTGTGGCTCAGTGGACTGAGCACCGGGCTCCAAACCAAAAGGTCCCTGGTTTGATTCCCAGTCAGGGCACATGCCTCAGCTTGCAAGCCAGGTCCCCAGTAGGGGGCACCAGAGAGGCAACCATACATTGATGTTTCTCTCCCTCTCTGTCTCCCTCCCTTCCCCTCTCTAAAATCTTTTTTTAAAAAAGAAAAAGGCTGACCATGGCAAAACTAGCTCAGGACTGCCACAGGTTCTCGGCAACATCCTATAGTTTCTGACCATTTCTGTCCAGTTTGTAGGACAGGCCAAAGGGGACAGAAGCAAAAATACTGAAAGCAACACACTGAGATGGGAGATGGAATGCTGGGCTGCGTGTCCCCACAGGCCCGGGGATCAGAGTCCTCAGGCAGATTCTGAGACACCCACACCCGGCCCTGAGGTGCAGGCACCGTGGTCCCTGGGTCTCCAGACTGCATGGACACCGTGCCATTGATTTACTGCAGGGGGCTTTTCAGAGTAGTAACTGGACCCTTGCCTTATACTTGGATGGAATTTACCAAATGGTATCTGGAGGTTAGAATTAAATGTGCTGAACATATTGGGTTGGCCAAAACACTCGTTTGGTTTTTTCCGTAACAGGGGCTTGAGTAGTGATATTGAATATGGAAGAAAATACGCAATATATTTGGCATTATGCCTTATTATTTCAAGAAAGGTAAAAACGCAACTGAAATGCAAAAATATATATATTTTACAGTGTACGGAGAAGGTGCTATGAATGAAGAAACAAGTCAAAAGTGGTCTGTGAGTGAAGTTCTGTGCTAGAGATTTCTCACCGAACGATGCTCCGCAGGCCGGATACACCAGGTGAAGTTGACAGCAATTAAATCGAGAATAATCAACGTTCTACCATGCAGGAGATAGCCAGCCTACTCAAAATATCCACATCAAAGAAGTTATTGGTGAACATGAAAAATGTGTTTTTCTTTTACGGAAAAAACCAAAAGGACTTTCTGGCCAACCCCACAGCTATGAAAATGCCAATTCCTGGCCGTGGAAACCCACGCCGATACTCTCGTCTCGGACTTGGAGCGTGCGGGGGCGCTGACCTCTGAATGACGTTCTTTTTCTTCTTGATGGCCTGCCGGAGCGGCTCACGGAGCGTGACCTGGGCGAAGTCCTGCAAGGCGGCGTAGACGGTGTGCCGGATGGCGTGGTTGAACACGCTCTCCATCCTGCCCATCAGCACCTGCAGGCCCTTGATCATGGCGATCACCTGCAGGGACACGCAGCTCTTGGGGGCCTGATGGGAGGTGGCCTGCCCCCTGCCCGCCCCAAATGGCCGCCCACCCTCCCACTGCCTGAGCGCCTCCTTGGATTTGTCTAGTGAATTTGTATTGCTTTCTGAAGTAAAAGAGAAATTTCTGTTTTAAAGAAAGGAAATTCTCCAATTCAAATCCAAGTGGGATTCAAATTTCACCCCAATCTGAAGGAAAGTGAAATACATTAGAATGTATGGGGTGTAGGGAAAGGTCACTGAAAGGTCAACTGTGAGATTTAGAGGCGTACATTAGAAAACAAAAAAAAAGCTTGAAAACAGTAATAATCTAATATTCACCAAATTTTCTTTAATCCTCTCCTGAGGATATGTTTACTGATTTTAGAGAAAGAGGAAAGGAAGGGAAGGGGAAGAGAGAGAGAAACATCGACATAAAAACGCCGGAGGGCCCTGGCTGGCATAGCTCAGTGGATTGAGCGCGGGCCTGCGAACCAGAGTATCGCGGTTCGATTCCCAGTCAGGGCACAGGCCTGGGTTGCAGGCCAGGTCCCCAGCAGGGGGCATGCCAGAGGCAACCACACATGATGTTTCTCTCCCTCTTTCTCCTTTTCCCTCTCTAAAAATAAATAAATAAAATCTTTTAAAAAAATCTACGAAAAGATTCTAATATTTACATGAAGATACAAAGGACATGAATCTCCAAGGAGCTCTTACAAACAGAAAGATTTGCTTTTGTTAAAGATTTTATTCATTTATTTATTTTTAGAGAGGGGAAAAACAGAAGGAAAGAAACATTGAATCGGTTGCCTCTTATGTGCCCCCAGCTGGGGACCTGGCCTGCAACCCAGGCATGTGCCCTGACTGGGAATCGAACCTGCAGCCTTTCAGTTTCCAGGCCAGCAGTCAATCCAACTGAGCCACACCAGCCAGGGCATAAGATTTCTTAAAAAGGGCAGGAAAAGTACAACCACCAATAAAAGGAAGCTGGCAGTGAAATGAAGGGCCCGCCACCCAGCAGGAGAGCGGAGCAGGGGACTCAGCTCTCAGCTGCTGGGACTGCTTCTCGCCCGTGTCACAGCTCCCAGGCGCCTGCCCCGCCCCAGAGGAGTTATCAGCTGAGACCAGGAACCCGCAGCCTGTTTTATTCCGTTGGGCAACTGTGACAAGGGCCACCCTACCCAGAAGCAGTGACAAGAAATAGGCAGTTAACTGGAGTCTTTGCCTCCGCCTTGGAAAGGGAAGACGACGTGCAGGGGAGACGATGTGCGGCCAGAGTCACAGGAGGAAGAGAGAGCGGACCGAGCTCACCTCCACCAGGGCGAACTTCTCCTCGCTGGTGTAGTTGTAGCGCGTGGCACGCTCGTACTCCTCGGCGTTGTCGGGGCAGTCCTTGTTGGAGTACTTGTCGGTGGGGTGCACAAGCTTCCACGAATACTGGGGTGGGCGGGGAGAGGGGAGACACACGGCCGACTGCAAAACGCTGAACGTGTGCAAAATGCTGGTTGCGTGTGAGGCAGCCAGAGAGACAGGAGCAGAGGAGCAAGGATGGGCCAGGTACAGAAGGTCGCCAGGCCGAAGAGCCCCGGGGCCAAGGACGACTGTAAGGTGGGACCTCCCCCCAGGGTGGCCTTTCCTCCCCGGGGACATCGCTGGTCATAGAGCTTTAGACCCCCTGTCGCTAGGCACGGGTAGACCCCCTGAGAGGGGAGCAAGGGGGCTGGAGAGCAGCCCCACGCAAGCCCCTGCAAGACCACTCCCTCCGGCATTCAGCCCTCAGGACTACGAGGTCTGACCCACGTCCAGCAACCTCGGGAACAAAGCCTCGGGGCTGCGGCCCACAGAGAGAGCTCCGGTCAACCTGGAGGTGCCATCTGGGCCTCAGTGAATTTCAGCTCCAGGCCCAGAAAAGCGGCGAGGCCAGGCCAGGCGGGTGACACCATGACTGATGTCAGGACCAGCCGTGATGACTGACGACCCCCTGCCCCGGTGCCAACTAATCAGTGGGGACCCAACCCCGAGGAAATACACCTGGAAAGCTGATGAAGGTTCTATGGGGGTCCTCCCCTGAGGCCTCCCCTAAAACCCCTGCCTTTGGAAAATGGATAAAACCCCTTAAGACCATGGCTCTAGGGCGCGCATGCGCTCTTCCCCCACAAGCCGCGCCTTCCCTGCTCCTTCCCGGACACATTTTTCTTTACCTTTCTTTCTCCTAAGCTCCAAAGGCCCTTCCTTCACCTCTGTAACTTTTCTTCTAGCTCTGTGAGTTTCTAAACTTTCACTTGTATTTGAGTTCCTTGGCTGTGAATTCTCTCCCATCTCAATTCAAGAGCTGAGGTTGCCCAACTGAGGTCTAACATGTGGTGCAGTTGGCTGCTGATGTCCTGACGCGCTGGCCACAGTCAAAGCCACGAAAACAGGTGGCCAAAGCAAGGCCCCCGGGGCCGAATCCGGCCCTCTACCTTGTCTTATCTGGCTGGGCACCTTGTTTCTATCCTGCAGCAGCAACAAGCTCCTTGCCCCTAGTGAAGGAGTAGTTACATTTATACAGTCCTAACATTGCATTGGGCCCTTTGAAGGCAACCATAAGGCTGACGTGGCCCCCAGTGACAATGAGTTTGACACCCCTATACTAAAAGGTCTTCCTTCTACTATTTGCTGCATCTGAAAATTACACACACACACACAGAATCTATCTCCATAAAACCAGTCTTGCCATGGGAGTACAGGTTTAAGAAATATATCAGAGATATAAGAAATACATGAGGGAAAATGGCCTGGGTATTTTGTGTGGAATATCTAAAAATCTAAGTATCTCATCACCGTTTAGAAAAAGGATTTGCCTTTCAAATGATTATATCCTCATTCAATATAAAATTTGTCTAAGGAAAATAAACAAAAAAAGATCACCCATGACTTACAGGAATGCAAATCTTTATGTGGCACCAGAAACCATTTGACAAATGCCATACAAAAAAACTGATGGCTGCAATTCCAGAGAAAATTCTCTTTAAAGAAATGCAAATTTGCCCAGGCTGGTGTAGCTCAGTGGATTGAGCATGGACCTGCGAACCACACAATCGCAGTTCAATTCTCAGGGCACACGCCTGGTTGCAGGCCAGTTCCCAGCAGGAGACTCACGAGAGGCAACCATATATTGATATTTCTCTCCTTCTCTCCTTCCCTTCCTCTCTAAAATAAATAAAATCTTTAAAAAAGAAAAGAAAAAAAGAAATGCAAATTTGCCCTGGTCGATGTGGCTCATTGGATTGAGTGCCGGCGTGCACACCAAAGGGTCGCTGGTTCGATTCCCAGTCCTGGCACATGCCTGGGTTGCAGGCCAGGTCCCTGGTAAGAGGTGCATGAGATGAAACCACACATTAATGTTTCCCTCTCTTCCTCTCTCCCTTCCCCTAAAAATAAATAAACAAAATCTTAAAAAAAAAAAAGAAATGCGAATTCAAAATCACCATAATGGTACAAAGTTAAGTCCATTACTGTTTTAACAGATGCAGCCATTTAGTTGTTAACACACATAAATGAAATACATGTTGAGTCGTCTTCCATTTAAACTGATACCTAACCTTATTTCTAGAGCCCAAAATAAAAAGCCCATTTATTCTTGATCCAAAGGCCAAAGTTAATGCAGAAAAAATATCATTTAGTCAATTTCTTGAGGAGTTTGGGTAGAAAAACAATTGTAACCGACTGGGGGCGGGGAGGGGAGCCGCTTCTCTGCACCCCGCAGTGTCCCCTCTCCCGAGCTGGGTGCCTACCACTTCCATCACGTGTGCACTCCACTGTGAGAGCAGCTGCAGGCCCTGCAGGGCCAGGTCGAAGAGCTTCCGGTACTCAGCATCTGTCTTCTGCGCCTCCTGGCGGCCCGAACCTGTGACAACCTAGAGAACCCCAGGGGCGTCAGGAAGTCGGCCCACATCCAGAAAAACCAGCCCTGTGTTTGCCCCGGACCCATCCAGCTCAGTCCAGGAGCCCACGCCAAAGATGCTGTCCCCCAAACATGCAATGATGGGGCGCACCAGCCTTCCCTGCAGCAGAAGGCGGTGACCATGTCCATGCCCAGCCAGCACGGACTGAAATGCTTCCTGTCTGAAGGTCTCAGACTAACGGCTCCGGCCACCGACATGCTAATGACCTCGTGATTCTGCCGGAGGCCTGAGCAGCCCAGGCATCTCAGGGAAGAGTTGGGGAAACAGGCAGGAAGTAATGACTCAGAGCAGCAGGGGACTGAGAAACATTCTGCTTTTCCTGGCAGCGCTTCTGGGGCCCGGCTGTCTGCAGTTCCAGCCACTTCTGCCTCAGGCGGCCTCCCTTCCCATTACAGAAGACGCCTGACTCTGCGCTCTCTCAAAATGGAGTTGAGAAGCAGTTCCCCCATCTTCACAAGCTAGGCCTTCTCAACCAATGAAGCTTTATCCCCTGCTCCAAATTTTGAGCTAGTGAATACGGGCCTGTCTCCAGAAGCATAGAGCACAGGATGTGGCAGGCTGTGCTGTTAGAATAGGTGGCTAGATATTAATGAAGGGAGCAAAGGGAATCAAACATTACATATCTGGTTGGTCAAAAAGTTCGCGTTGTCTTCTGTACGATGGCTCTAGTAGTGCTTAGTTAGTTGTCTTTAAGGTCATTTGGAACAATTTTGTCAGACTGGATTGTAACAGCTGTCTTATCAGTGTCCTTTTTTAAAAAATTATCAAAATTGGTGAATTTTCGTATAGCCATTTTAGTACTGAAGGTGGAAGAAAGCACATTTGCAGTGTACTATGCTTTACTATCTCAAGAACGGTAGAAACACAACTGAAACGCATCAAAAGTCTTGTGCAGTGTATGGAGGAGGTGCTGTGACTGATCGAACGTGTCAAAAGTGGTTTATAATGTTTCCTGGTAACACTGACATTTTGGCCAAGTAATTCTTTGCCGTGGGGCTGTCTCAAGCACTGGGAGATGTTTCGCAGCGCCCCTGGCCTCTACCCACTAGCAGCCAATAGCGGGAGAGAGCCGACATACTCAAAATGGCCAAATCAACAAAGTTATTGGTGACAATGAAAAACGTGTCTTCTATTTATGGAAAAAAATGAAAGAGACATTTTGGCCAACTCGATACAATAAACTGGGGAGCTGAGTCAGACAAGAAGCCTGCTTGTTAGGGCGCTGCAGCACTCACAGGGTCCCCGGGGGGACGTCTGTACCCTCGCTCTCAGGACCTACTCCTCTGGGAAGGATCGTCAGCGGTCAATATCCTGGGTTAATGAGCTAAAACAATAGTTAGGAAATTCCTCTGCTGGGCGCAGGCCCTGGAGAAGCCAAGCTGGTGCAGGGGGATGGCCTTCTACTATGAGGCATGCGCAGCAGGAGCAAGGTGGCTCCCACACAGGGTGGAGCCGAGCCTGGGAGAAGGAATGGATTAGATAAGACACACAGAACTCCAGAAATCTAAGAAAATGGATTGGTTAAGGGAAGGATCCAAGGTGAGCCTGAGGGAAGAAGGGTTGGGAAGTTGCTTGGTTAGTTTGAAAGAGCTCCTAGGCCTTCCCAAGCCTGAGATAACACAGCCAGAGCTTAAAAAAGGCAAGCCCTGTACCTCTCTCCCCACCAACACACACTCCTTAGCCCCCTGATAGCAGACGTGAAGACCCAGCAGCCGTCAGGGCGGTAGCGGTAGTCTCCCAGTGGGGATCCCAAGAGCAAGACTGGGTGCAGTGATACAGTACCCCCAAATCACAGCTGGTATTTAGACTTCGCTAGCAGGACAGGAACGAGGGCTGAACTGAACTCAGCTTTGCCGTGGACGGAACCAATGGTGCAGAATTTCTGGGCCCTGGCCTCACTTCTACGCTTGATGTACACAAGGCTGGACTCGTTCCACAGTGGACAGAGACCAACTGCGTGTGGCCAGCCCTCCGTGTTTGCTCCTGCCTCAATAAACCTTACTACTACACCTCAGCCCACCATGTGTGGTCCTCGAAATGCTTTTCTCACGGTACCACGAGGGCCCCGTGTCTGCAGAATCGGGGTGAAGAGAGGCACATGCACAGTGCGCTTCCACTCAGCGAGTCACGGAAAATGCGCACATCACGGGTACTTGCTTATATCAAATAACAAAAAGTTAGATTTAAGAATGCTGAACAGCAAGGAGGGGAGGGGCAGGCAGACTTCGCTGAACATCCCTCCTTCCACTATCTGACTGTGGACCAGCAAACGCAGTTTATACATCACAACATAAAGTAAGGCCGGGGGAAACCGGAGCCCTTGAACTCCAAAGCACAAGAACGCCGTGAATGGAGCTAGGCAGCAAACGGGCATCGTGGCTGCACAGAGGATACAGGTGTGGGCGCCTGACACCGAGCTGCTGACTGCCGACCTGACACTGCAAAGGCTCCCGGCCTGAACAAACACAAGGCAACAGCCAGAGAGCCAGGTCGCCCCCCACTCCCAGTTTCCTGTGAGAACGGGCTGCTTGATCTATGTAATGAAGGAGCCAGGGAAATGAGGAAGTGATTGTTCTCAATTTTAGCTGCTCGCTCGACCATAAGGACAGGGTGCACATAAGGAGGTACAGAGCTGATTGTGTTAAGTCAGCTCCTGGAACGCCAAGGGGGGGGGCGTAAAAAGACCACAACCACAGCATGAGGTTTAAGAGCCAATCAGCTATACTCTCACGAGCTGTCCACGAGCTCTAGTAACCAGTCCTTGGTCAGATCACGCACCTTAGTATAGCCCCTGAGCCAATAGCTAACTGCCACCTTCTGCTTCTGGAAGTTGCTTGCTTGCTCACCTCTATAAGAACCCTAGCCTGTAAGCGTTAGGTGCGACTCTCATTTGCAGCCATTTTGGCACCCGTGTGTCTCTGGAGGCACCCCGAGAGTTCGCCCCTGTGCAGGTAAAACTTTGAAACTTTGGCCAATAAAGTTCCATCTTAAACTCCTGAAGGCTTCTGACATTTGCTCACATTGGGGTATGTTACATGTAACATATGTAAGGGACATCCTCGGTGGCCCTGCTTTTCCCACAGATGCTGCTCTCCCCTCTTTTTCTTAATAAATGTTTTATTTATTTATTTTTAGAGGGGAAAGGGAGGGAGGAAGAGGGAGAGAAACGTCAATGTGTGGTTGCCTCTAGAGCACCCCCTACTGGAGACCTGGCCTGAAACCCAGGCACGTGCCCTGACTGGGAATCAAACTGACAATCCTTTAGTCGGCAGGCTGGTGCTCAATCCACTGAGTCACACAGGCCAGGGCAACTAATGTATTTTGCCCCACATAACACGCTCCTGTGTATAATGCACGTTTGTGCATTATTTCCACGGTGTGTAATCATTCTTATATCCCTGGTATGTACTTATTATACTGGTGTATAATGCGCATCCTTATTTTTCCCTCAAAAGTCTGGACAAAAAGTGCGCATTCTACATGGCAAAATAGGGTAATCCCTGCTCTCGGGTTGGCGATTCACTGATAAACAGCGACCCTGCAAAGCCCTATGCCCCCACTGCTCCCCCCTGGCCCCTCCCTCTGCCTGTGACCTCGCTGGGTGGCCACAGGTGTGCCAGGTGCCCTGCAGGACTGCGAGTAATCGCAGTAACTGTGAGGACTGGGCCCCACCCGACACAGGCCCCGCAGAGGAAGTGACCCGCCAGTGCCACGGGCCAGGTGAGCGTCCCACAGGCCCCACTCAGTGCACACGAAGCTAAGCACTGCAGGCAACTTTGCCAAACAACAATGTCTCATCCCCAGAGGGAGAAACCTAGGGACAAAACGAAGTCCAAGAGAAACCTTACTCTCCAGGGAGAGATGGCCAAGCACGGATTCTGGGTTTTGGTGACTAAGTTCAGCCTGTCTGGTCAACTTGGCCAATTCAATGAGCTGTGGCCAATGTTGCTGGAGGAGCCCCTTCAGCGGGAATTAAAGCTAACAATGGCGCCCTGCCTGAGTTGCTCATTTGGTTGGAGCATCGTGTTGTATGCTAAAAGGTTACAGGTTTCAATCCTGGTCAGGGCACATACCTAGGTTGCGGGTTTGATCCCCATTTGGGGTGTATACATGGAGGCAGCCAACTGATGTTTCTCTCTCACACTGATCCCCCCCCCCTCAAAACAATAAACATATCCTTGGGTGAGGACTGAAAAATAATCAGACCTATGTGTGGACCCCCAAGTCCCTGGGTCCCTCCTGACAATTCACAGCACCCACACCGCTGACCTCACTGCCTTGCTCCCTGAGATGTAAGAAGTGGCACCCCCTCGGCTCCTCCACGCCACACCCCACCCCCTGCACCCCCACAGGCTCGGAGCCACACCAGGCAGGTGGGGACACCCAGGAAGACCTCCCGCCAACCCAGAGGCTCCCGCACACCCCTGGCCCCCAGACACCCTCGCTCTCCACCCCATCTAGTCGGGGTTAGACTAGGAGATGCCGCTTCACTCATGGTCTCTCCTTGGTCCTTTTTCTGGGGTCCTATTATGCTTTTCTGAAAAAAAAAAAAGGAGTCAGATAAAGCTCACTGCACTGCCCCCTCTGGTGTAATGGGTGCCGCCGAAGATCTGGCACGAATCTCTATTTCTCAAAGCGATCGAAGTCGCATTTGGGGACAAAGAGCAGAGGGGACTATGGGTCCCTGTGTGGGGCGCGGGCTCTGACCTCGCTGTTGCTATAGCGCGCCAGCTCGGAGATGAAGCGCATGTGGTCATCCCGGATCTGGATCATCTGCTCGCAGATGTTGTACTGGGGGCTGCTGCCAGAAGACGTGCATGTCCACCTGGAGGGAGGAAAACATGTCACCGGGAGGCATCACTGGGATGTACGCCAGAGCAGAGCCGCGCTGGCAGAGGACGCGCTCAGGATGGCCCGCCACTGTCCCCAGGTCCCTGCAGGGTTCGGAGGCAGCGGAGCCTCAGGGAGGGAGGAGCTGGCCTGGACCCACGGCCCCAGGTCGACGTCTCTGTCCAACCTCCTAATTCTGTCTTTGAAAAGTCATCACAATTTCTCCTCAATCGCCCACCCATTTTCTACTGGGATGTCAGTTACAACACAGGCAGCAGAGTCAGTAATATTGTAATAACTGTGTATGGAGCCGGGAGAGCCCTGGAAACAGCAGGGGAAACACTTTGTAAAGCATGTGACCGTGTGACCACTGTGGTGCACAGCCGACACTGATACAAAGTCAGGTGGAATGTCAACTGTAATTGAAAAATGAAATGAACAACAACACATATAATAGTTAACCAATGTTCTAAAAGGCTGAGAGCTGCTGCTGGATTTAGGACTCTGAGCCACCCTAGCAAGGACGCACGGCCACATCACTGGGGGGCTGGTGGGGACAGACACCCCTTTATCACTCACACAGGAAAACGAGAAGCCATGGCAGAAAAGCAAGTCAGCCGGAGACTCAGGATGAACTTAACCTTGTCGGGAGAGTTGAAACCGACATTACCGGAAGTTAGATGGTGTCAGTGTAACTAGCCATGTGCGCAACACAACATATCCGCAGCAAACAGACACAAATTAGTGGGGACGGAGCTCATTAAGAATTGACACTGCCACAGGTATTGGGAGGAACGCTTGGCCTTGGGGCTCAGAGGGCCGCTCCCCAACACGGCACGTGCTGTTTTTTCCCAGCTGGTCCTCGCTGCCCAAAACAGACAAATGCAGTGACCACTTTTCAAGATACTGTATTTTGCCATGTATAACATGCACGTTTTGCCAAAACTTTTGAGGAAAAAAAATACGGTGCACATTATATATGGGGATAGTAATCCCATGTACAATACACACAAAAATGTGAGTGTACATGATATGTGGCAAAATGTGGTCATCTATTTCAAGCAACATCCCTTTTGCTCTTTTTTAATTTTTAAAGATTTTGCTCTGGCTGGTTTGATTTAGTGGATTGAGCACCAACTTGCAAACCAAAGGGTTGCCTGTTCAATTCCCGGGCACATGCCTGGGTTGTGGGCCAGGTCCCCAGTAGGGGGCGTGCAAGAGGCAACCACACATTGATGTTTCTCTCCCTCTTTCTCCCTCCCTTCCTAAAAATAAAAAAATAAAATCTTAAAAAATAAAAATAAATAAAAAATTAGCCACTAACTACTAAACATTGGAAATATGGCTGTTCTAAAGGAAATACCATATTTTGTCGTGTATAATGCTCACTTTTTTGCCCAAATCTTTGAGGGAAAATGAGGATGGGCATTATACGTGGGCAGTACCTGAAATACTTTGTATCTCTTCTCCTGTTTTGTAATTATTTGTTACATACAATTTCTTGTATCATAATATGTTCAAAAACAAATGCTAAAATTCTCTTACAACACATAAAACAAGTATCTAAATATTTATATAGTATCTAAATAAAAAGTTGATTTCAGCATTTAAAACACAAGATTTTTCTCCTGTAAGTCTGGGCAAAGAACATGGGTGCGCATTATACATGGCAAAATGTGGTAAATTTTTAAGAAATTTCAACACAAATAGCCACACTCGCCAAGGGCTACTGTGTCAGGCATTCAGTTCCGGATGGCTGAGAATGTCAAGGTGACATCACAAGATACACATGAATTGTCACAAAACCACAGTGAGAACAATGCAGAACGTTCTAACTGGGCAGCTCGCTCTCCTACCGTGATTTGTTTTCTTCATAGTGGGCGCTGGTCTTGATATATCTCGCCAGTTCTATTTGCATGTCCCCAAACAGTGGGACCACCTGGAGTTGCTGTATTCAACAAAGAAAAATCGCAAGACAAATGAATAATGCTAATCATTACTGTGTGTTGAATACATTTTCTGCAAGTCATTTGGTGCAAAAAGGTTCTAAACAGCCCTGGCTGGTGTTGTTCAGTGGACTGAGCACCGACATGAGGACGAAAAAGTCTCTGGTTCGATTCCCTGTCAGGGCACATGCCTGGGTTGCAGGCCAGGTCCCCAGTAGGGGGTGCGTGTCAGGCAACCACACACGGATGTTTCTCTCTCTCCCTTCCCCACTCCCTAGAAATAAATAAATTCAACCTTTAAAAAAATTGTCAACAGCTTCTACATTCACTTCAAGAACAAAATACAAGAACCAACATTCATAAAACTATTTCAAATATTAAAATTAAACTAACTCTCGCTAGATCCATGGTTATTCCTATACACTAGGAACAATTAGAAAGTGAAAACTGGGAGCCTTTTCACTTTCACTAGAAAGTGAAAATTGAGCACTGGCTGCAAACCAAAGGGTCATCAGTTCCATTCCCAGTCAGGGCATGTGCCTGGGTTGTGGGCCAGGTCCCCAGTGGGGGGCACATGAGAGGCAACCACACACTGATGTTTCTCTTCCTCTCCTTCACCTTCTCTTCTCCTCTCTAAAAATAAAATCTTTAAAAAATAGACAGTGAAAAGGAGAGGCACATAGGGGAATATCTGTGTTTTAGAGCCATGTGCCCAACAACACCCATGTACCACAGGGAAAAAAAAAAACCACCAAGAAATTTAAAGTGATGTTTCATAAAAGAGAACAATACAAAGTGCTGAAGTATGAAAAGTCATCAGAAAAACAGCACCTGAACCCCAAGGAGACTAAAATCATAATGACACACCCACCCTTCGGGATTCCCCGCAGACGCTGTTGAGTGACAGCGAGGATTGGAGCAATGGGAGCGCTCACTCATGGAGTGAGGCAGGAACGCACATCCGCGCAGCTGCGTGGGAGGGCGCTTAGGCTGTGTCTACCACCCCGATACTGTTGATGCCCGTGACCCCGACACCCACCCCAGGGAAATGTCCAACAGAAACGCGCGCAGACGCGCAATAAGTCAGCGTGGGGCTGTTCACACCAGCCACAGCCCTGAAACCACTACATGCTCACGGTGACAGATGGGGACAAATATTAACGCACTGTGGCAGGACCACCCGATGGCCGGCAGCACCACAATGAAGGCCTACGGACCATGGCTGTTGGCTCCCAGAGGAACGTGTGTGACACAGGGAGGGAGCCACCAGACATGAGCACACACACGGCAGGATCCCCCCTGTGCGCGATTCTCACCCAGGTGGAACCAGTGTTGGGGGCGGGGGGGGGCAGCACCTCCACAAACAGGAGCAGGAGCCCCGCCCTGCCCGGATCCCAGGACAGGTCAGGGTCACCGCCCCCAAACTCAAACAGGGGATGCGTCAATTAAAATGTAGCTTACCTTGAAGAACTTGTCGATTTTGGACAAGTTTATCCTTTTCTTGGCGTCCAGTTTGTAGATGTTGCTGACGCTCCCGTCCATCAGGTACAGGCCGAACCCCATGACCTGCAAAAGTGTCAGACGGCCCAGAAAAGTCGGCTCGCAGGCTCATCACCCACGAGCACATACGGGCCACAGTTCAGAACTCTGAAATGACAATTCCCTCGTTTTTTCAAAAAGCGATTTTAAAAGCTCCTCGGGAATGGATGCTATTCATTCATGTGAAGCTATTCTTTTTTTTTTAATCCTCGCCTGAGGACATGCTGATTGAGTTTTAGAGACAGGGGAGAAGAAAGGGGAGAGACAGAGAGAGCAAAAAACATCAACGCTAGTGAGAAACGTGGATCTAGCTGCCTCTCCTATGTGCCCTGACCTTGGACTGAAGCCCCCCTGGGTCTGTGCCCTGACTGGGAATTGAACCCACAACCTTTCCGTTTACAGGAGGACACTCCAAACAACTGAGCCACGCCAGGGCTGAAGCTATTCTTTTATATGTGTCATTTCTTCTGGCTGTTTCAACGTCCTCCCAGGCACATCGACCTCCTCACCTCTGGTTGAGCACGCAGCAATAGTGAGTGCAGATTTCCACACACACCCACTGTTCTGGACTGTTGCATTGGACCGCACCCTGCAGCCCGACCCTCCATGGGGCTGTCCAGCAGGGAGAGATCTCAGCTCTGGCAGGTAGAGTGTTCGGTGGGAGGGACACCCAGCCAGGGTGGGTCCAGGGTGCCCTCCGCATTGGGGAGAACAACGGGCGGGGAACCAGGACCCCTTCTTCTCCTCCCAGTGAGAAATGCCACTGACAACCTTCCTGCCTTGAACGGAATAATAACAAAGAACAAGGTGTCCCCAACTGGTGTCGCTCGATGGATTTAGCACCAGCCTGTGGACCGAAAGGTCACCGGTTCAATTCGCAGTCAGGGCACCTGCCTGGGTCGCAGGCTGGGTCTCCAGTAGGGGGCGTGCAAGAGGCAACCACACATTGATGTTTCTCTCCCTCTCTGTCTCCCTCCCTTTCCCCTCTCTAAAATAAATAAAATCTTTTTAAAAATTTCAAAATCAAAGATGGTTCCTACTGAAGGTGTATCACTGTCACACCAAAGTTGAAAAACCCTAAATCGGACGCCCTATAATTAATTCCTAGGAATTCTATGCTTCACAAGTCCACTCTGGTATGAGCTCTGCTATAAAAGGCTGAATGAGCAAAGTCCTTGACCCCACACCTATCGCCCACGAACACTCGGGGGACTGGGGCTGGGGCCCATGGCACGGGGGTGAAGTGCAGGACACACTCAGGCAATGTGCGGGGAGCCTGCAGTCCAGGCTGCTGCGTACACATATGCGCATGCGCAGATGCAGACACAAGCATGAGAACACAAGGCTGACAAAACGAGGGCGGTCACAGCGCAGGCAGTCACAGCGCAGCTGGTCCAGGAGGAGGTGCTTCCCACGTCTACCCCGCCCACGTACTTTGAGAAGCATGTGTTTCTCGCTGGGCGTCAGGTACATCCTGTTCTCGTAGTAATCCACGCACAGGTTCACAATGTCAGCCAGGAGCTCTTCATAGCCTGAAATCACTTCAAGCTGTTGCTGCAGAGACTGAAAGAGGTGGAGACCCTTGCCAGCGGCTGCTCCGGGTCCACTGGGTCCTCCGGCCCCGCCCCATCCCGCAGCAGGGTGCCTGGTATCCGGGCAGGGACAGCCGAGCCTTACCTGGGTGATCTTGTTGTGGTTGGCCAGGAACATGGACAGATTCTGCGACTCCTGGATGGACTGTGGGTCTGCCATTTTCCGTAAAAACTGAGCGGCCCTTTGAAAGCAAAAAAAAAAAGGAAAAGCAGTTGATTGACGAACAGGCTTCATGATTTTTTTAAAACATGGGAAAATTGAGACCGCGGTTCTGTGGCTGCAGCCACCTGCAGAAACGTGGTCTCAGCGGCTGGTTTATGGCGTCAGCCTCCATGAACTTCTCCGCCCAGGGTCCTAAGCTGGTCTGCTCACAACCCTGCGGTCCAGAGCTGGTGGTAGTGACATCAGCGGGCCTCCTAGCAGGGCCACCGCATGCTGGCCTCTCCCTGGACCTACCTGCCCCCAAGTCTGAGGACAGCCACCTCCCCAGAGCACGGTGACGAAGAGGCCAGCACCATTAAGGTTCTGTGATGAGAACCCTCTGGGCCACCTCACCTGCGGGTCAGGGACCCAGTACAGTTCTGATATCAAAGGTCTACAACAGAATCCTGGTTCTGCTACCAACACGCAGTTCCATTTTGGACCAACCTCCGGAACTCTCGCTAGCCTCACTTACGTCTTTGGCAAATGACCCACCCCCAGGGCTGAGAGGAGAACAGACAGGAACACACAAAATGGACTGTCCACTGCGGTCCCACACCAGTGCCAGGCCCTGGGCAGAGCCTCTCTGAGGTCTCGCAATAAAGTGTGAGGTGGTATGAGGACTCCACATGTCTAAGGCTGGGCAACAAACGTCTAGAGGAAGCTGCCACGTAAGGTCATGTCTGTGCCACTTAAAACCTTGGGGGTTTTATAGAAGAAAAATTCTCACCCATGCAACACCCATGCACGATCGATGGCTGAGACATGAGACATAATGCAGAGTGCTGCAAGGCAACTGAAAGTTTACTTTGGGGTGATAGTGCAGGCCCTTCTATTCTTCTTCCTCCCTGGTGACTGGAATGCAGAAATGACGGCTGGAGTTCAAGAAACCACTTTGTGCCATGAAGCAACATATGAAGGCAGCAGAGCAGCAGGACAGCAGGAGTCCTGGGTCCTAAACACTGTGGAACCCCCACATCAGCTGCAGGCCACCTACCTCAGGACTGTTCAGGTCCAAGAATCTGAAATCTTATTTAAATCACTGTTATTCCTATGAGTTTTTTAAAAAATATATGAATGGTTAAACTTTGTATTAATTGCTATGGTAACATCCCTTTTTAAAGTGCTCTATTGATTTGAGTACTCGCTGAGACTAAGGAAGGGATCAAAGATGCTGTTTTCTGTTTGCCTCAGGCCTCACCATCACCATATGAGGGATCTTGGCATTGATGTTCAGAAGTAGCGGTACAAGTAATTACCAGCGGGATGCAAATTAAACATGTGTGGGAGTGTTGGTGTGGGGGGTTGGGGAGGAGCGGGACTACTGTTTGGGAAGGGAACCAAGAGGGGGGTCCCAGAGGTCACAGGAAGAGGCTGCAGCTGAAAGGGGTGAGGGTCACCTGAGGGGTGGTGAAAACCCCAGGCAGCTCCTAGAGGGGTGCCCAGGCACCCCAGACAGCCTTCCTCCAGCAGCTTCATCATTAAAAAATTATCTTACAACCTAGACTTTGGAATAGAAATGCCGTTTGCTATGAGAAAAAAAAAAGCATTTGCTAAAAGAAAAAAAAAACCTTTTGAACTTAAAAACCACTGATGCTGTATACCTCTAACAAAATCAAAAGGGCTGAGAAAGCTACCCAAAATTGGGCAGCCAGCCCTGGCCAGCTAGCTCAGTTATCGGAGCATCATTACACCAAGATTGTTGTTACACCTGACACACCAGTGTTGTGAGTTCGATCCCCGGTCAGAGCACACAGAAGACTCAACCAATGAATGCATTAAGAAGTGGAACAACAAATCAATGGAGTTTTTTTTTTTCTCTCTCTAAAAATCAATAAATTTTTTAAAAGTTGTTTTAAATCATGCAGCAAGTGATCTGTGCAGCCAGGAGCAGAAGCTGCTCTCCTAGTTGGTGGGTCCCACCTTCTACCCCTCAGAAGCCCCCACGCTCTGCCCACACTGTCATTGAACAGGATGCCTCCCCACTCTCCTCCCCAAGCAGGGTAAACCAGTCAACTGCAAAGACTCAGCAGGTCTCCTGGTCAGAGCTGACTGATTCTGGGAGAACGGAGTGCAACACCCGTACTTATTCATATGAGTAAGGCTTAACACCTGGGTGATCTAGCTCCACTCCCACGTCATCCTTAAATCTGGGCTTCGTGCCCCACCCTGTGTCATTTTCATTTTAAAAATACATCAACAGTTGTCTGATTTCCGATGGGACATATTCCAGCCTACCAAGATGGGAAGTAAAATCTCCAACTTAATTTTATCGCCCAGATTCCTCACCTGGCGAGAAGAAACATTAGTCGGTGTCTCATTCTAGCCAGCCGTGCCTTCGATTACCTGACACGGACCTTCTACAGAAACATCAATCAGGAGACAGCAGGCTGCCCACCTGTCCCTTCCTGCCACCAACCACCCGACACGGCGTTCCAGAAACACACGGCCACACCACGCCCCCCTTTCCCAATTCTCCCCTCCACATTGGAAAAGAAAACCACGCTGCAGGAGAGCCGGTCTGGCAAACCCAGCAGCTCAACGTGACCCTGTGAGACGGTCCACGGGGCCACCTGATCAGAGAGTGACAAGCGGAGGCAACACTCTCAGGCTGCAGAACCCACCTGCCCCTCACCGAGCGCCAAACCCCTCACAGTGACCGTAGGGCTCAGTGAGCTAGAAATGATCGGTCTGACGCGCCTCCACCCTCCCAATGGTGCTGAGCTCAGCAAATACAGGAACGCGACACATACCTCTAAGAATGCATCACAGCATATGTCGCCTGCCGGCCACCCCAGGAACACATATCAAACCGTTCTACACCGCCAACCAGCCGCGATGACCTCAGCACACCTGGGCTGCGCACCCACTGTGAGCAGGCCCCACTGCGCGCTCCCCACCGTGGCGCTGGCGCAGGCGCAGGGGGAGGCTCACCTCTTGTAGGCGGAGTGATCGTTCTTCACACTGCACTTCATGTTCTTCAGCTCGTCCAGCACCGCAAACATGTTGATGAACTTGCCCAGCGTGATCAGGTAGGCTTCGGACACGAAGTCCTTCCTCCGCTCCGCGTGGCACAGGCGCCTCACCTCCCCGCAGAAACGCTCGATGGCATTTCTCTGAGCAGAGAAAGGGCGCGGAAGAGCTGCGGTGAGTGAAGGGCCAGCTCCCCGCCCAGCTTCGAGCACTGTATCCAGACTCAAAGAGCCCCCACCTCAGTGAGCACGTGCGTAGTTAAGGCACAGGGAGAAAGACTCCACACGCCCTTGCTCTCTGACAAGAACTGTGAATTTTGTACTTCACTAACTATGCCCCTTAAGTAAACGAATGTTGTTGATTATTACAGTACAGTTACAGCACAAAATGCTGCAATGGAATGCCTTTAAATCAGATGTTTTAGCTTTCAGAGGTGAAGTGGGGGGGTCCTCTTTTTTTAATTCCCACTGGAAGAATATGTTTATTGATTTTGGGTTTTTTTTTTAAGATTTTATTTATTTATTTTTGGAGAGGAAGAGAAGGAGAAAGCAGTAAAGAAACATTAATGTGTGGTTCCCGCTCACACGCCCCCTACAGGAGACCTGGCCTGCAACCCAGGCATGTGCCCTGCCTGGGAATTGAACCAGCAACACTTTGTTTCTTAGTACCATGCTCAATCCACTGAGCTACACAAGCCAGGGCTATTTATTGATTAAAGAGAGAAGAAGTGGGGGTTAGGGAGGGCAGGGAGAAAGAAAGAGAGAGAGAGAGGAGAAACATCAATTGGTTGCCTCCTCTGTGCCCTGACCGCACTGGAACCTGCAAACTTTGGGTCTACGGGGTGATGCTCCAACCAACTGGGTCACCCAGCAGGGTTGACAACAAAATCAGGGAGAGAAAACTTTGTCCCCGCAGGCCGCCCAGCCAGGGCTTGACAACTTTTAAGATAAAACAAAAAGTCATCTCCTAAGTTTTATCTTCTGCCGTTGCTAAGGGAACGTGTAATAAAAAAAGTCACATAGCCCTGGCTGGTCTGGCTCAGTGGATTGAGCACGGACCTGTGAGGCAGGGGGTCGCCAGTTCAGTTCCCAGTCAAGGTACATGCCTGGGTTGTGGGCCGAGTCCCCAGTGGGGTACACATGGGGGGCAACCACGCATTGATTTTCTTTCCCACTCTTTCTCCTTCCCTTCTCTAAAAGTAAATAAATATATTTTTAAAAAGTCACACATTTCCAAAGCACACCTTTCAAAGCCAGCAAGCCCCTTCCCTGTGGCCACTGTACCTAACCAAGGGGCAGAAGGAGCCAAGGCCAGAGTGAGGACCACCCGAGCGAGTGGTCAGGGTGTGGTTGAGGAAAAAAACACCTAAAACACCCGATGGATCGAAAGTGCACATTGGCAGAAAGACAAACATACTCGGAACTGAGAAGGCAGAGTTCATGCAGGAAATACAAATTCACTCTGAAGAAGGGAAGTGAAGCACAACAGAAGTGTTTATTCTCAGAGGGCCCACCAGACTTTGAACTGTCAAAGGCTCAGTTCCCTTTGACTCAGAAGTTGTGTGTCCGCTTTAATTTACATGAACTTGATGCACTGAGTTCAGGGTAACAGGGTCACAGTGGCAGCACCCTCTGCCTCCGCCTAGGATTAACCCCCTAGGATTATTTCGCTGTCATTTACCTGGAAGTACATGAAATTCATCAGTTTGGTGACCTCAGGTTCCAGGACCTCCACAGTTTTCTCATAAATTTCCACTCTATTAGGCTGCTCGTTACATTTCACCTAGGAATACACAAGCACGTAAAGAGGCTTCAACCCAGCCGGAAGCATGGGAGGACTCCGTTAGAGCCCCGGAGTCCTCCCTGATTGCTGAGGGGTAGATTCAGGGGAAGGTGTGGGGTGTGGTCTGGCTGGGTAGGCTGGTGAAATGGGGGGCTTGGCCCGGCTGGTGAGATAAGGGCCTGGGTTTGGCTGGGCTGGTGGTATGGGAGGTGGTCTGGCTGGGCTGGGCGGGGCTGGAGACATAGGGGCGTGGTCTGGCCGGGTGGACAGAACAGCAAGGTACCTGAGGGATGGCCCTAGAGCAACTCCTCCAGGTGTACAGCATGACAGCATACTCTTGGCCCTCCTCCAGCATCTCATTCTGCAAGGGGGTGCACAGGGCAAATTTAAGGCAAGCAGGGGAAAAACCCTAACAGAGGAGATGACAAACTGCTAGAATCTACAGGCAGGAACTATCCTGCCTCCCTTTCAGGCACAAGCACCGGTACTGAGTGAGAAACAGCTGTTCAGAAGCTGGTGATGCTGTGATGCAGGCGTGTGGCCTTGACGACCACCCGAAACACCCCCGGGCCTAACTGCAGGCTGGAGAGTGGTGTCAGCGACATGCAGGCACCTCTGCGCAGGAGCAACACAGACATTCGCCACAGCTGCCACCTCTGAGCTCCACTCAGCCCCAAACAACCCGAGGGCAAGGCAGGCCTGAAGTGGGGTCATGGGGCAGGGGCAGGGGTGGTGCAGCTCAGAGGCACACTGTCACCACTCGCCCCACCAGGCGACAGAGACTGTTCTGCTCGGGAGGAAGCCTGACACAGGTCTGCGGTCCCCGGCGCGGGAAGGAAAATCTAAGCAGTGTTCCCGTGACACTGGGCATCATGGAAGAGAGGCACCGTCCTTAAAAACCGCTTAGTGTCTACTGCTTTCATTGTCTCCTTTGCAAAAAGTGGTAAAAATTGCACAGATGTTTTTGAGAATGTCAACTACAATTTGATAACGTTTTTGAGACACTTCACACTGCTCACAACCTTTGACCCAGTAATTTTACTCCTATAAATTTAGCCAAAGGCAATAACTCTGTACTTAGCAACTTGTTCATGACCACATTTTTTATTGTAAGTAACAAGGGAAAGTACAGAAACATGCAAAAACTGTTAAATTGTGGACATTTGCAAACTATTCATGAAATCATGAAAATACGTGATTATAACAACGCCCTTCACTTATGTAAGTGGCACGCATGCGTACACGTACGTATGACGGGCGAACACGGGCTTCCTGAGAATGCGGACGAAGGTGTTCTCTGGGCCACAGACGTGAAATTTGCAGAAAGAGCATGTACTGTTTTATCATAAGAAAACCAAAAAGCTTAAAAAAAAAAGGCATTTTATTCACTCTTCTTTTTCCCGGGTGGGTACCCTATCAGGATGACGCCAGAAGATGGTACATTTGCCATTTGGATGCGCCGTTCCCCAGACGACAACAAAGACACGTGGACGGAATTACCATGCTAGAATGGACGGTCGCTTGTTCGATGTATCTGGCGATCCCGGTGACAAACGCATTTCTGTCTTCGAAGTTAGTGTTGAAGTTGGGCTGAAAGGAAGAGAGAGAGCATCAGGCGGAGGCCCGCCCTGCGGTCACCCAGCCCCGCGGGCGCCCAGCACCCACCTGGTAGAGCAGCGAGGACGGCGGGGGCTCGATGCAGGGCTGCTGGTCAGGCAGAGGCAGCTCCTCCAGCAGGTCCACATTGGACAGTGCGTCCTCCAGGGTCACCTGGGCCGCCATCCTGGCCTGGAACCAAATACAAAGCCTCCTGTGCTGGGCGGAGGTAGGGGGGCGCCCTGACAGTCCTTCCAGGGCTGGGGGGAGCGGGGCCACCGCTCGCCTGCCCTCTTCTGAGAGCGCGAGGGACTGGGAGGGGGTCCGGGCCAGTCCCCAGGTTCTGGTGTGTCTCCCAGGGCTTGCCGGCAAGGGAGTCACCTTGCAGCTCCGCTGGCCTCAAGTTGTCCCAATGCAGGCACAGGGGCCACCTCGCATGGTTTCACTTCCTGCCACCCTTCCCCCCTTGGGGCCACTGTCCCTCGAGAGCTCTCTGGGAGGGCCTGACACCCCCTCCCACGGCCGGAAGAAGGAACACCCTTCGACACCACATCTGCCCCCGGAGGCCAGCACAGCCTTGGAGGCGGCAACAGGGTTTCCCACAAGCAGACGCCCCCGGGTCCCCTGGGCATTCCCCGGAGCAGGGTTATACGCTAGGGAGTCCAGAAGCCTGCAGGGACCACTAAGCCTGCAGGGACCACTAAGCCGGCAGGCACATGTGCCAGCTCCGGGGGAAAGGACCTGGCACACTCCAGCCTGCCTCCTGCTGAACGCTGCTCCAACCAGGGACAGGATGCAGGGAGTAGCGCTAACCCCAGATGAGACTCGCCAAACAGCTGACCCCAGATGGGAAATGTGGGCCAGTCCCCACCCCCATGTGCCACTTGGGGCCACTACATTTGTTCCGAGAAGGAAAGTGCAGCGGCAGCCAGACTCGAACTCTGAATGGAAGAGGCACCCGCCACTCGTCCCAGCCACTCATCCCAGCTCAGGGCCTCAGGGAAGCAGCAGATGCGAGGTTCGCTGCTGCTTGGGCTCCCCAAGACCCCGGGTTGCTGGCCAGAGAAGCAAAAGGGGGACCCCGGACACCAGAAAGCGCAGGCACAGTGTGGAGTGGAAGAAGCTCGGAGGAGCAAGCCCACAAATGCAGGGCCCACCCCCAGGCCACACACGCGTGGACCAGGTCCCCTCAGTTTCCAATCCCTGTGGCCACAGCCAGGTCCCAGAGGGCAGTGGGTGGCAAGCACAGGAGAACCCACTGGCACCTCGGAGGCTCCGAGGACAGAACCGACACCGTCACAGCCCACAGGGGCAGGTGAGAACCACAGTGTACACAAAAACAGGCAGTTGGCTGCTAAAATTAAAAATCAGCATTCTCTGAGATTTAAACAACACCCAGGGGCTCATATCATAATATTCCAGATGGCCAGCTGCCAGCCAGGCTCGTCAGCACGCAAACAGCCAGGACGTTGAGACTCCGGCAGGGAAAGAACAGCAGGTAAGATGGGCATAGCTCATATGTGACAATTATGCACCGGACTGTAAAGCAACTAGATAAGAACCTTCAAACAACGCTAAAACTCCCAAGCTGAAAGCGAGCCAAAGAAGATATCTATATAAAAACCTAAGTGGAAATTTTAGAACCTTAAAAAGCTCCTTGGCAAGTGGAAGGAGGGACAGAGAGAGCATCAATAAACAAGGCTGAGCCATTCACGGCCGGCTGATCAACTGCAAGGTCTTCTCCTCCCAAACCAAGGACAGAGGGGTGATCGGTTCACACATTGCAGACCATGCCAGGGGCAGACAGGGCTCGGTCCCTGTCCCTCTTCAGTGACATTCTTTAAGGTGAAGCTGACCAAAGAGTAACCCAGATCCCAGTAGGGACTCATTCTGATGAATCAGCAAAACAAAGGCTGCAAAAGCACCTCCCCGAAGGCCGCCCCTAAAATCCCGGCATTTAGAAAACGGATAAAAACCCTGATTACAAAGGCCCCGGTGTCCCCTGAGCACACCCACGCCTTCCCCCACTTCCTCCTCAGGCACGTGTCTTAGCTTTTTTCTCCTGAACTTGAAAAATCTCAGTGAGACTTGCAACGACGAGGGGAGCAGTGGGCCTGGACGGCTCATCCTGGGCTCAACCCTCCAGGAGCTCACCTTTTGCATAATCTTTCAGAAAGCCGAAAAGCAGCTTTGCCCAATCTCACCCCGGTTGCTGAGATCTTGCTGAAATAATTTTAGGACTGTATAAATGTAACTAGTCCTTCACAGTTAAGGAGTTGAAATTACATTCTGCCCTTTGAAGGCAACTGCAAGGCTTATGTAGCCCTAGTTAAAATGAGTTTGACACCCCTGCCCTAGAGCAACCACAAAAGGAAAAAAAAAAGAAACCTATAAAAGCCATATAGCCCTGGCTGGTGTGGCTCACTGGAATGAGCACTGATCCTCAAACCAAAGGGTTGCCAGTTCGATTCCCACTCTGGGCACATGCCTGGGTTGTGGGCCAGGTTCTCCATTAGGGGGCGCTCGAGAGGCAACCACATTATTGATGTTTCTCTCTCTTTCTCCCTCCCTTCCCCCTCTCTAAAAAATAAACAAACAAATAAATTTTAAAATGTAACTTACAAGATCATGTAGAAAAAAATTAAAATGGAATAGTAAGTTTCCCAATAACCTACAAGAAGGTAGGAAAAGGGAACAGCAGACTTCCGCCAAGATGGAGGCATAGGTGGAGACACCTTGCTTTCTCACACAACCAAGTTTAGAGACAACTAAATTGAACACAGAAACAAGGAACACAGAAAATTGAACTTTTCAGAAGTCTGATAACAACAAATTCTTCAGCCTGATGGGTAAGAGGAGCGAAACCAGCAGCTGGCAGAGCGGGGTTGCACAGGAAAACTCCGTCAGACGGACTCAGGCGCGTGGAACCCAAGCACAGGGTTGCAAGGGGTAGACCTAGTGAGCGACCCAGCGAGCGACCGCAGGGAACCAGCAAGGGAACAGGGCCGAGATTTGACTGTGGTCGCGCATTCGTGCGCAGATAGACCAGCGAGGGAGTGGGCGATTGGACAGGACCCTGCAGGCCCCAGTGGCAAGCGGCAGGGAGGGCGCCGCCATTTCCCCGCTCTGACCCCGCCTCCACATACAGCGTCATAATCCAGCGACTCTGAGTGGCCCGGCCCTGGTGAACCACCTAAGACGCTGCTCCGCACCCAGCAGCGAGAAACAGCAGAGGGCGCCGCCATTTCCCAGCTCTGACCACGCCCCCACATACAGCGTCACAACCCAGCGACCTGGGAGTCCAAGGTTCCGCTCCTCACACTTAACAGGCGAGAACAGACCAAAAATGGCTCAAGAAGATCTCAAAGCCCCAGAGCCTATAAATCTAAGTGATGAAGAAACAGCAAAACTCTCAGACGCACAGTTTAAAACACTGGTGATCAGGATGCTCACAGAACTGGTTGATTATAGCCACAAATTAGACAAACATATGAAGGCAAAACTAATTGAAATGAATGGAATTGCACAGGAAACCAACAGCAATGAAAAGGAAACTGGGACTCAAATCAATGGAGTGGACCAGAAGAAAGCAAATAATGGCCAAACAGAAAAGAGTCAGGAAGCAAGAATTCAAAGAAATGAGGAGAGTCTTAGGAACCTCCAGGACATCTTTAAACGCTCCAACATCCGAATTATAGGGGTACCAGAAGGGGGAAAGGCACAGCCACCAGTGGAAAACTTATTTGAACAAATAATAAAGGAGAACTTCCCCAATCTGGCAAAGGAAATAGACTTCCAGGAAATCCAGGAAGCTCAGAGAGTACCAAAGAAGTTGGACCCAAGAAGAAACACATCAAGGCACATCATAATTACATTAGCCAAGATTAAAATGAAAGAGAGAATCCTAGAAGCAGCAAGAGATAAGGAGACAGTCACCTACAAAGGAGTTCCCATCAGACTGTCAGCTGATTTCTCAAAAGAGACCTTACAGGCAAGAAGGGGCTGGAAAGAGGTATTCCAAGTCATGAAATCCAAAGACCTACAACCAAGATTGCTCTATCCAGCAAAACTTTTATTTAGAATGGAAGGACAGATAAAGTGCTTCTCAGATAAGATCAAATTCAAGGAGTTCATCATCACCAAGCCCTTATTATATGGAATGTTAAAGGGACTTATCTAAGAAAAAGAAGTTAAAAAACATGAACAGTGAAAGGACAGCAAACTCACAGTTATTAACAACCACACCTACAACAAAAGCAAACTAAAAGGACAGCTAGATCAGGAGTGGAAACATAGAAATGAAGATCTCAAGGAGGGTTAGCAACAGGGAAGTGGGAGGAGGAGAAGGGGAGAGAAGGTACAGAAAATAAGTAGCATAGACTATAGATAGAAAATAGATGGGGGGAAGAATTGTATGGGAAATATAGAATCTAAAGAACTTGAGACACATGGTCATAAACTAAAGGGGGGAATGGTGGGGGAGGGGGTGTGGAGGGAAATGAAGGGGGGGAATAGAACAACTGTAATGGCATAATCAATAAAAATAAATAATAATAAAAAAAAGAACCACAAGACTCTATTAGAATGCCAGGGAGACATTTTCATCAGCATTTTTATCTTATGATAATATGACTTGTATTTCCAAAGGTGGTTAAGGCAAACAACCAAGAGAATAGCCCTCTAAGTGCTTACAGCAGAGATTTTAAAATTTTGTTTTATTTGGGCATCATAATTCATATCCTATCATTTTCATGGTATTTTTAAAAGTTTAACCTCTCTCAAAAACAAACAAACGCACAAATAAAAAAAAAAAGAAAAGGGAACATCAGTAAGAAAATGAGGCTCCTCTCGTCACCATGTGAAGACACAGAAGTTGATATCTACAACCCAGAAAAGGGCTCTCCGATTGTGTCACCAATTCCAAAGTGGGGTTTTTTTCCCCTCCCCACCAAGCAATTCTAAGACACCAGCTGGCTGTCCTACAATTTACTCAGTTCTAACAGTATCTACCTGCAGAGAGCGTCGGATCTCACAGGTTCAGGGCTCAGTCCCACAAGACTCCCTCTACCCTCATTTCAGGGACCAGATGCAAGCGATAGGTTATTTTATTACCTGTCCTTCTGACTGATGGGCAATAAATCAGAGGTTCCCATGACACCCTCCTTGGGTTCAATTAATTTGCTAGCTACGCTCATAGAACTGAAGAGAAACATTTTACTTATTTCACATTTTACTAATGCTTCAGAGGACTCAAGGAGTTGGAAAACTGTTGTTTCAATAATAGCTAATAAGCTTAGGAATCAATGCTCATAAAAGCTATCATTCCAGGAACTGAAGGTGTGACCCACCCTGACCCCAGGGTACCATAAGCAGTTTCAACTCTGTGAAAAGGAAGACTGCCAGCAATTCAAGATGGCATCAGAGCCTGGTGCTCAGGATTGAGATGACCACCTACCGCCCAGGGCGAGAATCCCGCAGCTTTCTTAATCCAATTAACTTCTCCCTGAATTCTAAACCCCTTACCTACACTTTGTTCTTATAAAAAGGGCCATTTTAAAGTGGAATTTAAGATGGTCTGTTAGAGTATGACCATGAAGATTCAATCCCTGTCTCTGCTTATTGGGTTTGGTACGTGACAGGTGGCACGAATGCCGGTCTTCTCGTTTCACTAACAGATTATCAGGTTACTATACAAGACATAACTCAGGAACAGCCAGAATCGGAGCACAGCGGGTCTGGGGGAAGGGCACAGTCTCCATGGCACCGGGTGCTGCTCACTTCCCAATGCCCACACGCTCACCATCACGGAATCTCCCTAGTGAGCCTGCCTTTTGGGTTTATGGAGGCTTCTCACTTAGGCAACGCTGGCCACTGGCAAAGGATTCACTTCCAGCCTCTTCCCCTTCCCAAGGTCAGGGGGTGGGACCGAAAGTTGAAAACCTCTTATCACATGGTTAGGTCTCCTAGCAACCAGCCTCTAGTCACTTCATTAATATAACCTGTTCCGTTTAAGAATATTAAGACACCTTTATTGCTCTTTTCACTTAGAAAATTCTAAAGGTTATAGGAGCTCTCTAACAGAAACAATGAAGACCAAATATATATTTCTTTATTATGAATTTTTTATTTATTGATTTGAGAGAGAAACATTGATTTGTTGTTCCACTTCTTGATGTATACATTGGTTGCTTCTTATATGTGCCCTGACTGGGGACCAAACCTGCAACCTTGGCATATCCAGGCTGACACTCTAACCAACTGAGCTACCCAGTCAGGGCCAAATATGTATGTCTTAATATATATTAAGACATATACACACATACACACACACACACAAAATCACAATATCACAGGCCCTCACCAGAACCTGACCATGCTGGCACCCTGGCACACAAGCTTCCAGAACTGAAAAATAAAATTCTATTGTGTATAAGCCAAAGGGACCAGGCATCGAATGGGAATCAAATACAGCCGTCACTTGCTATATCGCAGTTCACTTATTGCAGCTTCACTATATTGCGGGTTTTTTAAATATATATATCTAATTCTATATCGTGGAGTTTTTGCTATATCGTGGGATTTTGCAGTATACAGGTATTTATATAATATTTATGATTTTAATTATTTTTGCCTAAAAATTTTTTTTAAATATAAAAAATGTTAATTCACCCGGCTGGTGTAGCTCAGTGGATTGAGCGCGGGCCTGTGAAGTAAAGGGTCGCCAGTTCCATTCCCAGTCAGGGCACATGCCTGGGTTGTAGGCCAGGTCCCCAGTGGGGGACACATGAGAGGCAACCACACATTGATGTTTCTCTCCCACTCTTTCTCCTTCCCTTTCCCTCTAAAAATAAATTTAAAAAAATTTTTTAAATGTTAATTCAAACATATTAAGTTAGTATACTTCAAGTATACTTCACTGGTGAGTACCCATATAGAATTTTATGTTGTTAAAATTACATAGGTTTAAAAGTGTAGAAAGTGTTTAAGAGCATATGAAGTGCTTATAAGAGAATGGGAAAGGTTAATAAGAGTGTGGGAAAGGTTCACAGGAGTGTAGGAAGGGTTTATAAATCCTTAAAATAATAAATATAATAAATAAAAATAATAAATATAAATAATAAAATAAATATAACGCTGCTACTTCGTGGATTCTCACCTATCGCAAGGGTCTCTGGAACGTAACTCCTGCGACAGGTGAGGGATCACTGCAATAAAATGATTTGTAGAAGGAAATGCAAACACACCATAGTCTAAACACCTACTGAAAAGACAGATTGTCTGAAAGGTTAAAAAACAAACCAACCCTGAGCCAACTACAGTCCTGTGCTGTTTGTAGATACGCTGAGAAGTGTCACTACGCAAATTCGTCATTGTGCGAACATCACAGAGGGCACTTACACAAACCTAGATGCACAGCCCACCACACACCTCCGCCGTGTGGCAGGCAGGACAGCTGGTCTGTTGACACCAGTGTCCCCAGAAACACCTACGTGATGCATTGTGGCACTACGTTCCAACGTCACTGAGGTGACAGGAACCTTTCGGCTCCATTCCAATTTTACGGAATCACTGTCGTATCTGCGGTCTGTCATTGACAGACTAACACTGCTATGCGGTGTGTGACTGTGTACGACAGCATCAAAAAACACAGTTCAAATATAATGACACAGATAGGTTGGAAGTAAAAGGGTGCAAGATGCACCTCGCAAGTCAAAAGGAAGCTGCAGTGGCTGTGTGAGTGTGGGCTGCTGAGCAAGGAAGTTAAGGCGCACCGCCCAGGAACAGCAGGGGGACAGAACAACGCTAAACATGGCTGCATCTAACCGAGAGGTTCACACAGCGCCGAGCAGGCGGAGAGAATAGAAAGAAGGAAATCGCAAGCGCAGCCCTGGCGGGTGTGGCACAGGGGATTGAGCGTCAGCCTTTAAACCAAAGGGAGGCGGGTTGGATTCCCAGTCAGGGCACCAGGCCAGGTCCCCAGTAGGGGGCGCACAGGAGGCAATCACACACTGATGTTTCTTGCCCCCTCTCTCAGTCCCTCCCTCTCTAAAATAAATAAAATCTTTTAAAAAATGCAATAATATAGATAGACCCAGAGGGTAATTGTGCTAAGTGAAATAAGTCAGAGAAAGACAAATACCACATGATTTCAATTATACATGGAATTGTTCAAAATCAAAGCGAACAAATGAACTAAAACAAAAACAGACTCATAGAAAATAAATTCCTGGTTGTGAGAGGGGAGGGGGAGGGGAGGGGGGGGGAGGGGGAGAGGATTATAGTTAATAATGGTGTGGCAACTTTGCGTGGTGACAGATGGGACCATACTTAATGTGGCAATCACATGGTAAGAGATATCCACGTCAAATCACCACGTTGTACATCTGAAACTAATGTAATACTGTGGATCAACTATAAAGCATAAACTTTGTTAAAAGAAAAACTTAACTGCAAAGAATTTTTAGACATTAAAGCAGCAGACTTTTCTACCCAGAACACGGGTTGTGCCAAGAGATTAAAAGCGTAAGAAAAAAGCCCTGGCTGGTGTGGCTCAGTGGATTGAGTGCCGGCCTAAGAATGAAAGGGTCTCTCCAGTTCGATTCCCAGTCAGGGCACATGTCTGTGTTGTGGGCCAGGTCCCCAGTGGGGGGCACACAAGAGGCAACCACGCATTGATGTTTCTCTCCCTCTCTTTCTTTCTCCCTTCCCTTCTCTCTAAAAATAAATAAAAATCCTAAATCCAATAGGTCTCACATATCCACAAAGGGACTCGGCACACAGTTTCACAAAATCTGTAACTTTTATCAAGGGAAGCTCCTAATACAGAAATTGCTGCCCATAAAAATAGAAGTGAAATTATAACTATATTAAGTATATGCACATTAATAAATATTAGGCTTCCAAGGGATGGAAACCAGATGGGGAGTTGAGATAGCGGACGTGTGCGAGTTGGGGTGGAACCTAACCCAACCTATAAACAGATTAAAAGCTGACCCCCGAGGCCTCGTTGTGCCTGTAGCTCAGTTGGTTAGAGCATTGTCCTAATACACCAAAGTTGTGGGTTTGATCCCAGGGTCAGGGCACACACAAGAATCAACCAGTGAATGCATCAATAAGTGGACAACAAATCGACGTTTCTCTCTTTCTCTCTTCTTTTCCTTTAAGACCTGACCCAAGTACCTGCCTCAGCGTCTGCAATAGCATCTGGATGCTCCGAGGAAGGACCAAAGGGCCCAAGCACAAAGACACCAACCTGGGGGCCAGGAGCTAGCCCAGCTCAGGCAGACAGGGCAGGGCAGCAAGAGGCAGCTGGGGACAGAGTCCAGCCTAGAGCCCCCCTCTGGGGCATCAGCCAGGAGCGGAACCCAGTGTCAGAACCAAAGCAGGGGAGGGAGCCCCACCCAGGCACCTTGTTTTAAATAGAAACTGCCAGGGCAGCTGCACACCAAGGTTACAAAACGCTTCTGAAGGAAAATGCAGAACTGACGCTCTGACGGGCACCCACAGGTCCAACCAGCCCCTGGAGGAGCCCTGCGCATGTGTCGCTGTCCCTCCGCCCCAAGCTACCTTGTCCTGCGCCTTTTGCTGGAAACAGGGTCTTCACAGCAATCCCAAACTTGTGGGTTTTTGTTTTGTAACTCCACTCCATCATCAAACAACAGCAAACTACAAAACGCTTCTAACACGCTGAAGACATCTGCTGATTTTCTTCCTCTTCCTTATGCAAATAACAGTACTTCTCAGAAAAGCAGAAACGTGTGATATTTTTGTGCAATCTATTTACATGTACAACAAATCCTCTCTGGAAGGAATGCATACTTTACCAAACTGTGCCTTTCTCCCCCACATTTTAACACACTGTGCTTTTCTGTCACCAGCCAGCAGGGACTGCAGCTTGTCACCCAGATTAAGTGTGGCAGGGGGAACCGGGGCTGCTAGAAACTGGAGGAAAAGTTCCTAATTACAAGACCAAACATCGCCCTGGCTGGTAGCACAGTTGGTTAAAGCATCCTCCAGATACCCCAAGGTTGTGGGTTTGATCCCCAGTCAGGGCACATACAAGAAGCAAGCAATGAATGCATCAATAAGTGAAATGACACCTCAATTTTTCCCCTTCTTCCTCTCTCTTAAAAAAAAGTCAATTAAAAAAAGATGTATACACATTGTCACCTGATGCTCCAAGTGCTGTTTGGACAGGTGCATGCTAGTCCACTGAACAAAGAGACCACAGGTTTTGCACCCCATCTCCTGAGGCTCTTTACAGGGTCTCTTATTGTGAACTGTGAGGAGAGTCCTCGCACCATTATACACGTGCAATGAATTCTCAAGGGCAAGGTCAGCACACATTTTCTACAAAGGGCCAGAAGTTGGACATGTAAGAGAGCGCTCTGTTCTTAGAAAACATACACCAAGGTGTTTACTTGACCCCGAACGGGCCTCAAAGTGATGGAAAAAATTGTTGTCTGTGTTCTTTGTACTATTTTTATTTCTGCCTGTTTTGTAAGTTCGAAATCATTTAAAAATAGCAAACATGGAATATCCTTCCAAAAGGAAGGAAGTGAAAAGGCTTGAGCCAGACAATAAGGCTCCGAATGGAGGTGTGTTCCAGGGGTTCCTCACTGCTATGCAGGTAATACACCTGCTCCCGCCCCACGATGAAACACATCTCCTCAACCAGAGCGTTCGCCCCGGAGATCCCTGTGTTTGCCTGGAGGAAGGTGTTGCTTCCCACAGGCTCCATTCAGAGCTGAGCCCTTTATGGACCCTGCAAAGGTCCTGGCCTCTATCCTACTCTGGGTGCTGGGTGCCCTGCGCACTGAATTTCTAGAGAGCTGCCCAGCCGCAGCCCAACCTCCTCCATCCCAGGTCACTAGCTAGGCGCTAGGCCACACCCCCAGGGCTACAGGCCACGCCCCCAGTGTTAAAGCCACACCCCTCCCCCCAGGCATTGCTACAGTCTGGTTTACAAAATACACACCGCAAATTTTTAGCTTCAATTACCAAAGAATTTTACACTTCCCACATACTGAATCTAAAAGAAAGTGGTTTATGGCAAATAGTGACAGATCTTAAAAGTGTCATGTCATTTCCACTCTGGCCCAGGAAAAAGCAGTCGCACATGGTGTGTACACGCGCACGGTTGGACCTGTGCTACAGCGTTTATGAATGAGACAAAGGGCGACTTTTGGGGCTTGCTCCGCAGGGACCCAGAACCCCGTGGAGGGTCCAACCCACACTGTTTTCCGTGCCTGTGTACATCTTGGCGTTGCCCACAATGAGCAGGTTTTTATATATTCATATATGTGCATACACACATACATGTGTACATATAGACATACAAGGTGGGGCAAAAGGAGGTTCACAGTTGTTCATATGGAAAATAATACAATTAATAATAACACAAGAATAAACTGCATTGCGTGCTGACAGCTATAAACCTACCGTTGCCCCTCCCTGTCTGAGGTTCTGGCTGAGCTGCACCGTGCGGTCACTCCCTCCGCCCACAGCCAGCGACTCTATGCCTACAGACCCGAGGGGCCCGGGCCCTGGCAGATGGCCTGGCCTGGTGGCAGCCACTCCCACCCACTTAAAACTATTAAGTTCCTCCCTGCCTAGTTTTTTTTCCCCTCTTTTTTTTTTTTATTGATTTGATGATTTGAGAGAGACAGAAAGAAACTCTGTCTCTCCAAATGAGTGGAGCATCAATTTGTTGCTCCACTTATTGATGCACTCATTGGTTGGTTCTTGTATGCACCCTGACCAGGGTTCAAACCCACAACCTTGGGTATTGGAATGATGTTCTAACCAACTGAGATACCCGGCCACGGCTCTTAGTTTCAATTGACTACATTTTCCCCCCTGTGGTAAAAATTTTTTAAAGATTTTATTTACTTATAGAGGGGAGGGGAAGGAGAGAGGGAGAGAAATATCAATGTACGGCTGCCTCTCATGCATCCCCTTATGGGAACTGGCCTGCAACCCAGGCTTGTGCCCTGACTGGGAACTGGTGACCCCTTTGCTTCACAGGCCCGTGCTCAATCCACTGAGCTACACCAGCCAGGGCCCCCTGTGGTAATTAAAAAGTACCATATTTTGCTGTGCATAATGAGTACTTTTTTGCCCAAATTTTTAAGGGAAAAATAAGATAGCACATTATACATGGGTAGCACTAATTCCGTACCTATATAGTTTCAATTCCTTTATTAATGCTTAAGCATTAAAAGTGCAACTCTAGAAAGCAATAACGACATCCATACGCAAAATAATACCCTGAAAGACAATGATGGGTTTTGTTTGTAAATATAAACAGATAAATAGATAATTGAGTTTTTCTTTAAATTAACAAGACTTTTTTCCTGAAAGTTTGGGCCAAAAACCATGGGTGCACAGTAAAACATGGTATTCAAGAAGAGAGAGTTGTGCCCTGGCTGGTGCAGCTCAGTGGATTGAGCATGGGCCTGAGAACCAAACAACCGCAGTTCAGTTCCTGGTCAGGACACATGCCTGGGTTGCAGGCCAGTTCCCAGCAGGGGACGCACAAGAGGCAACCATACATTGATGTTTCTCTCCCTCTCTTCCCCTCTAAAGATAAATTTTTAAAAAAGAAGTGAGAGTTGTTTTGCAAAGAGACAGTTTTCCAGGCTGCTACAAAGCTGACAAGGTGAGTTCTTTATCCAGAGAAACATAAATTCCTGAGTGGGCTCTTCCCACCAGCACCCCGAGGGTCCCTGTAGAGCTGGGGTCCCAGCTGGCCACAACCAGTTTACTGCAGAAAAAGCCCGGCGGGGGGGCTGAGCATAGATGCCAACTCTCAGCCCTCACCCCGACTCTAGGGCTCTGGGCGTGCACTCAACACATACACTGGATTCTGAGGTAGGTGTCTGTGGCCCACACTTGGGAAAACTCAACAGTGGTCTCTAACCGTTGTGGAAGGTACCCTCAAATCCTTTGAAATGATGGAAGAAAACACCCACCAACAGTATTTTTCCCTAAAAAGGATGAGGAATGAAGCCTCGCTGACAGCTAACGCCTGGCAGGTGGCCGGAGTCCTAGGCAGCGGGAGGGAGCCCACCACTCCGAGCGCGGGCAGAGGGGGCTGAGGAACCCTAATGACCACACGGAGTCTGAACTAAGTGAACTGCTGAGAGCTGAACTGTCCCCCATTCCAAACCCACACCCAGGACACCAGACTGCGACTGCATGAGATGTGCTTCTACAGAGGTGATTAGAGTAAAATGAAGTTGTTCAGTGACCCGAACGCAATTACAGCAGGTGTCCTTCGAAGAAGAGGCCTTAGAAAAAAGACAGGCACACACAGAGAGACATGTGGCGACACAGCAGGCAGGCAGCCGACTCAAGCCAAGCAGACCTGCCTGAGGAGAAGCCACTCCTGTGGCGACCTTGACCTTGCACTTCTAGCCTCCACAACTGAGAGAAGACAAACTTCCGTTAAGTCACCCTGTCACAAAAGCTGGAGAGGACTAATACTCAAACCCTCTGGAAAGGTTTGGTCCTGGGAGGGAGGAACCAGGAGAGCCAGCGGCCCCAGGCCGACTACAGTTTACTGCCGGCTCCTCCAGGGTGCAGGTGGGGAGTTCTCAGAGCTGCCACGTCCACCTCGGTTATGTCCTTGTCAAATACTAATAATATCTGCTACCAACGGCGCAGGCTTTACAACTGCCCAACGTGCTCAGATAGACATTGTCTATATTAACAAACAATTCACCCCTGGGTCTCACGCTCTGAACGGCATGAGGGATGGAGTGACCAGCTGTGAAAATGACTGTGCGCACAAAATTAAATAACAACAAAAAAATAGATAAAAGATGAAAGGAAAGATGATGGAAAATAGGTATAATGTATTTAACCTTTCCAAGGAGCCTGAGCTACTTGGAAGTATTAACTTGGGCACGAGGACGGGGACCTGGGGCAAGGGGACACTGTCCCCCCCCCCCCCGCACCCCTTCCTGGGAGCCTCTGGGGCAAAAGGCTGGGAATCACCGAGTGGGGAGACGGGCTGCAGTCCACAGAGAGCCCACCAGCTCCAAAGCTTGGAGAGCCTGCAGGGGCGGGAAGATGGCCTGAACAGGTCAGGGCTGCGCCCGGCCAGCTGAGTGACCTGGGCCGGGTGACTTGGCCTTCAGGCGTGCGTGTCCCCTCCTGTGGTTAAGGGGTGACGATAACGGGACCTCCTGAAGAGCCCGTAAGCTCCCCGATCACTATGTGAAAGTGCCCCACTCCCGAGGCACTGGTTCTGAGGCACCTGAAATGCCCCGTCGAGGCTCACTTTGCAGGACCAGCCCTGACCTGCGCCTTCGTACAAAGGAGGGATTCACAGGGCACCTGGGCCTCTCTCACCACATCTGTAGAACGGGCGGGCACGAAACTGCATCTTCGCAACACACCTCCAGAGGCCCCCCAGAGCCTGGAACACGGGCCACCTGCACCAGGTCTGTGGCTCAGTCACTCCCCGGGGCCTGACATCTTCCCACCGCTGAGGCCCTGAGACAGAAGCTGGGCAGCTGAGAGCTCCAGAAGCTTCCTCAGAGCCCACCCAGAGTCACTGCTTCTGCGCTAAGTCCACAATCTGTGACTGCAACAGTGAGCCACTGAAAACGTGGCACAGGGTCACACAGGACAGGCAGTCACATTTCCCGTGGCGGTCGCCCCGGACCTCGGCCATCCGAGGTGTTCCCCAGCGGGCCCACCCCACTCCCCGCCCCCCCCCCGGCATGTCTGTGGCCGTTTGCGGACAGTGAGGGGCTCACAGCCTCTTACATGCAGGTCTGACGGCAACTCGTGGGGCAGTGTGAGCTCCCCGTTCCTGGGGGGGGCAAGGGAGCAGTGTGGACCCGCCCCGGGCTGAGCTGGTAGCTCCGGAGGGCAGGGCTTACCCTGCAGTGTGCACTCCACCAGTCTTTATTGGAGGAGGCAGTTATCCAAAATGCAAATTATTAAAAACAAAATGAAGCCCTGGCCCCCTGGCTCAGTTACTTGAGCATTGTCCGGTGCGCCAGAAAGTTGCAGGTTTGATCCCCGGTTGAGGTGCATATGGGAGGCAGCTATCGATGTCTCTCCCTCCCTTCCCCTCTCTCTAAAAATAGGTGAACATTCCCTCAGGTGGAGTTTTGCTTCAAAAGCACAAAATAAAAATTCCCCCCAATGGTGGTTAATTTTATGGATCAACTTGGCTATATTATGGCATGTCCAGTTTTTGGTCAAAGACCAGCCTAGATCTTGCTGTGAAGGTATTTTCTGGATGTGATTAACATTTAAATCAGCAGACTTTAAGAAACACAGACCACCCTTCATAATGTGGGTGGGCCTCGTCTAATCAGCTGAAGGCCTTAGAGAAAACAGACTGAGGGCCTTACAAAGAGGAAGGAATTCTGCCTCCGGATGCCTCTGGGCCCAAGCTGCATATTCAAATCTTCCTTGGCCCCTTGGCCCCAGAGACTGGGCCTGGTGGCTCAGTTAGTTGGAGCCTGGGCCCATACACCAAAAGGTTACGGGTTCGATTCCTGGTCAGGGCACATACCGAGGTTGAGGGTTCAATCCCTAGTGGGGGCGCACCAGTGAATGTTTCTCTCTCACATCAACTTTTTTTTTCTTTTCTTCTCTCTTCAAAAATTAGTAAACATATTTTTTAATTGGGATAAAAAAAAAACCCCTTCTTGAATAATTTGAATTCAGACTTGCCAGACTCCAAAGTCGCATAAACCAATTCCCTAAAATAAATCTATCTACACACACACACACACACACACACACCCCATTGGTTCTATTTCTCTGCAAAATCCTGACTAACACATACCCAACCCTTATCCTAGCAAAGGCAAAAACACAATCTGTAGAATGTAAAACGTTACTAATGTGGTTTTCAGAGCCTGTGGAATCACCGTGCACGGGCACCGTCTGCTCGATTTAACCCACTTAGTTACAGATGTGCCTCCTTTTGCGGCCCCTCACTTGATTGCACGTCATAGAATCACATTTTTTTTTTTTTTTACAAATTAAAAGTGTGTGGCAACCCTGCATCTGGCAATCATTTTTCCAACAGCATTTGTTCACTTCATGCCTGTGTCACATTGTGGTAATTCTCACAATATTTCAAATTTCTTTAAAAATTTTTTTAATTAATTTTTTTTTGAGAGTGCAAGAGAGGAAGACAGAGAAACATAGATTTGTTGTTCTGCTCACTGACGCATTCATTGGTTCTTGTATGTGCCCTGACCAGGGATCAAGCCCACAGCCCTGGCATATCGGGTCAACACTGCAACCAACTGAGCCACCCGGCCAGGGCTCAAACTTTTAAATTATTATAGTTGTCATGGTGACCTGTGATCAGCAATTTTAATGTTACTACTATAACTGTTTGAGATTATCACAAAGCATGCCCATATAAGGCAACAAACTTAACTGATAAATGATGTGTTTGACCAGGCCAGTGACTGGCCTTTCCCTCCCTCTTCCCTGGGACACAACAATAATGAAATCAGGCCAGTTAATAACCCTGCACTCGGCCTGGCTGGGGTGGCTCAGCGGACTGAAGGTCAGCCTGTAGATCAAAAGGTTGCTGGTTCGATTCCCAGTCAAGGCACATGCCTGGGTTGCGGGCCAGGCACCCAGTAGGGGGCACATGAGAGGCAGCCACACATTAATGTTTCCCTCTCTTTCTCCCTCCTTTACCTCTCCAACAGTAAGTCAAATCTTTTTTTTTTTTTTTTTAGAGAGAAAAGAAGGAGAAGAGTGGGAGAGAAACACAATTGTTGCCTCTCTTATCCCCTGGGACCCCCCACCGAGCGGCAAAGTAATCTTAAGAATGAATGAAGGGATGAATAAATGACCCTGCACCGGCCTCTAAGTGTTCAAGTGACAGGAAGAGTCTCACTTCTCTCCCTTTCAATCAAAAGCCACAAATGAGGGAGCCCAGTGAGGAAGGCGTGTTGGAGTCCAGGCAGGCTGCGAGCCAGGCCAGTGCTCACTTCAGCAGCACATATACTAAAACTGGAACCATCCAGAGAAGATTAGCCTCACCCCTCCTCGAGGATGACATGCAAATTCATGAGGCCTTTTTGGTTTATTTATTTTTAGACAGGGGGGAAGGGAGGGAGAAAGAGACGGAGAGAAACATCCTTGTGTGGTTGCCTCTCGTGTGCCCCCTACTGAGGACCTGGCCTGCAACCAGGCATGTGTCCTGACTGGGAATCAAACTGGCAACTGATTGGTTCACAGGCTGGTGCTTAATCCACTGAGCCTCACCAGCCAGGGCTTGAAGTGTCCTTTTTTTTTTCTTTTTTAACTATGCTAACTCTACTCTGCCTGCACTCTGCAAACGAACAACAAAGCCAGATGGCAGCTCTCATCTGTTTGCAACATGGATTAATAAATATTTTAAGCCCACTGTTGAGACCTACCACTCAGGAAAATGTTCTTTTCAAAATATTACTTCTCACTGATAAAGCACCTCGTCCCAGCAAGAACTCCGATGGAGAGCTGTTAACACAACGGGATCAATAATGTCATGCTGCTACCACAGCATCGACTCTGCAGCCCAGGGATGAACGAGTAGTTCTGACTCTCGAGTCTTGTTATGGAAGAAATACATTCTGTAAGGCTGTAGCTGCCACAGACAGTGGTTTCTCTGACGGATCTGGGCAAAGTGAATCGAGAACCTTCTGGAAAGAAGTCACCATTCTAGATGCCATTATAAACATGCATATGCCCTGACCACTGTGGCTCAGTGGGTTGGGTGTCATGCTGCAAAGTGAAAAGTCACCGGCTCAATTTCCAGTCAGGGCACATACCTGGGTTACAGGTTCGGTCCCCAGTCGGGGCTCATACAAGAGGCAGCCAATCAGTGTTTCTGTCTCCTGTCAATGTTTCTGTCCCTCTCTTTATCCCTCCCTTCCCCTTTCTCTAAAAATCTTTAAAAAAAAAGAACATGCATCATTCATGGGAAGCGGCCAAAATATCAACATCAACAGGCATTTGCAAGAGTGGATTCCAGCCTCACGGAGGACTTTGAGGGGTGTTGACTCCCAGGAAGGAAGTAGCTGCAGCTGTGGCAGAAACAGCACAAGAGCTGGAAGTGGAGCCTGAAACTGCCAGGGCGCTGCACAACCTCCTGGTAATTAATGAATGAGCAGCAGCTTCTTCTGGATGGAATCTACTCCGATGAATAAGCTGTGAAAATGAATGAAATGACAGCAAGAGATTTAGGATGTTACCTAAACTTACTTGAAAAAGCAGAGGCAGGGGGTGAAGAGATTCACTCCTATTTTGACAGTTCTACTGTGGGTAAAATGCCACCAAACAGCATAACATGCTACAAAGAAATCGCCTGTGGGCCCCGGCGGGGTAGCTCAGCTGGTTACAGCATCATCCCCCATGCACCGAGGCTGCAGGTTCGACCCCGGTCAGGGCACCTACAAAAATCAACCAACGCATGCACCAAGTGGAATGACGAATCAATGTTTCCCTTTCTCGCTGTCTCTCAAATCAACAAAAATTTAAAGAAGTAAATAAAATCATTTGTGAAGGGAAGACTCGATCAATGCAGTAAAATTCATGGTTGTCTTATTTTAAGAAGCTGCCGCAGCCACCCCGATAAAGTCAGCAACCATCAACACTGAGATAAGACCCTCCACCAGCAAAAAGATTACGACAGTTTTAGCAAAAGTGTATCTTTCTTTTTTTAATATTTTATTTATTTATTTGTTTAGAGAGAAGAGAAAGAAGGGAGAAAGGGGGAAACATCAACGCATAGTTGTCTCTCACCCCCTACTGGGGACCTGGCCTGCAACCCAGGCACGTGCCCTGACTAGGAATCGAACAGGCAACCCTTTGTTTCACAGGCTGGTGCTCAATCCACCAGATCACACCAGCCAGGGCAAAAAAAAAAAGTGTATCTTTTAATTAAGGTTTGTACATTTTTTAAGACATAATGCTGCCGCATGCTTCATAGACAGCACAGGCGGCAAACACAAGGCCCAGGGGCCAAACCCGGCCCTCCACCCTGTTTAATCCGGCCCGGCACCTAGTTTCTACCTGGCAGCAGCACCGCCAAGCTCCTACTTAACTGTTAAGGAGTAGTTACGGTTATACAGTCCAAAAGTTACATTTGGCCCTTTGAAAGCAACCGCAAGGCTGATGTGGCCCCCGGTGAAAATGAGTTTGACACCCCTGGACTACAGTATAAACCTAACTTTATATGAAATGAGAAGCTCAAAATTCTTGTGGCTCCCTTTTTTTCAGTATTGCGATGGACTGGAACTAAATACAGTATCTCTGAGCTGTACCTACATTCAATGATCTCTGAGGACAGCTGATTCCAACAAGACTCTGTGCCAGTACCAGAGATCCTATGTGCCCGACTGGGGATCGAACCCGCAACCCAGTGTCCTGACCGAGGAGGATCCAGCCCTCAACCTGCTGGTTACCACATGACACTTCGACCAACTGAGCTACACCAGCCAGGGCAGTCTGGGTAGTTTTAAAGCTCATTGGTTTTGTAGAGACAGGTCCTGCCAAGCAGGATTTCTGGGGAGGAGAGCAGAGGGTTGGAATTCTTTAGAAACTTGAGGAGGTCAAGCTTTACACAGGGATTTAAATATAATCTGAATCCTCATCACTGCTTCTGACTCAGGCTGTGGGGTTCTTCAGAGCGGTGCACCTTCTTCTGCTGGTATCTCCAAGAATGAATCAACACCCACCCTGAGTTCTGGCCAGGAAAACTGTGCACCAGGAATGGCCACGCTGGCTCTGGGCGGTGGCTGTGGACTCACGTTCCCAGATGGCACTCACCACTCTCTAGCATTGGTTTTTCTACCCTGGAGAGCGCGATCCACCCAGGGGAGAGCAAAGAACAGGGCCTAACAAGCTTGGCTAGTGGGGTATCTGAGTGATAATTACAAATCACAGATACTGGTCTTGCCCGGGCTGGTGTGGCTCAGTGGACTGAGCGTCAGCCTGTGAACCAAAAGGTTGCCAGTTGGATTCCCGGTCAGGGCACATGCCTGGGTTTTGGACCAGGTCCCCAATAGGGACCGTGCAACAGTTAACTAATGGATGTTTCTCTCCCTCCCTTCCCTCTGCACGCTCCATGAGCTTCAACACATGCCAGGTTCAACGCAACACAAAGGTAAAAACACATCCCTACTTTATTGAGGCCATGTTCTGAGACCACGAAAAATTCAAATGCAAATCTCATCTCATCCCTGGAATGCTGAAACCTTCCCATTGGATAACCCGAGATCCAGTGGGCGCCCCCATCCCCCTCTTGGCCCTAGGCTCTCCTTACGCTCCCGCACAGCTATGCTCAGGTCCCCACTGGCAGCCAAAGGTTCTTGGGATACAAGATAGGAGACCGGCCCAGGGCGGCGTGGCTCGCTGGGAGCATTAACTGGGAAACCAAAAGGCTGCAGATTCTCCATTCCCAGTCAGGGCACACACAAGAATTGACCAGTGAATAAATGAGTGGAACAATTAAAAAATCATCCTCTCAAATCAACAAATGAAAAAAATTTTAACTTGAATACATTTTTTTTTTAATTTAAAGAGACATTAAGTAAATTAGTAATGACCTGTAATAGGAGTTAAGAATGGGGATGACCAGTATGTGGTTGCCTCTCACACACACCCTACTGGGGACCTGGCCAGCAACCCAGGCACGTCCTGAGTGGAAATCGAACCTGCGACCCTTTGGTTTGCACGCTGACACTCCATCTACTGAACCCCACCAGCCAGGGCAACAATCTAAGAGGTACTTTTTCCGTGTCATGGAAGAAGGAAATGGGCCACACCGGGCCAAGCCATATGCCCGCCTGGGCTCGGGTGGTCATGTCAGCAGCAGACTTACCAACAGGTACCTGCTGAAGTCTCTTCCCTCCCACAGGCTAGCGGGGTGGCGCCAGGCAGGGGCTGAGCTCACCTCCCCAGAAGCTGGTGCCCGTGAAAAAGGATCAAAAGCCAGGACGCAGACAGTCACACAGAGAGAGAGGGCAGAGGGGACACTGGCACAGCTGGGGACCCAGTAGGCGGGTGTTCCTCGTGTGGTACCTGAGCAACATGGTGTCTTCGAAGAATCACGGGCGAGTGAACGGTGAGTGTATGAGGGGTAGACCCCAGGGTCTCACACTCTGGGTCTAACAGCTTCTTTCTCGTTTTTAACCTGGAGCGTGCGAGTCAGGTGGTTGGATTCCAAGGCTGGCTCTGCCGAGTACCAGGCATGTAAAACTTCATCTCTCTCTGTCAGTCTCCTCTTCCCCAGAGTGGGAATGACCATTGTTCCTGCCTCCGAGGACTGTGAGAATAATCTGTACGTAAAGTACTCAGGGCAGGAGTTAGCGAGCTACAGCCCACTGCCTGATTCTGTAAATAAAGTTTTTTTAAAAGATCGCCCTGGCTGGTGTGGCTCAGTGGACTGAGCGCTGAACCAAAGACTTACCGGTTCAATTCCTCTTCAGGGCACACGCCTGGGTTACTAGCCAGGTCCCTAGCAGGGGGCTCACAAGAGGCAACCACACAGTGATTTTTTCCCTGCCTATCTTGCTCCCTCCCTTCCCCTCTCTCTAAAAACAAATAAATGAAATCTTTAAAAATAGCCCTGGCTGGTGTGGCTCAGTGGATTGAGCGAGGGCCTGCGAACCACACGATCGTGGTTCGATTCCCAGTCAGGGCACATGCCTGGGTTGCAGGCAGGTTCCCTGCAGGCCAGTTCCCAGCAGGGGACGCACAAAAGGCAGCCGTACATTGATGTTTCTCTCCCTCTCTCCTTCCCCCCCTTCCCCTCTAAAGATAAATAAATAATAAAATATTTAAAATATATATATATATATATATATATATATATATTATTTATTCTTAGAGAAAAGGGAAGGGAAAGAGAAAGAGAGGGAGAGAAACATTGATTGGTTGCCTTTTGTACCCACCCTGACCAGGGACTCGCTCCGCAACCCAGGCTTGTGCCCTTACCAGAATCAATCTGGCGACCTTTGGTTTTGTGGGACAACTGTCAACCAACAGAGCCACACAAATGAGGGCAATAAAATTTTGTTTAGTTCATTTTTTCAATTTGTTGATT